ATTCTAGATCCCTGTCTGGAAAATGGATGTATCCAATTCTTCCCCGTTGCCGGCTGAAACGGGTGGGATTTCACAACCTTTGGAGAATCAGGTAATTAGGGGTAACTAAAACGAACGAGCTGAAGAAAGTTGTAGTCTTCAGTTATGGGAAGCGCAGAACCTCAGAATAGCACATGGTACACGGCACATGGACATGAATTACGACACTGAACGCGGCAGTGGAATGACGCTTTTGTTTCACGACTGGGAAGTCACTGAACCCTTGAACACCACCCGTAGAGCCCCTTGGGCCCTCAAAGCGTCTTGCCATGTGCCCTGGCCTCGTAAAACAGAGCCGTGGAGCGGATCGTGCATCTGCTTCGTACCGCAAAACTGAGCCTTGACGATGGTTGATCGTTTACGGGAATAGAAACGGATTTGGGGACATGCTTGCAATATATGCGTGTCTCTCTTTTCAGTTACAAGTAACAACCTTGGTAGTTATGGAGTAAAGATAGGGATGATAATGCGTCGTTTCAGTAACTAGTTACAGGTGATGATCGCTTCAACCCAACAACTCGGGCAACTTACGACTGTCAGCGGAGCCGGCAAAGATTGCCCATTGGCTATTAGTTAGTTGTTCTTGTCAAGAGAGTGAAAAAATAAAAATAAAAATAAAAATAAAAATAAAAATAAAAAACCACGATTAGCCGCTGATCACTCGGCGAGTGACGATCCTGAAATGGACCTGACGTCGAGAAACTTGAGAGGGAGAGACAGCCCGCCGCATCCTTGAAAAATTGACAGCTCTGATGCTGTCGCTGCTGTTGTTATTGCTGATTATCCGGAATGCTGCCCAAGGTACATTCTTTCATGGATATTTATTTATACAGCTCACAGCGCTCTGCAAACCTCACCCTTCCGAGGCCTGAGAAGCAAATTGTTCCGAATGGATATCTTCAGGGTGAAATATGCAGAGTATTGCACATGAAGATCCCAGCCCGGCAAAAACTAACTACAGGGGGATTACTACGGGGGAAGCTCGATATTCCAGCGTTGCTTTCGAGTGATAAATGCAAACATTCATGAATTCTCGGGTTCCCAGGAGGGGTCACTATCTATCCCACCAACCGCGCCAAACAGCCGAAAATACCATATCTTGAGGTATCCCATTTAATATACTCCATGTAGGTAACCTACCCAACTGCCTAGCTAGGTAGATGCTATACATACCCAGATAGGGTTGTCGGGAGCTTCTGGAGATCTTGGGGGACAGCACGCGCCAAAATTGCGTACAGAGTGCTCAAATGTTGAATTCAGTACTAGGAAAAGTTTTGCTTAAATTTTTCTTTCTTTCTTTCTTTCTTTCTTTCTTTCTTTCTTTCTTTCTTTCTTTCTTTCTTTCTTTTCTTTTCTTTGCTTTGCTTTTTATGTGCGTGGAACATCCAGTAAATCTATAACCCCAGAAGTGACGCAACCTGGTCCCCCCCTAAAGCCAGCCTGAAACCTAGGGACAGCATTCGGTTGCCAGGGGGACAGATGCAGTTCTGTCGGCAACATGTCCTGTGCATCACATTAGCATTCAGGGTCTGCAGCCGTGCACAGGGCAGCGGCCACGGCGTGGCTTAGTTCAGGTGCAGTGCACTTGATGTCCTTGACCTTTTGGTATGGGTTTAAGAGGAACGTGGGGGATGAGTTGTCGAGGCTTTGCTCCCGGCTAGGGGATGGGGGGTTGGAAAGGAGGATTTGGTTGGGTTTGTCGATGGGGGTATGTGGTTAGATGTGTCCATGAAGGGAAAGTTTATTTATTTTTTTAAAAAAAAAAAAAAAATTAAATTAAATTAAATTAAATTAAATTAAATAAATAAACTGCGTTTTGTTTGGTCTGTCACAGTCATCTTGACAAGATGTCGAGTTTTGAGATTGGAGCTGGGCTCAAAGGCGCCACTGTAGGCCATCTGCGTGGGGACGAACATGGGATACTCCTATGCGGGCAGCTGGAGGTTGGGGGGTTGGGTAGAAAGCTGCGGCCCGATACATATGTTTTTGCAGCCAAGCATGCCACATGAGTGTCTGAAGATACGTAGGCTGATCCGTAACCTGAAGCTATTTGTGATCCGACCCATGGATAAGTTATTTACATGGCGTGTGCACGCGTGCAATGCATGAGTGATGTAACTAACTAGGGGCAGCGGCCAGAGTTCGTGTCGAAGGGTTTTTTTTTTGGACAGGTTTGAGCGGAAGGGGATGGTTTGTTCCGTCCCTCGCTAAATAACTAACTGATAATGACGGGGGCGAGGGTGAAGACGCCAAATGGGTTTTGTTTGCTACTGTATTGATGAGTACGATCATGTCGATCAGAACAGGGGATTGAATATTGGCTTGACGGTGAACCTTTTTGGTGCAAGCTGGGGCAGCTGGGATGAAACTTGCGTGACTGCGGTTTGACAGGCCCGGATAACTACCTACAGCTGTGCACTCAGAATGGTTTTTTTGGGGGGTATATAACTCTTCCGTTCCTTGCAGGAATCGGGTGATAGGCAGCCAGCTGGCCGGAGATATTGAATATCTGACCGCGAATTGAGTGAGTAGTCAGTTAAAAAATCGGATCAGTCAGAAAGGGATAGTTGAAACAGCGACACGGTTTCCCCGCAGAGCGGGATTTTGACACATGCAAGCGATCCCCGCCCTGCATCATAATCACAACTTTGACCACGTATCCGAACATGCAGAATCTGATATGTTACAATTGTCAATTTTTTTTTATCTCTATTTTTTATCAGGACAACTCTTGGGATTGGTCAGTACACTGCGTTCCAAGCAGCTGGTACGCAGCTCCAGTCGCCGGAGTTTCGAGATCTATGTTCCCATCACAGTGGGTAGGTTGGATATGCCATATGTCCAAAAATATATCCGGGAGCTCAGAGATGGCCGCAGCCGATGATGAGGAGGGGCGAATGAGTTGAGAAAGTCTGAGCTTTTTGAGAGCTCGCAGCTTGAACCCCCGACTTGATGTTGTTGCTGTATCTCAAGCTTGAAGTTTTAGAGAATACACACTTCTTTCTTTTCCATTCCTGTCTATCAACGATTTCCACTGTACTGGGCATACGTAGGTCACTTACGGGGTGGTCGCCACATGGAAAAGGTCGATATCAATTCCCAACAAATATTCCCTCTTATGATACTCCTGCATAATTGGGGGGGCCCGCCTATCGCTCATCATAAACTCTACCATGTCCAATGTCTTCTCTTCATCAAGGTCAGCATCGCATCTACGGGGAAAGAGGTCAGATGTGACAAGTCTGACCCTGTAACCACACCAGTATAACAGCTTAACGGGCTCAGGGGAGCTAAAGACCATGGCTTCAGATACTTCATCGCCTATCAAGTCTCCATTTGCCTTTTGTCTTCAACGGGAGTTTTGGGAGGTCGCCACACCCCAAGGCAGTAGAGGCTGCCACTGATATTGAGTCCTGCTCTCATTAATCAGACATATGTCTCTGCCCTAGAGCAAGCGCACAGCCCTAAAATCAACGGGATTGTGTGATACCGGTGTCGGACTGAAGGTTGGTTGGAGACTTGTAAGTTGATATTTACAATCATGGCAAACTGTTACGGCCAGTGATAACTTATTAACTGACTTCTTAGACCCGAGGAGCCGTCCGCTGATCGCTCCACTCAAGCGGAGTCCCACGTGTCGTCTCATGAAGTATACGAACTCAATTTCCGTTTTCTGAAGGCTCGAGGACGAATAGCTTTTCATCATCTCCTCCCGCCGTATATTTGAAAGCTTCAAGTTTCAAATCTTGCACGAAAAAGAGGGGAGGATCTTGAAATACCTCGTTAACCAAAGAAAGAAGCCTCAAAACAAGCCGGTTTTATGATCAGGGTGATAAGAAATTCATAGAGAAAAATTAACAGAAAAGCAGAAATCGCAATACCAAGTTCTAACAATTACTCCGGTTACAGACAGAGACGGGATTCCTCATTCTTTCCCTCCGCCTCAGAGCTCCATACCCTATCGTCGCCATGGCTTGGTATTTGACTACGCAGTCACTAAGCCTCTTCCCCAGATTGTTCCCCGCCCCTGAGTAACATATTCATCTTCAACTGCCTATTTGGGGAATGGAAATCGAGGTGAAAAGCGTTGATGAGAATGTGGTGATATGTAGATATGTGCATTTGGAGGTATGTAAGGTGTGTTGTCTCTGGGGTATTTACATGTCTAACCTGGTAGGATATGCACACTCAGGACACGGGGTAGAGAGCCGGGAGCGAATGAACGTTTGTACTGTACTATAATGCACTATGGCTTGGGGGGTCTTGCCCTGTTCCTAGCGCATCTCAATTGCTTCGACGAAAGTTGGGTGGATGTCTCCATCCCGCGCCGTTCGCCATCTAGAAGGGTATGGAAAAAAGGGGTCATCACTAAACACCCCTGTCCCACCCTCGTCCTCACCATCCAGCCTTGATGCAATACATAGCTACCGAAACCGACTCGAACCATACTCAACGCTAGCCATAGCTAAACACCCAGAAAACTCGCAAGAAGGATTGCCCTACTACTAGGGGGAAGGCAACCTTCAACCAATTCAATCGTGATTCTCCAGCCTCAAGGCCTGACCGAATATCGAGACAAAGGGAAACCCTACCTGGGTCGTGAGGTTGTCTGCCTTGCTGAAGGCTAAATTCCCCGCAGTCCTTTTAGTGGCGCCAATGTGGCTCAACTCTAAAAGGAAGACAACCAAGCAATCGATCGGCATTTCAAACCGCCCCATGCATCGCTAAAAGATAGTTTTGGCTAGAAGGACAACTTCCGCGCAACTTTTCCACATGAATGTATGGTGTTAAGATGGAAACAAAGGTCAGCATGTCCAGATCCACCATCGTGGCGTTATTTTCCTCTGGGGTTTCTTGTTCTCGACGTTCCCTTGATCATGAATTTCGTGAATTGCTTGCCATTCGAGGCGTTCCAAAGCTCCTTTTCCGTCATCGCCGGTTGTTCATTCTCTCCTTTCACCTCTTTGCCGAGTGGTTCTCGAGGCGTCTAGTACCAATATGCACGATGGATGCAAGCCCGGCGTTGTTGGCAAATAATTAGGCTTCAACCTGCAGGCTGGATAATTTGAAATCAGTGAACTCAACACACCATCCGAGAAGTCAAAAGAAATAAAAATAAAAATAAACAAAAAAATAATGGTGTGGTGTATGGCGGATGATCACAGGATGGACAATGGTGTGGTCTATTGAATTGCTGCTCCGTTGCACATGGGGATGGTCATTTCTAAACTATTTTCTGGCAGCTTTTATTTTCTCTGCAGTACTTCCCATGGATTGTTGAGTTGTCATGAAACCCCGAATTGTGCAGAAGAACTACATCAAGGTGAGGTGTGCTGCTTCCATTCACACCGTTGTTGGAGGCTGGCTGCTGATTGTTGGGGCATGTTTAGTGAGGTTGAGAAAGGGAAAATAACTCCGTCAATAAGTCAGAACCGGTATTTCTTCTGGTAGCTATTGAAGATGCAATGCAATGAAGAGAATGGCATGTGATTTTAATTCTTCTCGAAGCATTTGTTAAATATCCAATGAGAGACGCCGTTAACTGCTTTTTATTATTAGTGTTTATACGTGATGGCCATTTTCTTTCCTCTCTTTTGTTGCCCTATTCGAGATCATTTTCATTATTCCAACTGATTTTATTTCGAGGAACTCCGCCATTCGATAACGAGAACGTTTCCTGCGTTCTCATAGTCCCTAGTTTAGAGCGCCCGTCAAAATTCAATAGCTCCTCGATTTGCCCGTTTGCACCTTTTTTCCCACTGGATCAATATCCACGTATTCACAGGATGCGCTAACGAATGACCAGCATCGTTGGCTTTTTTCGCCTGTTCAAAATTATTCGAGAACAAATACCACGGAATAAACGGCGTCAGGAACTATTGTGGCCTCCTTCCTACCAAGTGTCCATTGGAGGAGATTCTTTGCTTTTTTCGATACCATGCATTTCAATTGTATGCAAAATCAATAAGAACAAACGAATGCACCTCGGATACCAGGCTGACTGTTTAATGCGGGCGTCGTTTCCGGGAAAAAAGCTTCTCGGGATTGCCACTTTTCCCAAATTCTCCGCTCTAGTTATCCTTGTTTCCGAAGCAAAGGAAAAAATAAAGAAAGGGTGGAGAACAAGGAAAAGAAAAACTTCCATCATTCGCAATTCTCCTTCCATCCCCTCTTCAAGATGTATCAAAATCGTTGATCTTCCTCCACGTTTCAAAAGATAAGCTACCAACGCCATTCGATCCCTATACATGGATATTTCTCATTGGCGCTTTCGACGCCTCCTACCGGTTAAGTAGCCAGAGTTTTTCTTCTCCGTACTCTGACCATCCGATTATGTCGGTGAGATGCATGTGAGATTATGATGATATGGACTCGGTGCGCCAAAAGCGGTATTTTTGTTAGTCCCTGCAGGAAAAAAGTGTATTCTAGCAAATAAGGCGCAGAGAATGTCGCATCTTTGTATCCTGAGGAGCAAAAACAGTATTGAGTCAGGCATCAATGGAACCACTGATCTGAGGAGCACTTTGCCGTGTCCTGGACCCACTATGCCGGGTGCTTTCCTCCCAGGCCGATATCTAAGGGAAGATATCTCAATGAAGGCACAGAATTTTCTTACGCATTGCGTATCAAATCGAACCAAGGATGCAAATCACCTTTTGGTTTAACAATTCAATCAACTTCCGATGTTTTACCATATTTGATTTCACAAGGGACGAAGCGAGTTGATGAACGTTTCACTGGCCGATACGCCCTGAGACTCTGGAGTTTTCGGTGGAGAACAATGTTCGATTCTTATTAGTTGACTGCCGATAAGTCACATCCATCTTGTGATTTCATGCATACGGAATCCAGCTTTGCATTGATGATTGCACAGGACCGTCAGAGCTCGGGTCATGGTCAGGAGAAAAGGCGAGATTTCCAGTAAAACTACATGGGACTCTGTATTGTGCATATTTCCTTGCATTTAGAGTTCCAAGTGTAAGATTTTGATGCTTCTTTTTAAACCTTTTTTCCTTGAACCACTGCTCCCCCGTTCGAATCCAACATTGGAACAGATACATGTTCACATGAAGATGCTGTGACATATGGGGAGCAATCGTCTCGTACGGCCCAGACTAGGTATACGAATAGACCGTTGTTTCTCCAGAGCCCCTTTACATGCTTGTCACCCTAGTCGTTGCAGGTCAACCTGCTGTGACGGGACGGTCCGCGCCGCTTAGGCCTAATGAAAACATGCCTTTGCTAGGAGAGAAGACGCAATATCCTCCGTGTCAAGGAAGCTGTTAGATGCCAAGTTACAAGCCTATTTTGGTTTACTATTCCCCCGTTTTAGGCGAGCAGGTTTGGTGCCATATGTAATGAGGTGAAAATGCACATACCCATAAGCCAACAGAGAGAAAAAACATTCTAGCGGCATAGAACACAGCAAAAATATGCTTATTGATGTAGCATATAAAATGCATACTGAAATAGAAAAATCAACGCTTTTAAAGTCATCTGAGTGTAGTTGCTCATATTCGACGCAGCATTATATGAGTTCTATACACAGGGGTTAACATCATTATCAAAAAGGATGTCAGAGATCATTAGACATTCATGGATAGAGTAGCACACAATTGAATATAATGTCTGAAGTATATGTATCATCTCCCACTTACTCTCTCACCCAAAATGACATCAAATAGGAATGGAAGGATATACTGTCAATATAATAAGAGTATTACTTAAAAATTAGAAATCCCATTTCTGCTTCAACATACCCCTACACTCTGCCTCACCATTGAAACGCCCTTCACCCAGAAACTTTCCATACTCTTGGTTTTGCGGCCGCGGGGGACGTAGAACAAGGGATGCATTGGCCTGCACCGAATGCAGCCTACACCAAGGTATTGCAATTCAAGCACAGCAGTACCCAGCAACAGTACTTGTTAACATAGATGCAGTTTGGAGAATGTTCTACAGCAGGAACCCTCACATCTGACTATTTTGATACCATTAGAACACATTTTACTCATCTCCTGAAGCCTCGTAACACCCTGCCAGAGTTCTTATAATCTATGAGATTCAAGGTACCCGAAGGCTTTTTACATCACTCTCCCCTGGTCAAGTATCGCTCGGTGGCTGTATCTAGCGATAAGGAATGCAGAGATTGTTCGTGAAAAGCATCTCTGGCTCCCACAAGAGACTCCCAGTTTGCTGGACACAACAAATTGCTCTGCAAAGATAATCCACAGCATCGTCCAACTTGCCTATTCCTTTAACACGTTTTCATCGCCCATCCAGTTTCTCATAAAGCTCTAGTTCTGGTGAGAGAAAAAGTGGTTATCGACCACCTTAGCATAGGTTTTCAGAGCACTCTCTCGGCTCAACGTTTTGGCTAAACTCTTTGAGCATAAGATCAACCCACAGAAACGTTCCTTGGTCCTCTCCGAAAGTGTCGAAACGATTTCAGTTCGTAGCTCTAGTGACACAGCTCTCAGAACATGACTTGAGATTGCTGTGCTTAATATAAGAAATGATATCGGCTGAGTTCTTATCTTTCACTACGAGAATCGTGGGTTCGTCCATTTCAAGAGCTTCAGAAATGGGTCCGTAAGTTGGGGCCTACCAAGCATGACTATTTGCACACGGGAAGACAGGTGCACAGAGTAGAGTCAGTATTAAACTTAAAACTCTAGCTTTCAAAACACCTTCAATATGTTAACATAATTCGAAGAGATAGAGAGCTGACCTACCCTCGTTAATATCTTTCATGAGATTGATCATCGACTGCATCTCATATCCATACACCTCATCGACAACATCGAAAACGACATACACACTATTTTTCATACTGGCTTCCTTCACAAAAAAATTGACGAAAAGAGTGCGGCAGACACTTTCCAGTAGTGAGATGTCATCCTGTGACATATATGTTGCCATAATGTGTTTGGCATAGTATGGGTCATCTTCACTAATTTGGAAGGCCAAATCGCGGAGTGCTTGGTGGAATGGCTTCGTTGTGGGGTAGTTGTCAGAAATAAGCAACAGAGACTTCAGATGGCGGCTGGGCTCCCTCTTGGATGCAAGTTTTTGAGGAACGAAATGATATTGAGTGCTATATAGGACTTCCCAGCTCAGGATTACCCGTAACCCATATCAACGCGAAAAATCTTTTTTGACTCATGATTTGAAATGGAGTTCAGTTCTAATCCAATATCAGATTTGTTTAACCCGAGTTCAGTTGATCTTATCAGACCAATCGTGGGCAGTCACTGAAGGCTCAAGAACCTCCTTAATGTGGGGATGGATTGCTCTGGTGCACGCCACTTTTAAATCCGTTCTGTAGCTGATCAGCCTTCATCAGAACATCAACTTTCTTATTCAGTTCCGATACTCCAAGATCGATATTAGAGTGCTAGCGACAGTATGTGTAACGTTGTCGACTGTGCGGTCTGTCCTTTAGATTGCGTTATTGTATCCTCGCCAACGAGGCGATTCTCAGTTTCAATAGAGTAGGGAGTCGATCAGTAGCATCATGGACTTTTTCATCGCCATGGAGCAGTGTCATTTTTTCCAAAACTTGGTAAATCTGCCTTTTTTCAATGGACTTCCTCGAGAAAGCGAAGATAGCGATCAGCGCCGCAAGAATGACGTTTCGTTGGGTTCTCAATTCTACCAAAATCGATTCTTCGGTATATACCCGAAGGCGAATTGTAATAAAGTCTGACAGCGTTCGTGTTGTTTCGAAGTTTTCGTAAAATATGCCACTTTTGACAAATTCGAATTGTATGTTTCTCCTCTCCTTCTCTTTATTATCAAGAAGTGGTACCAATAGTTTTAAATACCTCCAGTGTCCCCAACAACTCCTGGATAGCATCATAAGACGAGGAACCCCCTTTGCAGAACTAATCAAGTGAATATGGACGCAAACACGAGTGAGGCGAGAGAGACGGCCATTGAGACTGCACTTGCCAGGAGGGGCCCAACGCACTCCACGGGCTTGATTGCTGACTCTAGGACATTCAAAAAGCGATGCTTCTTCTCCACGAAATCCCGGGATTTGGAGTTTTCCTTGTCAATTGCGTTCCGGAGATCATCTACAGAGGCCATTCCTAGAAAGTAGAGCTGGATCATCCAGAGTCTTTTCCGTGGTCTCCTCATATTTCTTGATTGCCTCTTTGTAGATTGTGAGTATTTGAGATGTCCCGACATTGCGGTGCTGCCCGAAAACAGGGGCGTTCGATCACAGTTCTCTCCCTGTGGTGGTCCAACCATTGCAATTAAGATATGAAAAAAAAAAGAGAGAGAGAGAGAGGGAGGGAGGGAGATGAGAAAAGGTCTGAGGACAGCGAAGCAATCTTATATTGTGAGATTGAGGCGCAGTATTGTCAGGTGGTAAAGGGTTGTCTCGACAGGTTGTCTTGTCCCTATCTGTTATTGGGTCATCAGTAAATAAATTTGTTATGTTGGGTGTATTGTTATAGATATAACCCTATGTCTAGATCACTCTTAAGCAAGGCTTGCCGGTCTCAATTTAAATAGAAGAAGTTTGGGGCATCCAGGCTCCCCGCGAAGGAAGACCGCCTCGTGTTACGCATCCTGCTCACGATGGTCTACAAATGTAACCCGCAATATATGTAGTTGAATGGAGCCAGTGCCTAGATTCAATCACCCCCTAAGAAGTTGACCGTGCCCGATGGATCTTGGTGTTACGGGCTTCAGTTCCCATGGATGTCAGTCGGTGGTTTGGGTTGATAAGTTCGTTGTTCCTCCCTTAAGGATGCCACTATGTATCTCAAAATACCAAACTTGCAGAATTTAACCACCGGCAGACTCCATAAATACACGATTCCTGCGTAATCTGGCGTAAAGGAACCACACTCGGAGGGATGAGGAGTCCTAATCGGGACTAGCTGTCCCCCGCATTTGGAGGCTGATTTTTCAAAACTTTTTGATTTTATTTTGCTATTTTCTTTTTTCCTTTTCCGTTTTTTAAACTTAAGCTCTGATGTGAAATTTTCAGATCATTGTTTTTATTTTTCCAGTGTATGTTCATCTTTCCATGTATTGCAGTGATTTTACCCCGTTGTTGATTACGTTACCCCTTTCTTATTTTTGTCGCTGAATTTTTCAAAACCGAAACCAGCGCAAAAACCAACAAAGGGGAAAAACGAAGGATAAACAGGAAACAAGCGAGAACGGGAAATGCGGAACGTCCCGTATCGCTGACCGGGAAGATATTTTTGAACGGCGACAAACAAAAGCGGAGAGGAAAGTCTCATTGTGGGGTCATTGCTGTAACGAAGAGCGGAAAAGAGGAGACAAAGAGGAAGCGGGGAAAGGAGAAACACATCTGCTGTTGTAGGCGATTTTACTTTGGACGGACCAAGGACCAAGGATATAATAAACACACGGGGGAAACAGAGAAGACACTAACCCCCCCACCCCCCAATCCCCGAACAAATGTTTAACTGGCACACCAGCGTCGAACCTCCGCCTCAAGGAACTCCCGTCTCTGCCAGACAGCACCACCATCATCAGCATCAGCACCACCACCACCACCAGCAGCAGCAGCAGCAGACCCATCACAGTTCTCTCCAATGGCTCCCTACCGGCCCTCCGCTTTCGAGGCCGCTCCCCAATACCCTTCCGCCCATTTCCGCCCTACGTCCAACTAATAACTACGTATCCACCGCCCAACATGATGCAGCTGTCCTACAAACCCCCGCATCCACTGACAACTCACTATCTGAAAGTCCCAGCATACGCGAGACTGTCGTCCCGGAAAACGGTGTCGATCTAGCTCCCGAACCTGCATATGATCATCCGGCCCCGGGTCCGGAACCCAGCTCTGATGACGTTGATATAGACGGAGGAGCAGCATCGCGGCAAACGGGACGTGTAGGGCCTGGACGGGGTGTTGATCTAACACTTCTCGAAAGTGAGACTCCACGGAAACATGGTAAACGGTTAACGACACGCGAGGAGACAGCGCTATTTGAAATTTGCAACAGGCACGCGGCCTCATTTGGCGAGCGCAACCGCCTCTGCGAATGGTGGTTGAACGTGACGCAAGAATTCACCGCATCAGAGGGCCATCCGTACTCGTGGCATAGCGTACGGCGAAAGGTGGAGCTCGTAACGCAACAGCGGATCAAATTCTTGGAGGGATTGGATGGGAAGCGGGGCGATGATCAGGCGGATGCGGCATGGAGTGCTGCCGTCGATTCCTGGATTCCATCCTGGAAGCGGTTTCAGGAACAGGAGAATGAGCGCATTTATGCCAAGCAGGGTAAGAGAGGCCGGAAGAGGAAATCAGTAGTTGACGCAGATGGGGTGGCCATGGGGTACCAGCATATGCTGCCGCCTGGATTTGATACGATGTTTCCTTCGTCATCGAAACCAGGCAAGGCAATTCGAATAGAGGCTCCTCTTTCTATACCTGTTACCTCTGGTCCCCCTCCTACCCCTTCAACAACGGAATCTTTGCTCACACCAACCCATCAACAACGGCAACAGCAGCAACAGCAGACACATACCCCCGCGTCAGTTCCAGTTCAAACATCCGTCCCGCAAGCACCGGTTTCCGCCTCACAAGCAATCATAACAGCAGGCACATCTTCCGCAGCAACAGAATCAGCTGTGGGAGCTGCAATATTAGAAACCTTATCAAAACTGAACAAAAACCTAGAGGCAGTATCTTCTCGCAACCACTCATCGAACGCCATGTCCCTAGCAGCCGCAGCCGCAGCCGCAGCACACCCTCACGCTATCCTACCACCACACCAACACCAACAACCATACCAACAAAAACACTCTCCGAACTCTGCCATCACCAACCATAATCACCCGGCCCACAGCCACACCTCACGCCCGGGCCAAATCCAACAGAATCAAATACCAGCGTCGACACTCCACCAACTAAAGTCTGAGTTGCGTGCGGAACTCCTCCAGGAGATCCAGAAAGATCGCGCACAGCTTGAAGAGAAATTGGACTCGGTGCAGAAGACGCAGGAGATGATTCTGGATTTGTTACGGCAAGAGCCGCAGTAACTTCTATTTTTGAGATGATATCAGTCGCCGCACTCCCACTCTCTTTTATCCCTTGTATTTGGGATACGAATCGGGAGGGAGGGGGAAGTTATGGATAGAGGGCTAGTTAGTTGAGGGTAGGAATATATATGGGAAATTAGGGGATTTCATGACTGTTACGACACTCTTTCAGTTTATATTTTATTTGTTTACTTTTGCTCCCATATTTTGCTTGCTTGAGGATTAGTTCTATCCATTATTATCCCATTTACCATTTCTGTTATACTCGACTATCCCCATCTTATATGTGATATCTTTTCCTTTCCCCCAATTTTTTTTTCTCTCATATAACTCCTCATCTCATCTAGCCAAGTCCTTCCCCCTCCCCCAATCTCCTCCCCCTATACTTAAATTTTTTTTCTATATCATGCCTAGTTCACGATGAGAAATGTAAAGTGCGTCTCGAATGCATATATCCACTTCAGCATTAAACGGGAATTTTTCCCTCTTCTCCCTATTTTATCTCTGTCTTTCTCTGATAATCGCTAGAACCGTGAACCTGTCAATGCAGTGAGATTTGCATAAGACTTAATCTCTCCCAAATGGCAATGATTCTCTCATACGTTTTAACATCGCGGTAGGGGAATACTTCACTCCAACATCAACGCCCATGTCCTGGGTTCCATAATATAATAAATTAAGTGTGGTAAAGGCGCGGAATGCGTCTCTCATCTCATATTCCCCGGTTCAATTTCTATTGTTTCCATAGCTTCTTCGTTAAGAATTTCCGGATTGGCTAGTTTTTGTAATCTTTACATCATAATAAATTAAACAATCGCTAGTTAGTTAGTTATCAATAAATCCACTTAATCAGCCATTATGATAATCTAATGGATTAGAATATTTTATCTATTCACTTGTAAAATTTACCTTTACATGTAAATATAATATAGAATATTACTTGAAAATATCTTATAATAATTATTATAATTTGTATTAAATAATAATTATTATAATAATGAACTATTTACTTTAGAATTTATATAATTAATATAGTTTTAATTAACCAATTAATCGTGCCGCTGTGCAACCCACACCTCATGTGGATGCACCACACCAAAATGATAAAAACACCAAAATGATAAAAATCTTAAATCACATCCTCATTATTGCACTCTATATCAACAATCAGTAGCTAATCTATAATAAAAAGATTATCTACATCATTCTCAGTATGTGTGCCATCTCTAAATCAATTTAATTCCTCTTCTGTCAGTGGTGTGAGTAAGTTATTGCCAATTTTCATAAGATCAACTTCAAGTCTTTATTGCTTCTTATTCTGCTCTTTTTCAGCTTTATTATTCTTACACTGCTTGATTTTTCTATTAACATCTTTAATAGTGAGAACTCCCTCTACTTGAATCTGATGACAGATTGTTTTAGCTCTGCAGTGTTTACTAACATTGAGAAAGTTCTCTAATTCAGTGATCTGTTGCTCATTAAATTCTATGTGAATTAGACTTACTTTGAATATCTTGTTCAAATGACATGTCAAGATGAGTGATTTCAAATCGAGGGTATCTCTAATACTTTGTATGATGTTTTTCACAATATTAATATGATATTTCAGCTTTTGAATTATCTTTGATAAGAATAATTGAGAAGAAGAGATAGATATATGATCTGAATCATTCTCATCTTCATAAATCTGCAGTGGAGGAGATGATGAGATTCAATGCTTAAGAGTATTAAGAACTCAGTCAGAATTCCATGAATATATATCATGTTGAGCTCATTCTGTAGCTATTATATTAGATTTAAAGATCTGCTTTCATATAGCTAAGAGATTTTATAGAAACTACTATTTTTCATACTTAACAAAATCATGATATACAGTATAGTTGACTGCTTTTGAATAATAATACATATATTGCTGAAATAATAGACTATTTAAAGATTATAGTAAATGAGTGATATATGATGAAAATTTATATAAAATTATTTTATGAAGATTTATATATTGTATAAACTTCTCAGTGATATAAGATTTATAATTATTTATTAAAAGTAATTAATAACTTCTCTTCTGTCTTTTTTCTATAGTAGTATTAAAATGTTTGAGCTATTCAAATTCAATCTCATCATTTATAAATCTAGTATCTAATATAGCAATTTTATAATTGCTGAATAAATCTATCTGTGTATATTAATTTTTCAAATATGTTTTGAAGATCAAGATTATCAATAGCAAAATGACATGATTATTCATAAATATACATTTAATGACTGTAATCAAACCTTTTGAAAAGAATAAAAAAATAATAAAATTAACTTCTTTAAAAACAGCTATAACTCATTCTCCACATTCTTGTTCTTTTTGAAATTTAATCTCATTGAAGTTGTATGTGTTATAAATGTGAAATTAATACTGCTCAAATAGAATCTGAAGACATTCAAACTATATATTGATATATTCAATATCTTCAACTGCTACTCTCTTTGAATTCATTGACTTTTGTTTCACTCTCTTATACTCATATAGGCATTCAATGAATCTATAAGTTCACATCTTGCTGACTTTTGAAGAAAAGATAGTAGAGTCTATATGCTGACATCTGAGCATTGAATTTGTGAAATCTTCAATATGTTCAGCTATAGAAGAATAATTCTTTTCATCAAGTAGCTTGATTTATCATTTAATCACATTCTTCTGACTCTCATTTAATCTCTTGTTAACTGGAATCTTTGCAGTATTCAGATTTTTTCCATTGATATACATTCAAAAAAGTTGATTAAAAACCTCAAATTTTCATGACAGAGATAGTATTTTAAAATTTATGTTTTTTTGATGATAAGCAACAGCTTTTTAAATACAGTCTTCAATATTTTTATCCTTATTTGACATTGAGGTGAGTTATTAATTGATGAAGATGATGAAGATGATGAAATTGCAAGATTTTTATCATTTTGGTGTTTTTATTGTTTTGATGTGGCACACCCACATGAGGCGTGGGTTGCGCAGCGGCACGATTAATTAATAATTTACAATTGTCAGGGGGGAAAGATGAAAATAAAATTTCTGGCCCCAAAATAACTAACTTATAGTAACTAAATTACTCCGTACATAAAAATGATATATGCAAGATATTAACTAGTTAAATATCTAAGTTAACAAAGTTAACTAGTTAGTTAAATTTATTTGATTATAGATATCTTTTCTTGTCAGGCAGTTAGTTCTTTGTTGCCGCTATCTATTTAATTTTTCACTTTATATTTTCCCCCCACTTCTCTATACCATTTTTCTCAACCATTTACCTCTTTATTATTCTATACGATATTGTCTTTCCCGCTTAACATGATATCTCGGTCATGGCATCTATTTATTTGCGAAGGCTTTTTTTATCCCAGGTTTTATGAATGTCTGCTCCGCTTGTTTTCTACTTCTCCTCCGCCGTCTCCTCACTTGCTGTACAACTCAACACAATTTAAAACTTCCCCAGCCATTGGAAAGTAAATATTTTAGATATTAGAAATTGCATGGTCGTTTTAGACGTCGGAACCTTGGAATCTCCCAGATCACAGGAGCCCGACGGAGTACATATAGAGAGACCAGCTGTACCTTTCCCTCCAACACACTCGTTCTGAAATGGTAGGCCTTTCTTTTACCACAGAGTTGATGCAAGTACATGAATTATACATGGGTGAAATGGATTAATATACAATGCCGTATGAGGACCAAAAAAGGACAGCTGCGAAATGCTCGGCAGAGATTTGAAAGCACGGAACGTCGACCAGATGTTTGTTGTCAGGAGATTATTTAAAGTACAGAGCATTCATATACATAGAGGCACGACAGAGATAACTCGGGGACGCAAGAGGAGCAGGGAATACATAAAACAAAATGAAAAGCTCCCAACTCGGTTTGCTTTCCCTCACAACAAACCCTGCCATTTATTGGTTTAAACCTCTAGCTACAAAAAAACACACACAAGAATTCAAAAGAAGGAAAAGAGAAAGCAAAGAAGCATCTACATGTCGTAGATTAAGCGCTTTTAATAGTAGAAAGTCTCATCAACAGTTCGCCCACGGGTCCACACAGGCTCACTACCACGAACATACGTATCCTCAAACAGGATGCGCGGCGTGGCCTCCGGGAAAGGCATCTTCTCAGCCTCCGCAACCTGCCCATCAACAAAGTTCCTAGCGTCCTTATCGATGCCCTTCAGTTCCTCCTCGCTCGTGACACCCCAGTCTAGCAGCTTCTGCTTAAGGCCAGCAATGGGGTCATTGGTGCTTCGCATCCGTTGGATCTCCTCACGGGTACGGTACGTGGTGCCCGGGTCGGACATAGAGTGGCCGCCGTATCGGTAGGTGACATATTCGAAGACAAGAGGGCCGCGGCCGGCGATAGTGTATTCGCGACCGTATTGGACGGCGGCTTTGATGGCGAGGACATCCATGCCGTTGATTTTCAGGCCGGGGATGTACTGGCCGCGCTTGTAGTAGTCGGTAAGGGCGGAGGAGCGGTTGGCTGAGGTACCCATGCCGTATTTGTTATCTGTAGGAGCGGGTGATTTAGTATCATTACTTTACTTTCAGGTATTAATACGCCAAAACAAAACTCACTTTCACAGCCAAAGATGCAAGGCAGATTCAACAGCTTAGCCATGTTGAAAGCCTCGAAAACTTGACCTTGGTTGGAAGCCCCGTCACCGTATAGAGTGACTGTCGTCGTCTTTTCCCCATTGTATTGTTGGGCAAACGCAAGGCCAGCACCAACGGGGACCTGAGCTCCAACAATACCGTTTCCACCAAAGAAGTTTTTGGCGAACATGTGCATGGAGCCACCCTTTCCGTAGGCAATGCCCTCTCGACGACCAAGAAGCTCACCAATGATCGACTTTATGGTTCCACCACGCATATATGCGAAGCCATGGCAACGGTAGGCGGTGATTAATTTGTCCTCCTTTGTAATAGCATGTTCAATGCCGACCGCAACGGCTTCCTGACCCGTTGACAAGTGACAGAAGCCCCGAATCTTCTTTTCTTTGTAGAGGCGATCTGCAGCCATTTCCATTCGTCTGCGCCCAAAGTGTTAAGACAAAGAAATTGCAGCAAACAAGGTAAGGTCTCGTGCAATAGAATTCAAATTACCTTATGGAAACCATATCATGGTACATTTGTTTCAACTCCTTCTTTGTGGTCTGTAGAGTGTATGGCGGAGGGTCCAGCTCATACGTCTCAAAACTCTCATCGGAGAGCTTGACTGTGAATGGCGTGTTCTCATCCTGGTGCAACACAGTATAGAATTAGATATCTGTTCTCAAACCAGTATTTATAGTTGGAAGAGGAAGAGTTGGGGGGAGTTATGGGCACTGTACAGCTGGGACAGCTTCAGCATGCGAGGAGGCGGCATCGGTAGTGACAGTCCTTCTGACCGCTGGGACAAAGCCCTTGCGGCCCAAGGGCGGAAGTTGCCGGGCCCGGATCACTCTGGAAAACATCGTAAAGCGAAGACCAAGGGCTCAATGGCAAAGGAAAGGGTGAGGAGGAGGGGGAGAGATGAAGCTACCGCAGATGTTGGTCTTGGATATAGAAGAAGCTGGGCCGGGCTGTTTCACCGGAATCGTTGGGAGACCAACAGCCTTTTGAATTGCCCGGTATAAGCGCCTTGCAAGCAGCTGCTTATGTCACATCCTGCTTCACCGCCTTCCAACCTAAACTCTAAATGTTAGCTGTTTATAGCAACATCAACAACATCAACAACATCATCAACATTCATCAACTGATATCAACAACTTGCAAAATCCCAGCGAAAACTCGTGAGAGAGTTGTTCTTGGAACAATGTTCACCCTTTATCATCTGTGAATCCCTGGATGGCAAGAGGAGGATGAACTCAGCTTGTGCCATCGATCAGTTGATCAACTTTTCCTTTCAGCATGTGTTATTTTATCGAAATTATTATACGTCATGGTTCTCTGAAACTTTCAGGTTCCATTTCTGTTCAAAATGGGGATCCTAGTATGCTCACTTTCTTTAAAGGGAGTATTCAACTGTTTACCCTGTTCTTGTCAATAGTTTTTCTTTCATTTCCTGTTCAGAAATGCCTATGTAGTACCCTCTTTAGAGTCCTCATTATCTGCGCATCCCCCTCTTCAGATGTTGGCAGAAGGTTTAATCATCGCCATATATAAAGTTACCAACTTAGTACTCTCTATTCCTGCAGGATTCCTTTTCACCATTTCAGCTTTTGAGAATGAAAAAAAAAAAAAAATGACAGCTTAGTTCTTCTCTCTTCTCTGCTCTGATATTAGATTGTCATAACAGTACATGCAGTCTAATACTTCGGAATAATATTGAAAGCGTTCTTACACTTTCTCTCAGTTAGGGAATACATCTGCTGCAAACCCTGTGCTGTGCTTTGCATGCTTTAAGCAACTATCCCGTATTTAACTTAATACCTATTCTATATTTGTTATTTTCATTTCATTTCAGGTCTATATAATTTTTGTATTTGTCAATTAAAAGAGAACCCCCCGCCTCCAAGTACAAAAATCAACCGCCCCACCCCGTATAGTATATGTGGAATGCATCAAAAATAGGGGCTTAAAAAATGCAACTTGAGAAAATAAATAAACTGAATGACAAGAATCCAACAAAACTGAATTAAAAATAAAACCTAATCAAAATATCCTACTATACAAAATGCTCATCACAACCCGACTTCCACCCACACCCATAGCCACAATCACATCCCCTCCCCTTCCCACCACCTACCTCCCTGCCATACACACCCCCCTTACCGCCTCCTCAAATACCACGCAAACGCCGCCCCATTAACCGCATCCGGATACGGCGACGGCACCTCCGACCTCCCCGGCTTCGCTACAGGATGCCTCAAATACACCGCAGCACAAATGTTCTGGTTAACCTCCAGATAGCGCGGGATGAACGCGAAGGCGCTCATGTAGTCGCGCGGCCGCCAGGGGGTGGCGTACGGCTTCAGAGTGTCTATGGGGTTCTCGTGGAGCTGGGACAGGGCCTGGCGGAGGATGGTGAGGTCTTCGGGGGAGATATGGGGGTTGGTAGTGGATGTTGGTTCGGTGGGGGTAGTGGTGGTGGAGGAGGAGGAGGCTTGGAGGGCTTGGCGGAGGGCGGCGGTTAGGATTGGGTCTTGGGGGGATGAAGGGGAGGAGGTGGAGGTTGTTTTTTTGTGGGAGGAAGGAGGTGTGGGGAGGACGGATTCGGGGAGTTTGGATGGAGATGGTTTGGACTGGGGTTCTGATGATTCTGGGGGGGACGAGGAGGAGGGGGAAGTGGATTTTTCTGCCAGGGCTTTTAGTTGGAGGAATTGGGCTTCGAAGTCTTCGACGACGTTGGTACTGGAAACGGTGCTGGAGAGGGCCTTGCGGACACCCTTGCGGAAGTTATTGAGGTTAAGTCTTTGAGAAGGTGCGGAGAGGTCCTTGTTGTTCATGATATCTTTGGCTTGGGCGAGGAGGCGAGTCAGTATAGTCCGCGCTTCTTCGGGGGATAGGTCCTTGTGTTCGGTATCTTGGCTGGATTTCTCTGCATTTTCTGTATTTTCTGCGTTTTCTGCGTTTTCTGTGTTTTCTGTGTTTTCTGTCTGTCCTTCAGCTCCCTCTGCAGATGCAGATGTTTCCTCAGCCGCCTTGGTCTCTTCAGAACCTTCTTCTGCTTTAACAGGCTGCTCCGATTGAGTCTGTGCGGGTTTCCGGCTGCGCCGTCTACGGCCACTGCGGCGTTGTTGAGGATCCTTGGGTGCACCCGTAGCAAACATCACTCGTTCTGGATCCACTTGAAAAAGGTCACCAGGGTTCAAAAGGTATCCCGGGTATTTCATCTGCACATGGCTTGGTTCAGTTATTTTTTCCTAATGAGAGAGCTGATGATAAAAAATTGTCGACAAGGAACAAGCCGTACCTTCTTCCCATTGACCGTAACAGAGCCGTGTAAAACAAACTGCCTCGCCTGCCTCGTACTGCTAGCAAACATGGCACGAAAGATAGCAACATCCAGCCTCCTCTCCAGCGGCGCAAACGCCATCTGCATGTATGGTGTAAGCGGTGCCTTGCGCGGACCAGCCCCCTCAATACCTGAACCTCGCCCAGCAGACTCAGCAGAACCGTCATTTCGAGCCAGGTAATTGACATCCATAGGGACGACCGAGCGCAGACGGCGGCAGAACATTTTCTCCCATTGCGACTCACGGACCTGCTCGCCGTGGTATGTGCGGGCCAGGGATTTGGCAAGCCATTTCTGCTGGAAGAAGTTTTTCGAGAAGGTTACGGGGAGGCTTGCGTGTTTGAGATTGTAGAGATTGACTTTGTTCCATGATTGGAGGAGTCTCTATAGAGGAGTGGGTTAGCTCATGGTATGTCCATGCTTCCATAGACATATACACAATATGAATCGTGAGTATTAAAATAAAGCACTAACCGCCGGCCTCCTCCCAGCTTTCATGAGCTTCCAGGGACTAGTCCTCATGGTTGCGGGAAGCCAATGATATCCAGGTCAATAAGCAATTGGCGTGGTGAAGAGGGCAGACCATGGGAGATCTCTCTCTCTCTCGCCCTCCTCGCTCAAGCAGGAATGTCTCTCCGTATTCTATCTCGTGCGGTGTAAATCAATGTTTGGTTCGTTGTCGGGGGGGATCTTTCTTTCCATTCAAATTCCTGCCAGGTACGGAGTCACGTGGCATCGGACTTTAACGGAGAAACTACAAAATCCACGTCGCGGCTTATTAGTTAGCAACAACATTCCTCCGCAGCCGAAGGATACAGTATCCTTACCTAATCACGATCATTTCGTTTCAGGAGATCGTCAGCCAATCACCGCCCTCGCTGCAGACTCGCTTAGGCTAGCGCCGCTGTTAACGTCCCTAGCATCGTCGGGCGCACCGTATAAATACCGCCCTGGGCCCGCCCTTCTTTTTGATTTTCTTCTTTTTTTTTCTCTTTTCTTCTTCATACTTACCTTGTTTGGGCAACCGCGATCAAGAAGGCGGTCTGCCGTGGAGGGGCTCCTACATTGCACATCGTGGCGAGCCTGGCCACTCAACATCTTTCGGGGTTTTGACAGGCATATTCTTTGGCTCCTTCTCTGGGATATATTTCCTATATATCTCCCAGGTCTCATCTTTTCATCGTTCCAACTGCGCCTTGTGCGTGGTAACGGAGAAGGGATTCTTGCAACCTTGTTTCTCCACCAAATCTCTAGGGGTGGTTCGATGTGCTGCGTCCGTCCACCCTAGAATTCGCTGTGTGTCAACGGCCTGGGGAGACCTGTGTCGTGTATCCGATGTGTATCGAGCGTTTTGTGGCCATCTTAGTATCACGTGATGTGATTGTAACCTCATCTCTTCCCGATCGGGCATATTCTCAAGAACGACTGCTGATGTATTGGAAGGATTGTGTCATATTCACCCCACCTTGTCTGGCTGAAATGTTTTGCAAGCCTCTCGGAAGTCCATGCAAAGTCCTCCGGTTCCATTTCATATTACCAGGCTTCTCTCCGCAGCGTTTCGTGACGCTATGAGGACAGGCCCACTTCTGGCCTCTCCTCCAATCACGAAGCCTCCCCTTCTACATGCGTGGCCACGTGCACCCGCCAGACACAACTACGAGAATAACGGCTGGTCAACTCCCTGGTCCCTTGAGTGTCAGTGACAAGGTGTCGCATTCCCCCACGCCATGGCCCCCCCCCCCCCGGTCTTCCCCTGCTGCTCCATTTTCTTCCGTCCACGGTGGCATCCGGGCTACAGGGGGAAAGCTTGTGCTACAACCCGGCGCAATGTTTGGCTGGTTTCGTACCAGCACCCTCCGAGTCGAGAACCCGATGGACGGGGCACGGAAATCTATTAAACCAACCGCATTCCCGCCCAATTGATGGTGGTTGTGACCATGATGGAATTGGTGCCTGCATGCTTTGTTTGACGCCCGTCCGTGTCTGGGGGCTGCAGCTATGTATCTCACTTCAGTCACTCTTTTTTTTGTCGCGGCGCTGGTCTCTGGTCTAGCTGCTGCTGCCCCAGGCAGACCGTGCCTCCCCATCACCAACATCCAACTGGGTCCCCGGCCCTTCTACCTAGTTGACCGCATGGACCAAAGCAGCCTCAAAACCAAGCTGCAATCCTGCTCTGAGCGTCGAAATTTCCCCTCAGACTTCTCCATCAGCCACCGCGGCGCCCCGCTCCAGTTCCCAGAACACACCGTCGAGTCGTGGCGGGCCGCTGCCCGTGAAGGCGCGGGCATCATCGAGTGCGACGTCGCTTTTACAAAGGACCTCCAGCTCGTCTGCCGCCACTCGCAATGCGACCTGCACACGACCACTGACATCCTGACTAATCCCTCGCTGGCAGGAAAGTGCACAGAACCTTTCCACCCGGCTTCAGCGGATGGCAAAACAAAGGCCTCCGCCAAATGCTGCACGAGCGACCTCACCCTCTCCGAATTCAAATCCCTCTGCGGTAAAATGGACTCTTCAAACCCCAACGCCACCACAGCGCAGGAATACCAATCCGGCACCCCGGACTGGCGCACAAACCTCTACACACCGGGCTGTCCCAAACTAAGCTCCCACGCCGACTACGTCGCCCTCGTCAACTCCCTCGGCCTCAAATTCACCCCGGAACTGAAAACCCCCGAGGTCCGCATGCCCTTCCAGACCACCATTGGCGGTGTCAAGAGGAATTACACGCAGCAAATGTACGCCCAGCAACTCGTGGACGAATACCGTGCGGCCCGCATAGATCCGTCTCGCGTTTTCCTCCAATCTTTCCTACCAGATGATATCCTATATTGGATCGCGAAGGAGCCCGCGTTCGCGCGGCAGGCTATATATCTGGATGAGCGCGTTGATACGCCGGAGGGATACGAGGAGGCTGTGAAGGGGATGGCGGCGCTGGCGAACAAGGGGGTGAAGATTATGGGGCCGCCTATCTTTGCGTTGTTGGCGGTGGATGAGAATGGTGGTGGGAATGGGACGAGGCGGATGGTGCCATCGACGTATGCAAAGGCGGCAGAGCAGGCAGGTCTTGGTTTGATTGCGTGGTCGTTGGAGAGGTCGGGACCTCTGGAGAGGGTTGGGATGGATAAGGAGTATTATTATTCGACTGTGGCCGGGCTGGTGGATGGGGAGGGGGATGTTTATGATGTTATTGATGTGTTGGCGAGGCAGGTGGGGGTGAGGGGGTTGTTTTCGGATTGGCCTGCTACGGTTACTTATTATGCGAATTGTATGGGGTTATAGTTACGTGTTGGGAGTGGAAATGTTTAATATTCAATACATTAATATAGAGATAGTTTTGCTGCACAGAGGTTATTTTGGACCATCAACGAGCACGCGAATTTAACTCCCACATACCCCTTATTCACCCCTCCTCATCTACATCACCCATCACAACCTCTTCCGCTCCACCCCTATCCCCATCTCCATCCCCTTCCCCCCCCTCCCGCATCCTTTTTAACCCCACCTTCTTCCCGCCCCAAAAAAACTCATCAACCCTCTGCTGCCCCCTCTCCCTCATCTCCTCCCTAACCCTCTCCCCTTTGCTAACAGGCGGCAACCCCCTAACCCTCCTCCCCGCATCCTCCAACAATTCCACTTCCCTCTCCCGCTGCTCCCTCACACTCCCCACCGACCACCCCCCCACCCCCACCCCCTTATGCGCAAGTTTATACTTACTCCCCACCATACGCGTCTCGTACGTATTCGCATCCAGCTTCTTGACGTACTGGTGCGCAACGATAAGCCAGTGATACTCGGTGCCGACAGGGGCGCCGCTGCCGCGCGGAGCTGGCCGTTTCCCCGCCCGCCGCTTGGTCGCGGTGTAGTCTATCTTCCAGAGGTCGGGCTCTTGCTTTGTCTCGTGCCAGGTGCCGGGTTGGTAGGTCCAGGTGTGTGAGGCGCCGATGGACATGCCGGTGTACAATCGGCCCTTGAAGGATTTCAGGGCGTTGTAGCCTTGGCCGTATCCGCGGCTGGGGATTGGGGGTGCAGCTGCAGCGGGGGACGGGGGGGAAGAAGAAGGAGGAGGAGGAGGAGGAGGTGTGTCATCTTCACGTTTTTGGACTTTGTTATCTTCATCCTTTGACTTCGACTTCTGGATTGCCTCCGGTTCGGATTGCAGATGTCGTCGTTTGGGTGAAGAGGACTTCTTGGTCCGCTTCACTGGCGGCATTGTGGCATTTATTTCTTTTCTCTTATGGTTACTGAAATGGTGACCTGTGCTTAATTATTTTCTTTTGACATAGTTATAATTGTACGAAATATTTTATTATTTTACAAGTTTCAATCGATATTCGGTATGATGTATGCTTTGCATTGCGCGGGCAGCAGTGACGTCAGGGTGGTTTGTTATTTTGTACAGCACTACTGACTTATGTCAGCTGCAGCTGCTCCTCGTTAGAGTTTGGCTACACATCATTAAGTTTAGCGCCATACTAGCTTACTGCACTATACACACCTCCGGCTTCAACCCCTGACTTCGATGATTCTCCGTATCTGCTTTTCACGCTCCAGACACCCAGACACTACTTGAAATGAAAAAAGAAATGGAATTGTGGGTTATTATAAGGTTGAACTATGAAATTATGGCTGTTCATCACACATCCATACGCCATTATTCATGACTATATATTTGATTCTTAACGCCGTAGATGAAAAAACAAAATCAAGTCAACGCAAAACGCTAAATCCGCTCAACACAGACAAAACGCACAAAAAAATAAATAGAGCAAAAAAAGAAAGAAAAAAGAGAGAGAGAGAGAGAGACCAGACTACTTTGTACCCTTCACCCGGAAGGCCTCCAACAACGCCTCCGCCTCCTGCGGATTCACAGACTCCTCAAGCATCTCATGCGCCATCTCAACCGTATCATCCTCAATCCCAGCCTCAAGCAACAGCCCTTCACAAAACGCCAACCGCGTGAGTGCAACAAGATGCTTCTGCACCGCACCGGGCACAACACGCAGCTTCGCCGCCAGATTCACCTCGTCTCGAAACGTGCGCATGGTCCCATACGCCAGTCGCGTCAGGCCATTGACGAGTGCAACATGCAGCTCGCGTTCAGGCGGGTTGGAGTAGAGCGCGTCCAGTTCGTCGTGGATTGTGCGGAGGATGCGGGCGAGGGCGGTCGGGTGCAGGGCTATGAGGCGGCCGGCGCGGTTTTGGGAGGGCGATGGGTGTGGGGAGGAGAAGGCTATGGTTGTTAGGAAGGACATGGCTTCGAGGCGGAGGGTGGAGATTTGGTGTGGAGTGTAGGGCTCCTCGCCCTCGTCGGTGTTGGGGCGTTCGCTGAGAAGGTTGGCGACGCGGTCGATTATGTAGTTTTCGTTTTGCACTTGAAGAGTTGGATCGCGGAGAAGGGGGCCGAATGTTGTGGGGAGGATGCTGTAGGGGAGGAGGCTGAGGGTTATGATTATGTCGTCAACTAGTTGGCTGGAGTTTAGCATTATGAGGATGAAGTCGTAGGACATGATTTGCCAGAATTTGCGGAGGGCGTCGGAGTCGTATTGGCAGCTGCTGGCGGTGAGGTAGAGGAGGTTGATGGCTTCAGTGGAGCTTACTTCGTGGTGCAGCTCGCTTTGAGGCGTATGCTTGACCTGCCCGAGATTTAGGTGGGAGACAGGGGAGTTGCGGAACCTGGCGACTCCGTTGACGTAGGCGGTGTTCTGCAGCACGGGGATAAGATCATCTAGTAGCTGCGGGACAATGTTTGAAGGATCCAGGTTGATGATGAATTTGATGATGCCCATGAACATATCTATTGGAACATAGAATGTTTCCTTTATTGCTCGGGACCAGAGTGAAATTATAACCTTTGCATATTCGATCGCGTAATTTTCCAAGGAATTTTCAGTTGTGGCTGTGAGAATGAAGGATGAAAGCATCTTCCCCGGTTCAGACGGAAAGGAGATTGTGGTGAATACCTCCAAGTCTCGACTTTTGTTCGGATGGGTCTTATGGTTGAGAATTTTTCGCATAAATCGCATATTACGGTCTTCTATTTCGGTCTTTCGCGGTGCTAGGTCAATAGCCATAGGCTCTGTCTTCTCGTCAGGGCCTTCCGTGACGGTGTCAAAAGTCTGGCTCAATTCCAAGGTTGGAGCTATGATGGGAGAACCATCAACAGCTTTACGTTTTCGACCACCAGCCACTGAAGGAGTGCCTCGTTTTGATCCCCTACCACCAGACTTGGTAGGGGATGGTATAATTTCATCATCGTCAAATCCGTCCCTATGGGGCAGGGCCTTGGGCTTTTTCGGTGTGAGTGGAGAGTTCTCTTCGAGTTTGGCTTTGGCTCTCCGCAGCTCAATCAGCTTCTGTGTCTCGTTCTTCAGGTCTTGTTCCAAAAACGCATTTTTAGTGTCCAGTAACTTGGTGTGTACGGTCATAGAATGGATCTCAGCTTGGTACTTCTTCAGTTCATCCGCCATCTGCTTTCGGAATGCACTCAGCTGGCGGCTATGGGCCTCTGCCGCCTTCGCCTGGTTGGCGCGAATTATTGCAGCCTCTCCTGCTTTAGCCTCAATCATTGAATTTGCAGCAGCCAGTTCTTGTGCGATTCTTTCACGATCTCGAGACAACTGTTTTCTGCGTCAGAAATGAGTTGATGCCATCGCTACAGCAGCTACGAAAATGACCGTACCTGTTCAATCTGTTCCCTCATCGCTTCAATTTCAGCCAACACCTCTGGGAGCGGACCCACTTCGGCATTCCCTCCTTGCATCTCATTTGTATTATTATTATTATTATCCTCCATCCCGCCCATAACCACAGTACCCTGCGACACCTCGCGGTGGGCATTGCCACGAGGAATAACCCCACGGCCTAGAGCGCGCCATTTTCCATTCACAATGTCTCTTGCGCGTTGGTCCGACCTAAATCCAACCTGTTGCGTCTCCGCATGTAGTCTGCCGTGTGATCTGTCTTGTTCAGACACGGTATTTCGCAATTCGACGGGTGCAGGGTCATATCCGTCGTCCAGGACGCCAGCATCCAGATCTTGGAAATCCTCATCTCCAAAGCTCAATGGCTGGCGCAGGAGCCGTGAAGGGTCTTGCAGGAAAGATCCACGGCTTGAATTGCGGCTTGCGGAGCGAGAGCTGGATTTGCGCGCCAGAGAAACGAAGTTGGGGTTCCTCGGTTTTGGCTGGGGATTGTCGCTGTCGTTTCTGGAGTCTGGACGTTGCTGCTGGCTAGCCTGGTAGGCACTCTGCTCGAGAGCTAGAAGGGTGTCTAGGGGTAGTTCATCGATTCCATCATCAGAAAAACTGTCATCGAAGTTGTCGTCGTCCATGCCATCGAGCTGTTGGATTCTGCGGGGTAGCTATCCCGCACGCGATGGGGGGAGCTCAGCCGCTGTCTCCTTGAGTTCTCCGTACAGAGGGTGCAGCAGACTCAATACTGTCGCGATATTATTATCTGCGCGCGCATCTTATTCTTTAACGCAGCCTATTTCTTTTTCTTTTGTCTTTATTCTTTAAAAAGAAAACATGTGGCAGATTGCACGTTGCGGGAGAGCCGAGTCAAAGATCGGCGAAAGGCGACTCCTTGGCAGACTTGCGCTTACGGATATAGCTGTGTATCCGCCTTGGGGAGCTTGTGGATTGCAGGAGTTGCAGGTTGAGTTATTTCAGCCGATTGCTGGTAGATGTTTGACAGTTAACAAAGCAAAAAAGGCTGAGGTTGAGTTTGACGGAAAATTATCTAGCTATCTAACTGGTTAAAGATGTCTAACTCTTCAACACAGCAGAAAAACAAGTTATTTGGTTTTTAATTGAGATATAAGGCCGTGATTAAAAATATACTCGAGAAACATAGCAATGATCCCATATCATTAAAAATATATATAAATAAATAAAAGCAATAAAAATCCTCTGGTTGTCAGCTCCAAAGAAATATCCCATATTCGACGTTCGTCCTTTTTGGTTGGTTTTCCACTCGGTAATAACAACTGAGCGAGTTCCAACAAAACAATCACCATCCCTCCTCACCTTATAAATAATACACCCCCCTTCCTTTCCCCCACCTCCCTCCAAGATACGAAGGCCGTCTAGGGATTTCTAGACGCCTCCTTTTATACCCATCCGTTTGCAGGATGGGCAGATCGCGAAGAAATGTCCGGTTTCAACATCGGCCCGCATCCACAGACCCCCGACAGGGCTCCGATCTCAGCGACATATCAGAACCTTCCAGCCCCAGCAACATTGGCGCCTCCAGCTTCAAGGCGGTTGAGGTTGTGCCAGAAGAGGTGTGTATACTCAGAGACAGCCGGCATACAAGTTCTTTATGATTCATGTTCGCCGCTGTGTGGTATGAGAGATGTTCTGACAGCCTTTCGAATTTTTTTTTTTTTTTTGGCGGCAGAAATCCGACGATGCTCCTCCATCCGACTACGAGAAGAAGAAACAGACCTTCATAACCAGGACAATATGGACGTTTGTCATGATCGCTGGCTTCTTCATCGCCATATTCTCCGGCCACATCTACATAATCGCAATCATCACGGTCGTGCAGATCATCTCGTTCAAGGAGGTCATTGCCATCGCAAACGTGCCCAGCAAGGCGAAGAATCTCAAATTCACAAAGGCCCTCAACTGGTATTTCCTCGCAACAACGATGTATTTCCTCTATGGTGAGAGCGTTATCTACTATTTCAAGCACATCCTCCTGGTCGACAGGGTGCTACTGCCGCTGGCTACGCACCATCGCTTCATCAGCTTCATGCTCTACGTTATGGGTTCGTTCACTTCATCGGTTTTTTTACACCAATCGCAGCGGGAATAGTCGGGAGCGTGCAGAATCCCTTGCTAATCTATTCTGTTTTGGCTCAGGGTTTGTTTTCTTTGTCGGATCGCTTCAGAAGGGGCATTATAGATTCCAGTTCACCCAGTTTGCTTGGACGCACATGGCTCTCTACCTCATCGTCGTCCAGGCCCATTTTATCATGAACAACATCTTCGAAGGCATGATTTGGTTTTTTCTCCCTGTCTCCCTCGTCATTACAAATGATATCTTCGCCTATATCTGCGGCATCACATTCGGCCGCACACAACTCATCAAACTCTCGCCCAAAAAGACCGTCGAGGGCTTCGTCGGCGCGTGGATCTGCACCATCCTCTTCGGATACGGCATGACAAACATCCTTATGAAGTATAAATACTTCATCTGTCCCGTCAATGACCTGGGATCCAACGTCCTAACCGGCCTGGAATGCACGCCAAACCCAGTCTTCACGCCGCACCCATACCAAATACCCTCTTGGGCCCCCTGGACCCACGCACCTCCACGAACCGTCTACTTTGCCCCAATGCAGATCCATATCTTCGTATTCGCAACCTTCGCCTCCCTAATTGCGCCATTTGGCGGCTTCTTTGCCTCGGGACTGAAGCGGACGTTCAAAGTAAAGGACTTTGGCGAATCCATCCCGGGACACGGCGGAATCACTGACCGCATGGACTGCCAGTTCATCATGGGTTTCTTCGCATACATGTATTATCATAGTTTCATTGCTGTGTACAAGGCCAGTGTTGGCAATGTGATCGAGGCGGCTATCACGGGTTTGACTGTTGATCAGCAATTAGAGGTCATTAGGGGTTTGACTAAGTATTTATACAATCAGGGCGAGGTTTCGGAAACCGTAAGTGTAAACCCTTCTGTCTGCTTGGATGAGGCTATATCTTTGCTGACGCAGTGTTACCTTCACCCGTTCTAGATGCTTGAATGCCTAAGTCCCGATTTTCGCGTAAGCCGATAGTAATATTTCGCAATATTTATATCCATATACATATTTGCTGGATACCCATTTCCCACCCCATCGCCCACTATTTCCCTCTCCTCTTCCTGGGGGATTTAGCTAAGGCTCGACTCATCCACCTCTTCCCCTTCCTCCCGCCCTCTCTCTCCCTCCCTCCTACGTCCCCCACCATGAACGAAATTATTTCCCCTTGTTTTGGATATTCTGGCCTTGCGATTCCCTGCGACTGTATCGACTTTGCATTCGTTCCTATTTCTACCTTCTTCTTCTGCCTGCCATCCCGCTTCCTTTTCTTGCATTCCATTCTCTTTCTCCTGGTGATGACCCAAGCCCAACCAGACCAAAACCCCCGCTTTAAATACTTTTCTTAGAATATCTGCCCTTAAAACTAAAAATCCAAATGGAATATTTTCCGCTTATTTTGCTACCTTTCCACTTCCTGCGCCCTTCCTGGATGTGCTGTCACTCAGGATGGGTTGAAATTTCCTCTTGGTCCCCGGGTGTGGAGGTGGAGTTTGGGTGGGAGAAGTTATCTGATGGAAGCCCCCCCCCGGCTCAACCCCTGCCTCGGTAGGTTAGGTATTACTCGTAACTGTTGCTTGCATATCTTCCTTACCCCTGTCTATGCATTAGTTGCTCCCTCTGTCCCTGTTCTACGAGTTCACAAGCATCTTTATGTTTCCTTGATGCCCAATGTGCCCATATTCTGGCTTTTACTTATTAATTTCTTTTTCTTGTACGTTTTCATGAGTGTTTATGTTTGTTGCACAGATTCACTTTAATAGGATACAGTTAACTTTCAAAGTCAAGGTGAGAGGGAGAGAAAATGCAGCTGATGTTCTATATCTTGATACCTTTTTCAGTTTTTAGCACTGAAATCTGCTTTTCTTTTTCAAGTTAATATTTAATTTTGTTATGACTACATATTTACGACTCACATATCATTTTACTTGTGCTCAGAGGGTAGAGAACCTGTGCGTTATATATATATATATATTTATATATATCATAGAGATATCTTAATCTGAAGAGGTGAGAAGAAATACAAATATTATGATGAAAACATCTATTTTCAAGTTATTAAGAACAATTAATCGAGCATTGCCGTTGAAGCATTAGGTAAATTGAATCTTCGATCGGTGATCTCAGGCAAATGTATATCTCAACAATTGCAGAAATGAAATGTCATGTAATCATGCGCTTCATGCATGTGTAATTGAAATAATAACAGATATGTCATGTGTTCCTGACGTTTAATTTCATTTGTTAATGATGAATATCATCATATATTCACCCGCTCTCTAATGCATTGAGGAAATATATACATTTTGCTGTGAAATAAGTATAGAGTTAAAGACAAAGTCCTAATCCCTTCCCATAGTTATCTGCCATCACTTGTCTGACATCGTGTTATCGAACTCGAAGAGAACGAACTATGTTAGATGCCGGTGAAGAGAGCTAGATCGTACTGGCGAAGGACGTTCGATGCTAAAAAAGCTGATGGCGTTTTGAGATTGGAGAGGTAGGAGCTGCAAAGGGAGTATAGGAGATGTATGGAGGGGGTATACGGAGTGGTGGTAGCTGCGGGATGGGAATGGACGGGTGGGCAAAACTCATGTGGGGTTCTTGTAGGTCTAGGATGGAACAACAATAACAATAAAACAAAATGCTGATGCGTTTATGAGTCCTATGGCTATGCGATAGACCAAAACGTTTCCTGAAGCGGGTAGAGTCGGTGTGCCTGTTTTCTTTTTGTCCGATGGATAATGATGGGTGGGGAGGATTCCCCTGACAGCTTGTCAGTTTATAGCGTAGGTCGTGGGAATGGTGAGTAGCGTGCACTGCCGGTGCCATTGCCGGTGCTACTGGTGGTTGATGGAAGGGGATAGTGTTGGTGTTTTTGAGTCCGTGATCATATATAGGCAGCATAGGTAGCTGGATCGCATGGACGATATTGAAGATGAGGTTTTTCATTTATACAGAAACGCTCTTAGGAGGAAGCAAGCAAAGACATCCAGGATATCCCTGCCACGAGCAATATCTCTACCCCCGTGTCAGTGGTTATTTCTTCGGTGGATATAACTGCAGTCCTCAGACGTCCAGGCTCAGCGCTCCGACGACAGATGGCTGTATTTGCGAGTTGCTGAGCATGTCACATGCTGCCCTCGTAAAAGCATGGTGCAGAGAGTTTTTGTGTGCCGTGTGCCTGGGCTCCAAAAGAAACCCAGCAAGCCTATTCATCCACCTCATACTCCTCCATCTCCACCTTGAAATATTCCGCCACAGTCTCCCGCTCCGCTGAGGCCTGTTCAGGATAAAGCATGAACCGGACGGTGCCCTCACGAGCCCTATCACCGGCTCTTCGTTGTGCTTCATGGGCAGCCGTTGGAGTTAGCGGGTTGGGCAGGCGTCCATTTTTGTGCCCATCGCCATTGTTTTTCAACCCGTTTGGTGCTTTAGCCCCGTTGGTACCGGACTTGTCCGAGTCCCAATATGTGAAGCGGGGTAGCTTTTTGGAGTCGACTTCTTGGTTGAGGGGGATGCGGATGTTGAGGAATAGATCGAGGGGGAAATCAGGGCCGATGGAAGTTGAGCTTCGGTTGTGGGTGTAGAGTTCGAGCAAGTCAAGCATTGTCTCTGTGAGATTGGGTTTAGCGTTTGGGACATTGTAAATCTTTTCTCCGGGAAAATTCAAGATCGATATGTTTCCATCGAAAGACGTACCCATTATTTCTTCGCGGGATGTCAGCCAGAGTCTATATACCCTCCCTGACTCCACGCGTTCATGACGGTCGTTGAGAAGTCGACCTGCTAGTTCAAGGCAGGCAAAGGCCATGGTTGCTGACGTCTGCTTGAGGGGAGCAAAAGTCCGGTACAGATCGAGACTCATGCCATAGGAGACTGCGGACGTTTTCGAGTCCTTGTCAAAATTAAAGTGCTTTATCAATTTTATTAGTGACTTCTGAGGATGGCGGTTTCGGAAGTCAAATCCTGATGATTCGAGCATCAGCCGCTCCAGTCCAATTATTCCACGGGAATGAGATTCAAAAAGCTGCATGTGATACATCATCGTTAGTAAGTAGGAGTACTTCGTAGCTTCCGCTTGATGAGGAGGCCTACTGGATCATCTGCAGACAGGTGTTCTGCTGGTGAGAGTTTGAGATTATACGCGGAGCAGAGGATCTCTCGTGATTTCTTGAGTGTATCCTCGATCTTGCAGGCAGTGAACAACGCCGCCGCCGCCGCATCCTGTTACCGAAAGTAAGCATGGAAAAGTCAGAGAGCTAGATGAACGAGCCAGACATACCAGATAGTTGTATTCGCTATCTGAATGCACGAGCCGGAATTTATGATAATAAATAGCAGCAGTGTTGAATGTACGTACGGGTCTGGACAGGATATATCAGCCTCGAACAACATATAAAGGATGAAAGAAAAAAATTAAATCAGATGCACGTGAAAGTTTGCATACAGATGGAGAGCCTTCCGGACGTTGTCAATCCAAGTGATACCCTGGAGTCGAATGCTGTCTTCTCTTAGCTGGTCGACACCGGTGGCGGCTATACATTCATGGACAGTCCGCTCGAAGACATAGGGCTTCGCAACCTGGATATAGGAAGGATGGGGCCCAGGAAGAGACGCAATAGGTGGATGGACACTATTATTCGCATCCTGGCGCGCGGAATCACTCCTCGCAGGCGCCATTTTTTTTTAAAAAAAATTTTATATTGTTGTGGGAATCAAATTCTCGGATATAAATGTATAATGTATCTCATCCTGCTTGAACAAAAGGTGCGCGATGCGTGCAAGCTGCTCCCGGATCAACCATTTCTCCGGGCTTTGCTATTTACACACTTTTTGCATCAAACGACGATGCTCATTCATCAGCAATCCATGGATAGCATTCGTGAGATGTCTGTATTGCTGAAGGACTAAAATCCCATTACCTGTCATTATGGAGAGTAGCTACACTCAACTGCATTTATATGTCATCCTCGATTGTTGACAACCACTTCATCAAACCCATCCAATTCTCTGGCACAATCTCACGCTCTATTTGAAGAAGACTTAACATACATCAGAGAGACATCTCGTAATCCAATTCACTATTATGACATCTTGTGATGCCCAATCTCTTTATCCCAATCTCCAATCTGCACCCAATACCATTCTCTAAGCTGGTTACATGTGTCGCTTGGCGTTTTCCTCATGAGACTCCAGCGCTGCTTTGTCACAGAACCAACGATCGCAAGGTTTGCAATGCTGATGGTTTTTCCTGTGATGGACCAGTAGATCATCCAATGTCGGAAAAGCAATGTTGCAGCCTCCCAGAAGGCACTGGTAGGTGTGGTTGATTGCCGCATGTTTAGTCGCGCTCGCAACATCCGTGAATTCTTCTCCGCGATGGGGACACTTGCGGTGCTTGACTGCTTTATGATGAGCAGTGCGGGCTTTCTCCGTTTGATGTGCAAGTTTGTACGTGGGACACACGAGTCCGTTGGTACTCTGGTGACAATCGATGTGCTTCTCAAAACTTTTCCTATCCAAGAAGTAGCAGATGCACGATTTGCAATATGCATGTCCTACGTCTCTTTGGTGTGCGTTCCGACCCATCTCGGTTTTGAATACGCTGCTGCAAAGGGGGCATGAGAACTTGGTGCGGTTGTGGATCTCGTGGTGTTTGCTTAGGCTCTTCTGGTCCAAGAAGTAGCCGCTGCAGTCCTTGCAATGTGCATGTCCTGTCTCCCGCTGGTGCTGCATCCTCTCTTCCTGGTCCTTGAAAGTCAGATGGCATGCTGCACATTTGAATGTGTGCATCTTCTGAATGTGGAATTTGAACAGGGAATTATCGCTAAAGAAACTGAGGCACAATTTGCAGTAGTTGTGCTCGTTTGCCATCTGATGGAGTTGGAGACTAACTACCGAGTTAAATGTGTCACCACAACCGTAGCAGACGCTTCCTACTCCGGTAGGTTCTGGTTGCATTCTGGCGAATGTCTTATAGGTGTGCGTAGGTTCTGGTTGCATTATGGCGAATGCCTTATAGGTGTGCGAAGGATCTATGGCCTTTGCAACTTCCAAGCCTTCCACCGGTGTTGTGTGGTAGTTCTTTTTCGCCAGTGCGGCATTTTCTAGTTGGGAAACATAATATCCGCCGGAAACCTCTGAGCCATGTGACGCCCTGGCACTGATGGTCTCAACTGCTTCCATTCCACTTCGATGGCTAGATTCCGCGGTTCGCTGCCCATGGGATGGGGTAATTGCTTTTCCAATGTTGTGTACAGTTATCTTGGCATGGTCAGAGTCCATCAGAGTCGTATCTGCTGAAACGGATTGCTCTATCATTTTATTGACCTCCGTCTCCCCCTCCCCTGGTTGAGACTGGTTTTTTACGTTGTCCATGAGGACTTTGAAGGCGCTAGCTATGTTGCATGTGTCCTCATCCGGGATGCTGACATCTATCAAATCTCCCGTTTCCATACCGTTCGGTTCAGATACGGGAGATTGATCATTGTTCCCAACTGGGGTTCTGGGCTTGCTACTCTGCGGCGAACACCATTGTTCAAACCCACTCACAGGCTTTTGTTCTCGGGTCTCCTCCTCTCCCGTCCTGGCTACTAGGATGGAAACAGCTCCAGAAGGGCGTGGAGAAGAGCTTATGCTTCCCATGGTCTTTGCCGCAGATCCGCCGCTACTCTCTCCAGAGGTGTTCTTGCGATCGGACATTTTTGCAGCAACCTCGAGATTCTGCATCATTTTACGGCTTTCATCGAATTCTCTGCTCGTATTCATAATAATCTATCAGTGACGTCCTATCTCATATGCTATAGTCCATATTTATTTCCTAAGATTGGTCATACTTCGGATGAACGCTTTGTCGATGGCTTCTTAGCTTGCACAAGCTATCAAACGTGAACGAGCAGTGGATACACTGCAGCGGTTGGCCAGTCTGAATGTGATGCAAGTAGTTCTGCCGGAATTGCGTCTCATGCCCGCAGCTCTTGCATTTGAACATCTTTACCACGGGGTGGAGGGTCGACCTTCTTGAAAAACTGTCAAGAGAGTTGTGGTGAATTTTCAACATTATTATCATGATGAACTGTAAGAGTGTCAAAAGAAGGTGAAAAGAAGGATGAAGCATTGAAGACAGAAAGTGGGTGAACTGGCTGGTCTCAGCGCAATAACACATCAGTTGAAACAAATAGAGGTCATCACAGAACGCCTTGATTTGAGGACTTGTAAATATCCCAGAAAAGGGGGAGATTAGATATTACATCTGTCCGCTTAAAAGAGGTTTTTTTTTTTCTTTTTCGATATATATTGTTTTCATTCTTTTCGTGTTTTCTTACTGATGTTTCCATGTTACTAAAACCTTCTCTCTTGCTCTAACAATCTACTGCCTTGCTAGATTTGATGGACTATTGTTGACAGCGGATATGACCGAACTTGCGAGATGATTCCGGCAAGGCACTGCCATGTTAACAAAAGTAATGTCTGTGTGAAAGGATTTGCATACTCATCCTGCAGAGGGCTAAGTTAGAGCCTGGCAGCGGAGATCCCTTAGGGCGTGGTTAGGTGTGTCGATGCAGCTGGACCAGGGGGTGACTCCCAACTGGCATTATCCCTGCCTAGGATAAAATATGTAATCCTAGAGCTTTTCCATTCTCAATCGTCGCATTCTTCGTGACTGAGCGGCAGACTGTTACCCTTTCTTATAACCGATAGTTTTCAAATCTATGGAGGCAACACCTACGAAGTTAAGAAAGTCCTGCCCCCTTGCTCGGTGGCTTTGCGAAACGCCTCCAACGATTTTATATATTAACTAACTAACTAATGGCCAAATACCTTGATTCTGTCGGAGTAACTATGTTAAAAGATCGCAGTGTGACCATTAACCAGCTACACTTTCAGTCGGAGTTTGCTTGTTAACTAACTAACATGCTGAATGATACCACAGTCGTTGGCAGTGTTGGTTCATTAGTGACGCCATTTCTCCGTACAAATCAAGTCCGGCTATAACTACTTTTCAAACAGCCGAGTCGCGGACCAACGGCAAACATCCAACTTTATACAACCTCGGAGGCCGGAGGCAGACGACAGTGCCATAATGGCAAGCAAATATGGCTATGAGGACAACGGGAGGTCGATTCTTCATCTCTCGAATACGAGCAAAATCCTTCCTGAAGAATTAATGCTCCTCTGCCACCAACAGAGACTCTCCTCCTCGTTTCACGCCGCTCCGCCGTCTCCACAGGTGCATGATATCATACCAAGTCAAGGTCTTGCCATTGTTCGCTTCTGAGGTATTAACTCTATATATACCCACGGTATTCTTTCTTCTTCATATTCCACTATTTCTGGTTCAACCACTCTATCAACTATAATAAATTAACCCTTAAATTCGAAATCAGACGCCATGTCCCGTCATCCAGTTGCAACAGGTGCCGCGAAGGCCCTGGTAGACAAGCACGCAGCGGAGCTTCCCTTGAAACTCTATGCTGGCTGGTTTTGCCCGTATGTTGATCATCTTCGCCTTCAATAATCATACCTACATACTAACCAATTTTTAGATACGGTATGATCAAACGCCCATCCACCAACAAAACATAATATATCAACACCGTTCACCCCAACCCCCTAAAAAAAAAACTCTAACCATTGAGTCATCCTATGTTTTAAAAAAAAAAAACCTCCAGTCCAACGCACCTGGATCACCCTCGAAGAAAAAAAGATCCCATACCAATATATCGAAATAAACCCCTACGACAAATCCCCCTCCTTCCTCGCCCTGAACCCAAAGGGCCTCGTCCCGACCCTTGTCGCCCCCCAACCAAACAACAAACCCTCCAAACCCCTCTACGAATCAAACATCATAGACGAATACCTCGAAGAAGCCTTCCCAGATAACACCCCACACCTGCTTCCCCAGGACCCCTACGAGCGCGCCCGCGCCCGCATCTGGATCAACTTCGTCGACAGCCGCATCACCCCCACCTACCGCAAGTTACAACTGGCCAAGACGACAGAGGACCTCCATGCGGCGCGCGGGGAGTTTTTGAAGGCGCTCAAGGAATTCACGCGGGCGATGCATGGCGAGGGGCCTTATTTCTGTGGTGGGGAGATAGGGTTGACGGATGTTGCGCTGGCACCATGGGCGGTGAGGTTTTGGAAGGTGGAGAAGTTCAAGGAGGGTGGGCTTGGGATTCCGGCCGAAGGCAAGGGGGAAGAGGATGAGGGGGTTTGGGCGCGGTGGAGGAAGTGGGAGAAGGCTGTTTTGGGGAGAGAGAGTGTGAAGAATACGTTGAGTGAGAGGGAGTATTATGAGAGCTTGGCGAAGATGGGTTGGGCGAAGATTTGATTTGATTTATTTTATTTTATTTTTTGGCTGGTTGGTTAATTTCTTGACATTGGATGTCTGCTTGGAAAATTGAAAATACAAGAATAAACATAGTGTCAAAAGGAATAGACATGAGCAGAGAAATGAACGTGTGTATATGAATATATGTATGTATAAGAAAGAGTTGGAAGTAAGCAACGAATCCGCACTTTTGTGAGCCGTCAACAAAAAAAAAAAAAAAAGGCGACAGAAAATGGAATTTGCACTTTTTCCTGACAAAAATGAAGGAAATGGAAGAAAAAGAAAGAAAATCAGAAAAGGAGAGAATTTGTCCCACCCATGCACCCCCTTTAGCGGTTAACTTGCGCCGATTTAGGAATTTTCAACACCTTCAGAGGCTCTCTCTCTTTCTGTCTCGATTTCTGTTATGCATGGATTGTTATGGAAAACCAGGGTTGAATAATAAAGATGTGAAAAGAATGAGCGATCATGAAGGCATTAAATGGAGAGAAAGGGAATTGTGAGAATGTAAGCAACAGGATATAGAGGGGGAAAAACAGGAGTCGAACGAAAGCAGAGAAAGCAGAGAATAAATTGCATCGCATGCTATGTGTGGACCATTTATATGGACTTGAAGAGAGGATAAAGCTCTGGGATAGCTACAAGGGAGAAATGAAAAAGTGACGTGAAGGAAAAGAAAGAGATGAGGTATGGAATGAGAGTAGCACATAGCCTGGGCAAGCTAGGAGGGGCGAGAACAGAAAAAAAAAGTGAAAGGATTCAAAAAAATGATCACCTGCAGCTATTAGAAAGCAGCACGGATTTTCAGCCCTAGTATATCAATTACAAAGCTACTGAAGCAATGCACGCATCAAAGATAATGCAGTCTTTGTCCGCTCTCTCACATCCGGGTCAGAATCTTCTTCCAAACTGAGCAGTTTCTCCATCACACCCAGGCTCTTAAGCTTAATCGCCCGCTCGCGACAACTAGCATGATCCATCTGGTCATCCGAAATCGTCAAATTAATAATCACCCACACGCAGTTTCTTCGTATCTGCGTGCGCGGGTTGTTGAACAGGGGAATCATGAGCTTCAACAAGGTGGGATGCTGTATCAGCAGATGCCGGTGGCGAGACAAGCCCGCTGCGATGTGAATAATCATGTAGGTAACAGACTCGAGAATCTCGGCCGGCATGGTGACGGACTTTGTGGACAGGGAGGTGTCTTTGCGACTGTAGCTGCCGAGGGTTTTGGGGCGTAACTTGTCCGCGAGGATGTTGAAGAGGTCGCTTTGGCCGACTTCCTGGAAGAGGAAGTCGATCATCTCTGGTGCGCCGACGCCACAGATGATGTTTCGGAGGAGGTCGAAAGTTTGTTCTTGGACGCGGAGGTCGTCGCGTCGTGCTTGTTTGGTTTGATCCAGGTCGCCGTTTATGGCGAGGCGTCGACGACGGGAATTGTCTGCGATGAAACTATCGAGGCTTGTTTTCGGTGACATGATGACGTCTGTCATCTGGTGGTCTTCCTCGTGAGGCTGAGATTCCTTGTCAGACATGTCCGTTGGATTAAGGATGTCGACCTGTTCTCCGACAGAATTCGAAGTTCCCATTCCGATCGATGAAGAACCACCACCTATATCATCGTCTATTCTCCGTCTGAGATTCGGATCGTTAGGATCGTGGCAGATGACTTGCTTTAGCCAGCCGGGTTCGAGTTCCTCGACTATTTTCATTTTAATGTCGTTCGTGGAGTTGAAAGCGATATGCTTCAGTGCCCAGAGAGCTTCCAGACGGAGTCTGCTATTCGATGAATGTGAATGATCGCAGAGTACCGGAATCATATTGTGTTCGACAATGATCTATCGACAAATGTTAGCATTGAGATGCTCAAAGAGAGATGACAGAAGAGTTGGGGGAAAAAACAAACTTTTCAGACTTACCTCCTTCAATGGACTGAAATCCAATGTCAGATTACATAAAACTGAAGTTGCGGCAATCTGAACATCAACATCCCCATGCTTGACCAATGCAAACATTGGAGTTGTCAAACAATGGTCAATCATGTTCGTCCTCAATGCAGTCACAGATCGTGTCAATGATCGCACAGCTGCACAAGCTGCAAGCAGCGTTGGAACTGGATTTCCATCAAGGGCATCGGGGGACTCTGGGTCACATGGCTTCATCGAATCGATAATGTAACCTGTGACGCCATTTTCGCACATCATTCTTCTGTATTCCTCCTTAAAGAGGCCCAGGGCAGCCAGGGCTCTGAGAACGGCCTCGCGAAGTTTCATCTTGTGATATGCCATGGGAGATAAACCGCGAGGTCCAAGACATAGTTCTGGCTGCGAAACATTGGGTGTTACAAGCAAACTTTTGTCCGGATTCCACATGGGTTTGCCTGTCCCTGCAATAGGGTTGAAAGACTCTTTAAGCATCTGTGCAAGTTTTGGTATAGCCCCGCCTTCTCCTGCATGAGATTGGAGTTCGCAACTATCCATAATCAGTGACGCGAGAATTGCTGGCGCTTCTTCTTTGATGCGTAAAGTTGTCGGAATCAGGACGCTCTCATAAACATCGGCATCATCAGGAACTTCGAAATCCTTCTCAAACGTGGCAATGAGCAGCGGGATCAGCAGGTATCCGAACATTGGCAGCCGATGCTTTTTCGCTAACCCTAAACGACAGAGGTTTGTTGCCAACTTGGCTCCCACAAGCCGGGTCAGATCCGACTCTGCTCGAATAACTGCGAAAAGCCACGATATGAGGGCGCTTTCCTCCTCATCGGACACGTTTGATTCGGGTATGGAAATGGGTGGGCTAAAAAATTGGCCATGTCTCCCGTACGAGTTATGAGAGCCGAGCGGCGGGAAGTTTGTCGAGATTTTTGTCTGTACGATTGGGACAGAAGGGAGAATGGCATCAATTGGATTGGTGGCACTATGGCGAGGAACTGCGAACCCGGAGAAATAGGTCGATCCCCATGGCGTTTTTTTGATATCATTGGGTGAAAACTCGGGTACCTCTTTGGGGAACACGGTTACCACCGCTGGGGATGAGATAAAGTGTTCTGCGCGAGATTTTGAATTTTCGATAATTACGGCGATAGCTCGCAGAATAGGGGCAAGCCTTGCATTGGGAGGGGCAGCTGGAGGTAACATCTTCAAAGCGCCCGGATCCATGGCACTGTTTTCCGCGCCTGGGAGAACAAACCCCTGCGAAACCACAAAGGTGGAGAGTTTGAGAGCCAGCGCATCTAGGACGCCGAATTCCGCCAGTAAGGTCTTGTGATTTTCCTCTGAACAAGTTTTGGCAATTAAGTTTGCAGCCAGGGCGACTGACAATTCCGAAATGGAGGAGGGAGATACGGTCGAATCGATTATCAGTCTGCGAAGGGTTTCAACATGGTCTCGAGAGAATAGGAGGGAAGATAGCTGTTTCACATGCTGCGAGCTTCGCTGCTGACACAGGGGGAATCTATCGGCGATTATGTTGAGAGTCTCCAGTACGGCAAGGAAGAGTGATGGATGGCAGTTTGGCGAGGATAATATTGACAGCAGCTGGGGAAAGATGCCACCTGCAGCTATGGGAGATATGAACGGCGGACCCCCTATTTCAGCCGTATTAGATTAGAAGAAGGATAAAGATTCTTTTTCCCTAGAACCTCAAAAAAAAAAAAAAAAAAAAAAAAAAAAAAAAAAAAAAAAGGCAACAAGCTGGGATAGAAAGGAGCAGGCTGAAGAAGGGGGTAAATACTTACCTTGAGCTAAACTGCCAATAATGATAATAGCCTGTAAGCAAGCCTCATCTTCATCAGATCTACTATTCCTTCGCTCGGAGGGATGTTTTGCGTCGCCATTCCGTTCGCCGACGGCCGACCTCTTCCCCGTCCCTCGACGTCCTGCGAGGATCTGTGATAACAAAGGAACAATGCCCCACCCGATCCAAGCTTCTTTTCTTTGGTCATGCCCAATAATCTCATTTTTCAACACCCGTAGCGCCACAATCCGTGACGCGGTCGACTCGGGATCTCGGATCTCAGAGATAAGCTGAGGGGTCGCCGCCCTCGTCATTCTGGTTGAATATGGATCTTGGGAGGAGGGAGTTGCTGGGTCCAGAGAGCAAAGCAAACAGATGGTTGAAGGGTGGAGATGCTAGGCTAATGGTTACAAGGGAGAAGGAAGGGTGGATGTATCGGGCTCGGTGTTCACTGTTGTTAACGACGAAGCCGGTGGGGTGGCCTTTCTAGCAAGCTTAATAGTCAGCAGGGAGAAGGTCTATGATGCAAACCTCCTAAACCAGACCAACAGCAATTTGGAGCTGGAAGGTTGGTAGGAGCAGACGAGGGATCATCATGGGGCTGAACTAACTGGAGCTCTAGCTTGTGGTTAGATTTATTTCAAATGCCTGCAGAGGGGCGGTTTTCTGTGTACAAAGAGGGACTGGTTGATGGGAAATCAGACTGGGGATAGAGCAGGAGTCTATGAGGGAGCCAGGAGGTAGAGCAACAGGTGTGTCGTGTTGCTTTGGTGCGGGTGTTGCCCGTGGTGTGATGTCGACTGAGTCTGGAGGGACCGTTCCCAGGTTAACCTTTTGATATCGCGGCTTCTCGAGGCTGCCCGAGCGATGACGGCCAACGAACACAACCAGTTAAACTCACAGTAGCTGGCTGGCTAGTCGTTGGTTGGTCACAGTTAATTACTAATCCGTGCCGCTGCACACCTTGTGTGGGTGCGCCACACCAAAATGATAAAAACACCAAAATAATAAAATTTTGCAATTTCATCATCTTCATAATCTTCATCAATTAATAACTCACCACAATGTCAAATAAGAATAAAAATATTGAAGACTGTATTCAAAAAGCTATCACTTATCATCAAAAAAATCAAAATTTCAAAATACTATCTCTGTTATGAGAATTTGAGATTTCTTATCAATATCTCTGAGTGTATATCAATGAAAAAAATCTGAATAATGCAAAGATTCCAGTTAATAAAAGATTAAATAAGAGTCAGAAGAATGCAATTAAATGATGAGTCAAGCTGCTTTATGAAAAGAATTGTTCTCTTACAATCAAACACATTAAAGATTTTATAAATTTAATGCTCAGACATCAGTATATAGATTCTACTATCTCTTCTTCAAAAGTCAGCAAGATATGAACTTATATATTTATTGAACATCTATTTGAGTATAAGAGAATGAAACAGAAGTCAATGAATTCAAAAAAAATAACAGTTGAAGATATTGAATATATCAATATATGATTTGAACATCTTCAGATTTTATTTGAGCAATATTAATTTTACATCTGTAACACATATAACTTCAATGAAATTGAATTTCAAGAAGAACAAAGATGTGAAGAATGAGTTATAACTGCTTTTAAAGAAGCTGATTTCATCATTTCTTCATTCTTTTCAAAAGATTTGATTACAGTCATTGAATATGTATTCATGAATAATTATATCATTTCATTGTTGATAATTTTAGTTTTCAAAACACACTTGAAGAATGTACATACACAGACAAATTTATTCAGCAATTATAAAATTGCTATATCAGATACTGAATTTACAAATAATGAGATTGAATTTAAATGACTCAAATATTTCAATACTACTATAGAAAAAAGACAGAGAGAAAGTCATCAATTACTTTTAATAAATAATCATGAATCTCATATCATTGAGAAGTTCATACAATACATAGATCTTCATAAGATAATTCTATATGAATTTTCATCATATATTATTCATTTACTATAATTTCTGAATAGTCTATCATTTCAGCAATATAAGTAATATCATTTAAAAACAGTCAATTATGCTGCACATCATAATCTTGTTAAGTATAAAAAATGACAATTTCTTCAAGATCTCTCAACTATGCAAAAGCAGATCTTTAAATCTGATATAATAGCTGCAGAATAAGCTCAATATGATATATATTCATGAAATTCTGACTGAGTTCTTGACACTTTTAAGCTGTGAATTTTATCATCTTCTTCAATGCAGATTTACAAAAATAAGAATAATTTAAATCACATATTTATCTTTTTTTCTCAGTTATTCTCATCAAAGATAATTCAAAAGCTGAAATATTATATTAATATTATAGAAAATATCATATAAAGTATTAGAGATACTCTTAATTTAAAATCATTCATCTTGATATATTTTTTGAACAAGATATTCAAAGTAAGTCTAATTCACATAAAACTTAATAAGCAATAAATCATTGAATTAAAGAACTTTTTCAACATCAGTAAATACTGCAGAGCTGAAACAATTTATCATCAGATTCAAGTAGAAAGAGTTCTTACTATTAAAGATGTCAATAGAAAAATCAAATGATAAAAATAATAAAGCTGAAAAAGAGCAGAATAAGAAATGACAAAGACTTAAAGTTGATCTTATGAAAATTGATAATAACTCACTCACATCACTGACAGAAGAGAAATTAAATCAATTTAAAGATGACACACATACTGAGAATAATATAGATAATCTTTTTATTATAGATTAACTACTGATTGTTGATATAGAGTGCAATAATAAGAATATAATTCAAGATTTTTATCATTTTAATGTTTTTATTATTTTGATATGATGCACTCACATGAGATGTGAGTTATACAGTGGCACAATTAATCTATAACTAACTATCTAACTATCTGTAAAGGGTTAAGCTCTAAGAACTAGAGGCCAGTCCTCCTATATAACAAGGACGAATTGCTTGAGAAAGGGAAGAAAAGAATGAGACGAGAACTCGAGCTTAAGCAAGCTCGCGTAGCGTGATCACGTGCGCACGTGCAAACGATGGCTAGGCTGAGTCAGCCAGGGTTCAACCCCTTATACTATCTATCTAACTAGTTAGTTGTCTGCTATCTAACTAACTAATTATGCTTCTACACAACTCACATCTTGTGTGAGTGCATCACATCAAAATAATAAAAACATCAAAATGATAAAAATCTTGAATCACATTCTCATTATTGCACTCTATATCAACAATCAGTAGCTAATCTATAATAAAAAGATTATCTACATCATTCTCAATATGTGTGTCATCTTTAAATTGATTTAATTTCTCTTCTGTCAGTGATGTGAGTGAGTTATTATCAATTTTCATAAGATCAACTTTAAGTCTTTGTCATTTCTTATTCTGCTCTTTTTCAGCTTCATTATTTTTATCATTTTGATGTTTTTATCATTTTGGTATGGTACATGAGGTGTGGGTTGCGCAGCGGCACGATTAGTTAACTAACTTAGTTACCACTCTGTGGCTGCTGAGTCAGGTGTTAGTCAGGAGCAGCTGCGGAATAGTACTAACTAGTTAACGTTAGTTAGTTAGTTAGAAGCTAAGCTATTTCTATATACACTAATCACGTGCGACGGAGCGACTGCCCTGGCAACGCATGCCCGGCACAATGTGGCATGTATTGTAATTTGTAACTTGTAATTTTACCCGCACAAGCTCAGCATCACGTGATTTCCAGCCTGCTATTCCATTGGGGACACGGGCACCAGCCAATGAGCGAGCGGGCATTGACCCTGCTTCCCCCCACTTAGTAATTCATTACCTATTTCCATGGTATCCCAATCACAATGCGTGGAACGTTTCTCGGATTGAAAACTTGCGGCTTAGATGGCCCCCCTCCCAGCAAGAGAACAGCCGTCTCCCTTATCCCTCTCTCCCTATCCTCTCCCTCTCTATATCTAAACCCAACATCCTTTCCCACGGAGGGTATTCCCCAGCATCACGGCAATTCCTAATTTGAGTGAGCGGCCGCACAAAGACGAGAGAACCCATCGCGGCCGGCCTGCCTCTATAGCAAGATGCGCTCTTGCGGGTCCTCTGCTGCGTTGGAAAGCTCTGGCTTATTGGCTTCTCCCTCTCCGTCTTCTTCTCCCACTGCGGATGGTGCTGGCGCTGTTGCTGCTGGCTGCGGCCGTTATTACTCCCGAGCATACCAAGTCGTCGAGGCCCCTGGTGCGGTGCCCACATAGCAGCGCGCCTCTGGCCCCCTAAGCCCTCTTAAAATCTTCCCGTTCTCCCCGTTCCTCCCCCATTTCTGCCCACACTGCCCACACTGCCCACCGCCTGCGCCCACGTGGTCTCTCGTCCTGGCTTGCTGCCCTGGCTGCTCTCCCCAGCGCAGGCACACAGCTGAAGAACATGATAGCGTCATCTCCCACGTCGGCTGCGCTTCTGCGCACTGATTCTGCCCGTTCGCCTGCCAGTAGTAATATTGCCTTCCCTGCCTGCACTCATTACTACGGTACCACAACTTCCCCCCCGCCAACAAGCCACCATCATCCACATCTGCCTCCACCTCCTTCCCCAAGCATCTCACGGCCTCGACGCCCCTTGTCCGATCCTCAGCACAGTTTTGGCATCGAGGAAATACGATCCGCCTTGCGGAGGCAGACCGTGGACGTCGGGACTCAGTACTCGCCCCCCCCCACCCCGGCAAATAAACCTGCCCCTCCTCCCCCGCCCGTCTCAGCGGCTAACGAGACAAAATTCACCGATAATATCACCAATGCCCATTCGGGCCCACAGCAGGGCCAGGAGAGTATACCTCCCCAGACCGATTCGCAGATGCCATCGACGCTCGTTGGCTCGAAGCGCAACACCCCCGACACCGCCAGTCTTTATTCCACGGCCCGCGAAAACGCACAATCAATTGAACCAGACAGCCCCTCGGGATCCCTCTCGAAACGCCCACGGCCTGAAAAGCCAGCTGCAAAAGTCCTTCCGCGCCGCTATGAAGAAGTTAACCCCCGCGACCTTGTCGTGTTGATCTCCAGCATGCTGATGGAACTCATTCGCTTTAACGACCAAATCCCCCTGCGCGATGGGCGCCTCACTCGTTTCCATTCCCGTAGCCCCCCTCGGATCTCCGTGCAAGATTATCTCCAACGCTTGACGACACATGCCACCCTCTCCCCTCCCATCCTTCTAAGTATGGTTTTCTATATCGACCGACTCTGTGCGCTCTATCCGGCATTTACTGTCTCGACTCTCACTGTCCATCGATTTCTGATCAGCAGCGCAACTGTTGCCAGTAAAGGGCTCAGCGACAGCTTCTGGACAAACAAGACCTACGCAAGGGTTGGCGGGATCAGTGTGGCGGAGCTGGCGTTGCTGGAATTGGAGTTTCTGTGGCGGGTCGAGTGGCGTATCGTGCCGCAACCTGAAGTACTGGAGGACTATTATCGAAACCTTGTCGAGCGTTGCGACGAGTATGTCATCCTACCAGAAGAGGATGATGATAAAATCCATCCTACAGGGGGTGAAGCTGCCCCCGCTTCACATGTGGCTAATGGCGGAGAAGCTTCTTCTTCTACCATGCAACAATAACAAGGTAGCGGTTCAAAGGGCCCTCTTTCTTACTGCTATTCTATTCAACAACTATCAAACCTTCCTTCGCATGCTCGATCCATATTTCCCTTCTTGTTTCCGGTCTACTTACCGTCGACATCCCCCACCAATCCGGAGAAATCAACGACTGAGTTTGTATCTTCCAGAGGAGCAATCTTGATTGATATAGAGACCGGAACATGCCTTGTCCCCACTCTCCTATGAGAATGGCATCCGACTTGACGAAGCACATTCTAAATGTACCCCTTCTTTCCTGTTTGAATTATTTTTATTTTATTATATTTATTTTATTTTACTTTATTTTATTTTTACTTTCTTTTCCATTCGTATATCTCCCTTGCTTTTTATGCATTGTTTCTGTTCGTTCACCTTGGACTCTTATTAGAGGATTCTCTCTAGAAAGAAACGCATTTCGAAGGTTCGCAATGGTTCCATATGAGCATTTTCACTCTCGGCGCAAATGGTGTCCGGTTTCGGTGTTCTCCTCCTATGTCGATTCTGTTTTTTAAGGTTGGAGTACCCCCGTAGGTACTTTGGATTTGTCAAATTTGTATCTAAAATAAAGGCAAAAAGGAGAAATTAAACTACGTAAGATGTTTTTTGATATAACCTGCATTGTCTTAATTATAAATTATACTATAGATCTGCATTATCCTGTGAATTTTGGTTTGGTCCCCTCCCCTTTTTCCTCTGAGAGCTGTTAGACGTTTGGATCAAAAAGAGTGCGCATCACATGACTCCTTTGATCCGGTTAGAGAGTCCGCTTCATCTCGAAAATACATTGAAGCTTGGAGAGAAAACTAGATGAAGAGAATAATTTTCTCCCTGCTGAAAAAATGAATAACCCCCAAATTATATATCCGGTACTTTCTATTGAGTGTATTATATTGCTCCAAAGCAAGATCTACAGGGAGGATTAAAACGGCCTCGTTTAAAATCCCTCTGACATACGGTCACCGGCCCTGGTAAAATGGGATCGCTTGATCTCTTTGAAGATGCACAGCCGTTACGCGGCCATATCTCGTTATTAAAGACGGTGCAGGAGACTCGAACGGGAAAGGATACAGGTGAGGACTCTTATGTATTGTTTTTCTGCCCTGAGCCGATTAACGAATACCTGCGCTTCAATCAAGGGAACGACAGAGGATATAAGATCAAATTTGCTAAAACACTGCGCATTGTATGAAAATAGCGGAGGCGTACGTTGCGGAGATAAACGTCAAGTGTGCGAGCAAAGTGTTAAAGTTTGTATTTGCGATTCTTGTCTCCCTACATTTTTATAAATAATTTTAGGTGGATGGGGGTGGTAAGCAAAATACCACTATCCCCCTATATCTATCTTGTATGTTTGAGTTCTTGGACTAACATGTTCAAAATTTTAATAGGCTGCTGGACTCCAAGTTCCCCAAGGATCCATCTTTAAACCTGGCGCATCTGCGCCGTTTCATCAAGCCCGAGTTTCTACCGGATTACCTGAAAAGGGATGAGTCGCACCCAGCAGCGGAGCCAGGAGTGACGGCTGAATCCAAAGGCCCGCAAGCCATTTACATCCTCATCCCACCGCCATTGCCCGAGGTTTCCCTCCTGGAAACGCTCCTGGCCCCATACGCACCCGTCCCAACTTCCATAGACTCTTCGACCGCCTCCGACCAAGACGCGGTACCACCATCAACGCCCACACCAGCGTCCTCCCCGATCCAAATCCAAACAACGCACATCCCTCTCTCCCCACCAACGTCAGAAGAAGAATCAGCCACATGGTCCCAAACTCTCTGGCCAACCATTTTCAACCCCGCAGCTCACTCAATCACGCACTCGCCGTGCCCATGTGCTAATGCGCAGATCGTGAGCGCAGAGCGCACTCCTGCTCCTGCGAGATGTTCCCTGAAGCGAGCGACGGTCGTGGCCGGCTATCGGGCTGTGTGGTTGATCCGGCGCTGGCGGACGTGCGGAGTCGTCGGATAGCTTGCTGAGTTGTTGTTGTTGCGGGGGATGGGAGGTATTGGAACGGGGAAGGTGGGGAGGAGGGAGGATCATATAATCCTGACCGTGAAGGGCAGCCGGATCACCATGCGCTGATGCGCGCGATATCGCTGGTTGCTTATTAAACGTCTTACGGCTTCGACGTCGCCGACTGTTACGCCGTCGATAATCTACATCCCCAACGCCAACCCCACCACCAGCAACTATATCATCTCCTGCTCCTGCTCCTGCTCCTGCTCCTGCACCACCCGCTGAACCCTCCTCAATCTCCGAACCGCCGCCCAAAAAGCCCAAAACATCACCACCCCCCGACTCCCAATCCATCAAATCTACACAGCAACCGCTTCCACCACCCTCCCCCTTAGAATCCCACTTCCTCTCCCTCCCCAACATCCAAACTCGTGCACAAGGCGGTTACCTCTGCACCTCGCTAGACCTCTACATAACCCATGAGCCCTGCGTGTGCTGCGCGATGGGCATGCTGCTCTCGCGGTTCAGGGCTGTGGTGTATTTGCAGCCGGCGGGGGAAGGGAGGGTGGATGCGGCGCTGGATCCATATACGGGATATGGGTTGCATTGGAGGCAGGAGTTGAGGATGTGCCCAAGTATGCGCAAAGAATGCAGCGATTGCAACTGCATAACAAGGTTTCAAAAAAAAAAAAAAAAAAAACCTAGGTTAGAAATAGAGAGGGGGGTGTTTCATGCTTGAGAAACCCTATGGAATATGGAGAGGAGATCGACGATGGCTTTTACCATGTATGTATGGTTATTCGTGTATGTATGTATGTATGTATGTATGTATGTATGTATCATAACAATACAGGACATACCATACCCAAGGGCTTAGATTAGGAGTGGCTTTTCTCTATGATATATCTCGACGGTACACACTCATGGCACTGTCCATCGATTGGAGGAACTTATGACATAATACAAGGTTCATTCGCATAAAAGTAGACTATCTTTCCCTCGACAGGCCGTGACGAAGAGAAGGAATCCACACCAGAGAACATCTACTCTTATATTTGAATGGCCCGTCCCGCCATGGCAAAACACCAACAATCCAATCTCCGACATGCATCATTGCTGCGTGCAAAATAGACCACCTAGGAGATTCGAAATGGGTCAAATGGTAGCATCCATCTCCTCATGTCCTGAACAACTCTGTTCATTCCCTTACCTCCCGTTCAGTCTCAGCTAACCCACAAACCTTACAGCCCTCATGTCATGGCCCCTTCCAAACAATATGTATGTTCCCCTGCCCAATCCCCGGCGAAGGACGTGGCTGAATATGCGCCGGCGGGGATAGCCGTATTGTCCAGCGCTCTCCTTTCTTCCCCACCAGCAATGACGGGTACGAAGGACGTCGAAATAACAACCATTCTTTGCCACAAGTGTGTAGCGGAGTTCGACGTTTGCAATCTCGAGCATTGGGATCACCCATGGGTTGCTGGCGCCCAGATGGGATGGAATGCGATGAAGCCTTTATTGTTGCCTGCGTCTAGGAGATCTAGGTTTTGGTTTGAAGCAGGAAAAGTCACTATATTTATCATTTTTCGCGATAATATCAAGTTGTAAAGTAATTCAGAGAGGTGGAGAGGCATTTTTGTCCCTTACTGTCCTTGTTAGTTAGATCGGATCCAGTGTCGATTAATAACCCCTTGATGATGATGATGTCGTGCGCATCTGGGAGGGAAAGGGTTAATAGCGGACATGCCAAGCATTTTATGTAGGAGGGCGGAATTATCATCCGTCGTCTGAAATGAGATAGTAAAACAGGGAATTTCTTGGAGGACAATACGCGAGACGAATCTGAGTTTATCATCAAGGTAGCCATTAGTGAGGACATTGAAACATTCCTGGACCTGAGGGCACGTCCACACCCCTGGGCGAGGATTTATAACTGAAATCATTGATGTATGGTGGGTTATTAAAGCCAACTCCAAAAGCGCTCCTCCCTCTATATGTGGCAAAAGCTTTTGGCGCCAGAGTCGAGGAACCACTGAGTGAGCTCGGGCTCGTTATCTTCGATAACTTTGATCAAACTGATGCTTTGCATTTTGCACGTCTGATCGTCATCACCAAAGCCCTCGATAGAATTCGGGGGGCCTTTGCGGATCTCCAAATTTCCCATTTTGGCTGAGATGGCAAGGAGGCTCTATTAAACCTTCCCGCGGTAGGATCTGCGCCCATTCAAGAAGAAACTTGGCTACTGACAGAGAGGAATGTTTTCCGGCGCCTGTGGCAATTAGAAACAGAATATTGCCATGGAGCCCCCTTAATGTCGATCCTTTCCCCCGCAGCTTTCACTACAATCAATGGCGACGTTCATTATGGAATCAGATTAGCCCTCAGCAGCTCTCTTCAATATTGCATGCATCTCGGAACCAAAGTGCTTGTATAGTGGATCCGGATTAGCCTCTAATAGGAGACGAATAATCCCTTCACTTCTTGAGAAAACAACCAACCGAAGCGGGGAGGAATTAAGCTACCTGGTCTGACTTCGACAGAAGCTCCTCTCTCCAGCAATTGCCTCACCGGCTCGACTTTTTCTTTTTTTTTTCCTTCTCAGGGTCGTGACAAGTAGCAAGTTATTGTTTTTTCAATATAAAACAGATATTTGTTTCACAGAATCGGTAACAAGGATATTTGCGGCCTTTTTGGATATTTTCGAGAGGAAGTATTTGAGGAGGTATGAGCCCCGAACGGATACGCAGTTGCAAAACATCGCGGAATCGTAACGAAGGATGTTGACGTTTCGAGTCTCATTTCCATCATTTCAATCAATTTCACCGCTAGTGGTGCAGGTAGCAAAATTGAAACTATTAATTGAAGAGTAAGTTAGTATCAGCCTGTATCAAGGGCAATAAAAACTAGAGAATTCGGATCTCGGGGACCAAGGTTCTTTGCGATGGCTCAAATGAGCTCTCGTTGGAATATCAGATAATTGCGGAGCCACGTTACAGGCAACAGAATAAGAAACGAAGAGAAATATGCACTGGCATGCGTACAAATTGACCCCACGCGGATTGAAGTAAGAAAACAGGACAAATGTGTCTGAACAAGATTATGAGCGTATGATGTGTAGTTGGGAGTAAGTTAAAGGAAAAGCAGAGCTGCACTGGACTCTAGGAGTTGACAAACTAAGTTAGCTAGTTAGTAGTAACTAGTTAACCACATGCGAGGACTCATCATTAGGCAGATATGACGCCAAGTGGCTGAATCACAGGTATGTCAGGCAATGACACTCCGAAATCCACTCTTCAACAACAAGACATAGAACAACAAGAAACAAATCAAATCTCACCCTGCTCTCCAATCCCAAGTTTATGATGTATGAGCTGAGAATCATATACATTATAATATGGTAGTAGAGAAATCCACCCCTTCCATACCTAAAAGGAACCTCGCCTCCAGGCAGAAAGAATAACGCGCCATTGAGAAGCATGTTCAAACTAGCTTTTCTGATGAATAGAGATGCCATATTGTTAGTAAGAAATTGGGTGGTGTATATACAATATCATATAAAGTGAAATATATCCAAAAACTTTCTTCAAAGTCAGAATTAAAGCGCTCGACTCGGAATTTCGATAGTCATGCACATAAAGCCCAACAAAAAATATAAAATATAAAATATAAGAGGAGAAAGTAAAGACATGCCCTCTTCCTTTTATAACGTAGGAAATTCGTTATTCAAAGCCTGATCTTGACCTCAACGCATGGTAAGGTCCATTCTCTCCGCCCGAGAAGGCTTCGTAACCATTCCAGACCCATTCCCGTCCATTCAAGGTGCGCCTTGTCCACCAGGGTGCCATTAAAAGATAACTGTTTCTTCATTTCATCGATTGCAGCGCCAGCTAACGCCATAGCCGTCGTGTTAACCGTCTCCAGCACATATTCGGCTAGCACAGGAGCCGCATGGTCTGGGGCTGTCTGCAATGGGGAAGCCGGGGCAGCGAAGCGGGGAGCAAACCAATCACCTCGAAAGTCAAAGAAGCAACGATCCGACCAGTGGCATGAGGAGAGGAAGAGGATCAGAAGTAGGGCGGAACAGTAGATGCATGGCCTGTGGAGAAGGTAGGTGAGGGTGATGAAGGATAGGATAAATAGGGGGCTGGCGTTGGTAGGGATGAAAAGGAGAGGCAGCCAGCTGGGCAGTATATCCATCAGCAATATTTCTTTTCTGTGATTACTGGGGACATCGTATCTACCTTCTGAGACAGAACATTGTGCTAGTATGATGTATGTTGTATGTCGCGTGTCGCAGATTTAGCAAGATCAGTAGACCAATGAACAACTACCAAACGGGCGGTTCAACAGTGTTGGTCTCAGTAGAAATATGTATCAGAGATGGCATAGAGTGCGTGTATCAGGGAGGGAGGCGACCATCGTAGCGCAACTAATGCCCCAACATGCTAATTTTCCCACCGGATTATTTCTCGATACAGGGGATCTCAAGGGTTCTCAAGGGTTTTTTGAGGGAGGGGAAATTCAAAGCGGTTCCAAGTACCTCAAGCAGTTGATGGCTGAGACTTCATTCCTTAGTAATCCACTGGGCGAAAAAATACGTCTGAGGACAAAGGCAGACAAACAGAGCAAACAAGCAAATAGAGTAAAAGGGCTAACTCTTAGCTAAACGAAATTCCGGATCAACCCAAATTTACTCAAAGGCGTATCATTTCAATTGCAATTGTCAACAGCAACCAAAAGTAATTCTACTAAAAATTAAAGTATACTAGGGCTAGGACATTCTTCTCGTATGTTTAATAGCTTCGCAGTTGCTATCTCTATGAAGCTTATAATTTTGACTGTAAAATAGAAGATTTATATTTATATAATAAATTAATAATATTTTTAGTTAATTATATGAAAAAGAGTAATAAATATTAATTTTTTTAAATAAAATTTGTTATTATAAATTCTATTTTTTATAATTATAATAATTATTATTTTATATTTATATAAGTTAAAAACTTTAATTAAATTTATTTATTTTCTATATTATTAAAAAATATTTTTTTTATTTTGCTTTAAAAATACTCTTAATTAAAACTTTTATTAAAATTAATTAGTCTTTTAACTTTTAAAAAAGTAAATAATTATTAATACTTTTTATTATAAATCTATAATATTTAATCTAAATAGTATAAAAACTGAAAATATAAAAGACTAATTTTTAAAAAATTTTTAAAAATTTTTAAAATATTTTTATCTACTCATTGCTAAAAATTTATATATTTTATCTCATATAAAATCTTTTTTAATTTTAATTTTCTTTTAATATTTCTAAGTATCTTCTCAAATTATTTTTATTAAATTTTATTTATATATAATAGAAAAAAATTTATAAAGAGTAAAGAGTATATAATTTAAAGTCTATATATTTAATCTTTATAAAATATAAATTTAAAATTAAAACTAACTAAATATAACTAAAAATAGAAATAAGCTAAAATAAAGTATATACTTATAAAATATATTATAAAATTGAGCTTTAACTAATTTTTTAATAAATTCAATAAAACTTATTTAAAATTTATAGTTAAATTTAATTAAGTTTTTAACTAAATTTAATTATTATTGTTAATATTTTAAATATATATAATTAATAATAATATTATTATTATTATTATTATTATTATTATTATTTAAAAAAAAATTAATAAGTTTTAATATTTTAATCTTATTTATAATAAAAATTTATTTATTTATTTTAAAAAATAATTAATTATAATAAAAAAAATTTATTTTTTTAATTTTATAAATTTAAAAAGGTTTATAATAATAAAATTAATAAATAGATTTATTAATAAATTTTTCAATATTAGTAGTAGTAATAATCTATTAAATTATTTTTATTTAAGTATATTTATATTTTGATATTTATTCTTAATTTATTTTAAATATATTTAAATACAATTAATTTTTTAATTTTTTAATTTTTAAAATATTTAGAATAAAAATTATTATAATATATTTTTAATTATTTTTAATATATTACTTTAATAATAATAATAAAAGTTTATAATTATTTAATTATTAATAATTTAAATCTATAAAGATATTTTTTATTTTAAAAGTTTTATTAATTAAGTTTAATTTAAATTTTCTTTTTTTAATTTTTTTTATTTAAGTTATAATTAAGATATTTCTGTTCTATAACTTTTTAATAAAATTAAAAAATTATATAATTAAAATTTTATAACTAGTTAACTAGTTAACTAGTTAAATTTTTCATATTTTATAAGTTGTATTATAACAAAATATAATATAAAAAGTTCATATTCTTTAATATCAACTTCAGCTTGAGATCTGAGAACTTTATCTTCACTATGTAAATGCTGTGAAGAATTTTTTTCTACTGATAAATCTTTTATGTCAGTTGAAATAATATATCATAGATATCACCTTCTGACATATTCGTCTCATACTGAATTGATAGAAGAGAGAATCAAAGTCAGTGAGTAATATAGCATCAGTGAATATCTGCTTCAACTTTTCGAATGTCATTGCTGTCTTCATCTATGAATATGATAGTGAGATACACACTGATACAGCCAAGCTTACTAGCGCAGAAAGGGGGTTGGCAGGATCTTTTGATCCACACCTTGATAATTACGGTAATATCTTAACTAGCTATAAACCGTAGTTGTGGCTGAGAGGTCCATCTACCACATTGAGTCTGAAAAAAAAATCAATGCATAATTTAGTAAAGCAATGAGGAAATGACCTCGATCTTAGAATTCTACGTTCCTGATTGAAGGCTTGATTGCCAATTGTTGTTGACATATTGAACAAGGTTGATGAACGCGGTGCATGGCTGCAATTAGTTACTTACTTCCAATGCGGAGCCTAGCCGAGTTGCAAACTACAAAGATCGGAGGCACGTGACTAACCCCTTCAAGCGTCGTCATGATAGTATCCTTAGTCACCCGCCCATTCACTACCGATTCCACCAAAGTTCAAAATAACTTCAACCTCATTATCTGTTGCTTTTTTGCTCTTTTAATTCCTTCCTCTTCCACCACCCTCCTTTCATCCTTGTTTTCTCATCTTTCATCGGTTCTCTGGAGTTGTATTTGCTCTTTCTCCTCTCTTACTGTCCTTTTTAGGCTTTGTTTTCACGCGTCCTGGAGCTCACCTATTCAGGTGATTGAGGCAGAAATGTCCACTCCGGCTGAACTCCAGGCCCTGTTTGCCAACATCAAACCAAGGCATTCGCCAAATACTGCATCCAATACTCTGGCCCCTGAGGCTCAGAGCCGTCGTCAGAATGGCTCCCCATCTGGTGAATACTCATTTTCATCTTCAGCCGGTTTGTTCCAAGCTACTGTGTCCTCGCCTCTTTACAGTCCTCAGTATGCCGGAACTCCTCTTCATAGTTCGGACGTTCTCGGCCCCAACGTTCATACGCCACGTACCAGCCACATACCACAGCAGACTCCGAACGTGGATCGCACTTCCAATTTGTTGAACTTGCTCAAGTTCAGTTCGACTTCCCAGAGTCCATCCCCTCCAAAGCAGCCACAGGACGAGCCGTCCGCAGCGAAGGGGTCACAAGGTGAGGGGCCTGTTGGTACGACCCAAACTAGCCATAGAAGAGGCCTATCTGCTTCTGATATTGTGGCCTCGTTCATGGGGAAACCAACTACTTCATCCTCTGCTGCCTCTGGGTTGTTATCCGATGGTCACGGTGGCGGACAACCCTCTGAACGGCCCACCACCGCTTCCCCGTCCGCTGATAATGCTCAAATTATGCTGTTGAAGCTATTGAATCGTCCGAAACCGCAAACGTCTCAACCGGAGGAGCAAGTGGCAGCTACTGTTGGTGCGAAATCGCCTGAGGTTGCAAATCCTCCCCGAGAACGTTCTGCTGATGCAGGCGTCACACCACTTTCGGGGCGTGGACCGTCCCCAATGAGACTGTTTGGGACTGATGAGAGTCAAGAAACCACCCCTTTTGAGCCACCGATTCAGCAACAACCGAAGGAATCGATCTTCACCTATGTTAATCCATTCGAACAACTTGCGGCGGCATCTCCCCGCAACCGAACTCCACAGGGAAATGAGTCACGAGGATATACTAATACTGACACTGTTGCTGATACCTCCAGCAAGGAAAACGGGTCACAAAGCCTCAGCAGGACCAATGGCCAGCGAAAACGGCCAGAACCCTCCGAGGACATTGATCCATCATCGTTGCCTTTGGAATCAGGTGAGAATATGTCGGTTTCGGGGGCACAAGAATCCCAGGGTCCTGATCAGAAAAAGATGAAGATAAAACGAGAATCAGTTCCTGATGCGCTTGGAGAAATTGCTGGGCAGGTTGACAAAGAAGTGGAGGATGCCTTGGCAAGGGCCACTCTGGACGAGTCCATTCACGTTAAACAAGAATCTGAGGGAGAAAATACAAAGGAAATTTTGAACTCTCTAGTAGATAAACTGGAAAAGACCGCAATTACTGTGCAGGAAGAGTTGGAAAAAGATATCAGTGTTGAAATTACCCCTAAGAGCTCACCTCCAGTTGTCCCAGATGTAAAGGAGTCTCCTGATGATACCAACAATGCCGTTGTTGACTCGTGGGAGTCCGAAACAGGTCGCGTTGTCCCTGTGTACAACTTTCCATTGAAGCCCTTCATGTCCATCACCTGGAAGGGGAATACAGTAAAGCACTCTTCCCTTCGGGCTGACGGAATAATGGACATTGCCCGTCTCAGGAAGGACTTCGACCAGTTGGACCGTTCACTTACATCAGCTACCTCCGAATACATCGTATACGCATTGGCTAAGAGTGGTGGCATGAGAATAGTTCGACAAGATGACGGTCAGGATAGACAGGTGTTTCGATCTACCAATGATCGGATTTTCAATGTAACTCTATCTACTACCGCAGCCGGCTCCTCATCGACCAAGGAACAAGCTGTTATTGGGATCGGTGTCAGTGGCGCAGTCTACTGGGCGACCATTTCCAAGGCAGACAACGATCTCTTTGATAAGGATGCCCCCGAAAGTGACAGCTTAATTTTTCCGCCATTCCCCGCCTCGGATGATAATACGTCTGGAGGCCAGCTGAAAACGCGGGCTAGACGGAGCTCACGTCATCCTGAATTCTTCGCGATCGGTCGTGGCAAGTCTATTCACATCGTATGGCCGCATTCCGCTATGTCTCCAAAGTATGGGGTGACGAAAACCCAGCGCGAAGTTGACACGGAAAAGTTTTTCAAAGAAAAGTCTTTGAAGATCGCTACAGGCAAGGCTGGTAAAGACTTCATATTCAGCGATGATGACACGGTTATTGTCTCTCTTGACAAAACTGGCAGGATGAGATTCTGGGACATTCGTGAGGTGGGGGACTTCCCTAATGCTGGCACTTCGAAGGTGTCGACAGACATTCGAATCCCACTTTTGACTCTTGTGACTGGCTCGCCTACGGAGAAGTCTTGGCCTACTTCTGTTTTATTCATCGATAAACTGCGGCCATACGTGAAAGCATCTGCCCTTCGCTATGTTCTTGTTGGTTTAAAACAGAATCACACGCTGCAGCTCTGGGATATTGGGCTGGGCAAGGCTGTGCAAGAATTGAACTTCCCTCACGATAATGAATCCGATGCTATATGCAGTGTTGCATACCATCCTAGTTCTGGAATTGTTGTTGTTGGCCACCCTACGCGTAATTCTATATATTTCGTGCACTTGTCTGCACCGAGATACTCCCTACCTCCGATGTCGCAAGGCACGTATATTCAGCGAGTAGCCGAAAAGGACGAAAGACTTCCAAAACCGGAGTCAACAGCTTGTATGAGTGGAATCCGCGAGCTGTCCTTTGGCAGCAAGGGGCAGCTGCGAAGCCTTGAGCTACTGCCTCTCAACCGGCCGTCCGTTTCGCAACGTAGTGTTGATGAAGAGGCAGGGCTATTCGAGTTGTACGTTATGCATTCTCTAGGAGTCACATGTCTTAATATTAAGAAGTCAGACCTTGGATGGAGCAATGACAACAAAATCCTTGATCCCGTTAATGCTTTGCAGAACGGTTTCATAGATGTCAATGCCCTGCAGACGTTCCCTGCTCCAGTCGATGAACAGTCGGTAAACGGAGATGTAGCCCTAAAGGGTGCTCCGAAAGCAAAGGAACCCGTTAAGAAAGCTGCTGGTCTCTCTGCAGAATCTGTTACTGGGGTTGAATCCTCCCGTAACCAGTCCCCCTCGAAACAATCGCCGAAGAAGAAGACAGGTGACTCAGTATCTACTTCCGATCAACATGATCAAGTGATTACTTCTACAGATAAGGGCGATAGAAGGCGGAAGAAGAAAAACGATAGTGTGAAAACAAAGGAAACCCTAAGTAGAGATGTTAATCAGTGCCAGCCAGAAATTCCTCAGCTTGTGCCGGTAGTTGAGACTCCTATTGCGCTCCCTCAGATTTCTGCCGATTCTAGCGCTGTGGAAGCAACTAACCTAGGCGTGTCGTTTGACTTCCTAAACCGGGAGGTAAAGAAGATCGAGAAAGCTGTTTCTGCCGAATTTACGAAGTGCCTTGGTCGTGAGATGGATTCCTTGTATGCTCGCTTTGATCAGGATCGTCGTACGCAAGACCAGGCCGCTAATGCGAAGCAAGATGCAGTTTTGCGGCTTGTCTCGTCAACCCTCTCTGACAATGTGGAGAAGAATTTGTCCCGCATTATTGCCAACAATGTCCAGACGATGGTTGTACCAACACTTCTTGAAACGACGATCAAGTCTATGGACCAGCAAATAAAGGAGGGGCTCGGCCGACAGCTTGATTTTGTGGTTCCACATGCTATGAAAGAACTTCTCCCAGCAGCTGTACAGAAAACGGTCCTGAATGAAAATGTACTGAGTCGCATTTCTGATTTGATTTCTGCATCCGTTTCAACCCGTGTGGAGAGAGACATTTCTAGGGTTCTTCATGAAAAGATAATTCCATCATTTAGAGAAGAATCAATTCAGCAAGCGAGATTGACGACCAAGGAAGTTGAGAGACAATTTGTCGCTCAGCTACACCAGTATGAGTTGCGACAACAGCAGGATAGCACCAAAATCGATCAGCTTACAACCCTTGTTCGCTCCCTGTCCGAGACTGTTTCAGTCATGGCAGCTGCTCAATCTCAATTCCAAAGTGAAATCTTAGAGCTCAATCGTCAGGTTGGAGCAAAGGCGGCGTCACCCCAAAAATCTTCCGGCCCAACTACGGTTGGAAGCAAGGTTCCACCCGCTCAAGCAGAATCGACCCCAGAACAGATCGAGCTAGAGGAAATCCGTAACCTTATGAATAGCGCAAGATACGAGGAAGGGTCTATTAGAGTATGTTACCAACTCGTCTTTTTGATAGTTCACAACGTTTTCCAGTCCTCTAATAGGTTATGTCAATTCAGTGGATTCAATCACCCCATCAAGCAGACCTTTTCAACAACCTGTTTGTCAACTTTGATCCCTCATATCTTGCCAAACTCTCACCGCTTGTAGTTCTTTCTGTCAGCGCCGCCGTGACATCGTCTCTTGAAACAAACGTGATGGATCGTCTCAATTGGCTTGAACTTGTTTTCCAGACTGTTAATATCAAGGTAATTCTACCATTTCTTACAAATCCGCGATTACAAAGCGAACGTGTTCCGTGTTGCTAACACAATGTTGCTACGTAGGATCCCGAGATCTATGAAGTCGCACCGAAAATCATGGATGTTCTTATCCAACGCCTTGAAGCTCTTTATATGGCTATTGCAGAGAACACTCCGCATGATCCCGTCCTCCGCCGGATTCCTCGTTTAACCCGATGGGCCAGGGACCTCCAAGCACACAACCAGTGAATTCAGGTTGAAGAAGCTTATAACAGCATTCTTGAAACTCCGGCTCTCTGATTCAATTTAAATTATCTTATTAGTTGTTGAGACCCCACAGTTTTCCAATTGATCGTCACTGAATCGCAAGTCTAATATAACCAATAAATTGCATGGTCTGCTTAATCGGATTTTTCTTTTCCGGAAACAGAAACGTGCAAATTGGCAGGATAATAAATACAACTGTCGAGCGCCAGCAAACCCGGCACATCAGCTCCTACGATCTTAATATATCTTGCTAGCCCTTTTGTGGATTCTGCTGACCTGCGCTACTTTCGCAGAATCCTGTCTTGTTTGTTGTCTCTGGGTGATCCGACGTCGCCCTTGAAGTGTGTCACGCTTGTATCTTAATTTCCCGGCCCCGTTTCCCCGAACTGCCTTCTACCCTCCTAATGCCTTTCATCAAGCTTAGTTTACATCAAACCATCTGAAAACGCACCTATTTCTTCCACTTCTTTCTTATTCATGCTGTACATTGAAATCCGTGTACTTTAGCGATGAAAAAGAGGATGGCGGAGTTACATAGGGAAACCCTTTTGTTTACTTTAGATTATCTAAAATTTCCTTATTTTGTATCAATGTCGGTGGTTACTGGCTAGTTGGGCTTGATTTGGGACTGATATTGGTGGAACTGAGATAATGGCTAAACGAGATGTTCAAAAGGACCTTTGATCTGATGGATTGATGCATTGCGAAGAATCATTTTGCAGCGTGCTGCTAATTTCTTTTTCAATTTATCATATCTCTCTTTCTCTTCTTTCGGAAGAGAAATATCCCAAAAAAAAAAAACAAAAATGAGAAATAGAAGTGCAAATGATTATTTTTCTCTGCGGGTTCAACTCCGGTGTTTTTATTTTATCCGTCACACATGTTTCTTGCTTTGATGGGCTGTCGCTCATTTATGATTATCCTAGGTTAATGTCATCACTTCAAATTTGGCTTTGAAAAGCCTTGAAGAGAATCTGCATATTAGTTAGTCCCTGGATAATAAAATAAGCTTATACCCTATGTTGGTGTCACAGTCATCGAGATTAGACCCAACGGAATGGGTTTGATTTGGTGAAAGAAGGACGCTTCAATGTCTTGAAGAAATAACTATTACCGCAAGGAAAATACGAGGAATGACTCAGGAGGCGCCCGATCCCAATCCTCAGCGGCGATCCTGATTGGCAAATCCCCATGCAGACGGCCAATCATCAAGGCACAGCTGGAAATATTGTTTGGGGGAGGGTATATTGTCAGTCCAAGGATACAGATAATCTCTCCTGACAGCTCTGAGAGCGGCTCATCTAGACAGGACTAATACATTAAATCTAGACTCAACTCATCCAAGCTTACAGCTATCACTAACAGAACTATTAACCCATTCATGCGGTGCAGGCAGTGAGTGTGAAAGCAGCTTATATAACAGCTTCCCAACCTCACTTTCAAAACAAACACTACGTCGACATCAACTCCCAATACCCGTCATCCCATCTCCAACCTCTATACCCCATATAATAACAAAATAACAAAACAAAATCCAACCAACAAAATAAATAACAATGGGTCTTTCCCATATCGGCTTCTGCGTGCCTGCAGCCCGTTTCGACGAAGTTGTCGCCTTCTACAAAGCCGCCCTGGCTCCACTGGGATATAAAGAGCACATGCGGCCTGTGGAAAACGTCGTGGGCTTAGGGGTGTATTATCCTGACTTCTGGATCACGGGCGTTAAAGCAGAAGACTATAATCGAGAAGAAGATGGCGATATGTCAATGAAGCCGGCTCATGTTGCGTTTGATACCAATAGTACGTAGTTATACGATCTTGCTCCGTTTCCACATACATATATGTGTATAATAAATGCATTTCCCCTGAAACCCCATGCTCACCATCGCCGCTCAGACCGTGCCTTCGTCCACGCTTTTCACACTGCGGCTCTAGAGGCTGGTGGAAAATGTAATGGTCCGCCTGGGCCACGCCCGCAGTATCACAAACTTTACTACGCCTCGTTCGTGTTGGATCCGGTGGGCAATAATATCGAGGCTGTGTGCATGTGGCCTGCCTGGACGCATTGGCGGTATTGGGCTGGGAGTGGCGTTTTCAGTAAGAAGAAGGGGGATTGAGAGATTGGGGCGGAGGCAAAGAGGGGTTTTGGCAGGACGAGAAGTTCGTCTCCGATTAGGGGCGGGGTGGGGCTGGTGGAAGTGATTTTCAGAGGCTTTGATGTATGTCACGTATGTGCGCATTATGTTATTGATACGACTTGTGTATACTTATATTTTAAAAAATGCTGAATGAACGCATTGACTGGTTCCATTGTTAACTATAGTCTATTTCAAATATATTTGGTCGCTGGAATTTTAAGGTGGGAGTGTAGGATCATGATATAGGATGTAAGATAGATCCATGGTCTTCTGCTTTACTCGGTCCAGGTGTTGCAATGATAGACCGAGGATATCTGCTGTGGCAGAACGGGATTATATCCTCTCAATAGAGCATAACACGAAAGCATCTCTAAAGCTTTCGTCTCGCATCGAAAAAACTCACTCATTCCCCACCCTACCTCTGAATTCATCCATTTTCCCTCTTTGCTGGCCTGTGAACAAGAGGAAAACTGTGATGCTGCTGTAGTTAAGTGTTGCGGTTTTACAGAGTTCACTTTGTGCAGATTGATTTCTCTTCCACCGGCCCCTTTCCAATTCCCTTCAAAGCTGGACCATCAAATCTCTTCATCCAACGTAACTGGGTCACCTCAGCCATGTCTACGAGCTTGTCCGGTTCATATTCCAACATAGCTCTCAACAGCATATGTCAACATGAAGCCTCAACAGGATCCGTTTCGCGAGGCCGGAAATATACTGGATATTCTTTCCCTCAAAGTTCTAGGCCGTATCGCCCACGCCAATTCATCGGTATTTCGTCAGTGGCTCTGACAAGCTACCATCTTCCTGGCGTCGTAAGATATCATCATCACTCTCGTTTTCCCTCTTCTCGAATGAGCGGAGTGACAAGTGTCCGAGACGATGTATGATATTCAAGAAAATATCATCCCCACTGGTAAATTGTTTTTGAAATAAATCATGACCACAGAGAAGATAGTATGCGGTCGAAGCGCCCATCCACATGTCCTTTTGAAGCCCATGAGGAGTTGGATGGGGAATGTTGTCGGAATATAATCCAGCCCATGAAGGAATTGGGCTGTAATCGCCCTTACTTTTCAGGGCCTCCAGAATGTCGCCACAAGACAGCCAGCCGTCTCTATCACAATACACAGGTGTTCCCCGTTGGGTCCATCAATGGTACATACATCCAAATAAAATGGGATATAATGGTGTCCCTTGTCATTTGGGTTGCCAGCCCCCAACAGTTCGAAAGCACGGATCTCATTGGTAAAATGGCTGGACAGTAACTACTTCGTCATTATTATCTTCGAGGAGCCTGGGATCGCACGACCTCGCCGTTCTGGGGGGTTTTCAGTATTGCTGCTAAGCCGTGCGATATTTAATTTTGCGGTAAATATCATTCTCATATTAAGCAAAACACCGAAAAACCTGATATAAATACAAATACGACACGGGTTTTTGAGAAGCAGGAGCTTCATATTCGGAAAAGAGCGATTTTATTTATAACAACCCAAAAAAAAAAAAAAAAAAAAAAAAAAAAAAACCTCTTTATTGCTAAGAGTTGGTTAGTTGGTCAGTTACCAGTACGTTGAATATTCCAAGGCCCATTTTCTGTACAGACTGGGTGAGTTGTTACGAAGATATTCGAAACAAGAGAAAGAAAATACTGAAGCTGCGGGAGAAGCCAGTTTTTATTCGAGATATAGGGTGAGCGTGGAATTCGTGGTTAACTTGGTTATTTGACTCAATCTCAATGGCGGAGAATTAGCCCTAATGCTGGCAAATACTTCCCTTGATCCTCCAATTTCCTGAACAGGGCTTCTTCCTCTTTAAATGGACCCTTGAATCTTCCCCTCCGGGATCCAAAATTTGACTTTAGAGCGGTGGCTCGCTTTCACAGCTCGTTGCTCTCCCTTCGACATGCGGACTGCTTCGCTAAGGGGGAGGTTTCATGCTCAGCTTATTCTGTCATCCTGAAAGGATCCAAATCCCCATTGAACGACGCATTACTGGCAGTCAATGCAAGTCAAAACTAGCTCAAATATCCACCATGCTGTTTTCTGAGAATGAGAATGGAGAAAAAGTGCCCAAGGTGTGTGTGTGACGACACTTCTCAAGAATGCCGTAGCCGTACAAAATGGATCTGTACAACTCACCTGGGGAGACACTGCAGATCCTGTTCTGTATGAATCATGCTATATACTTTTCTTTGTTCTGGAAGCTCTATATCCATGGAATCACATTTATATTTGTCTAAGATGATCCACCAAAATCACATCGCGAAGCCGAAAGATATATGAGGTGAGAGGGAAAATATGCCAAATCCCAGAACGAATCAGATAATTACCCTGACAGCAGCAACTAATATCTTGTTGACAATCTGGTAACTTGAAGCCTCATAATCTTTGTAAATAGGGAGGTAAAGATAAGAACAAAACAACGTTTTATTTCCCTCACGAGGTCTGACCACCATTCCCATTATCCTCTCATTTATAATTATCATTGTAAGAACAAAAAAAAAAAAATATAATGTGCCGCATCGTCCGGGGATCCGAAAAGGAAGGGAAAATTGTACAATGAAGAATTGTAGAAGAAAGACGATAAGTATGTCATGTATGTATGTAGGCAGGTAGGCAGGTAGGTAGAGAAGCAGAAACGGTCGGAGTGTAGTCGGTTAGTTAGTGGATAGCAGTCAGGGAGACAAAATATGAAGTGCAAAGAATAAGGACAGAAAAGACGGCGTTAAATGTTAGGGGACGGAGGAAAACGTGTATACATATTCAAGGGGTGGGGTGGGGATATCTTTTAAACATCAAGGAGTAGAAGATTAAGCAGTAAAAACCAAGACAAAGAAACAAAAACAGATAAACAGCAAAAACGGTATGGATATGCCATATCATACCAAGGCATAGTACGATGGAGAGAAGAAAACGGAATATCATAGAAAAAAAATGAAAACACAAACAGAAGAGGGGACAAAACTGGGAGGGGGAAGGGGAGGACAGTCCAGAGGCATGGAAGGACGGGGTATCCAGAGTTCGGTTATTCAGGAATATCGCGAAAGAAGATCAAGAGACGGCTTCCACAGCTATAGCGAAAAACGCTAAGAACGGAATGCGTAGGATCGAACGATAGTGGAATGGGGCGAAACTAAGAAGTATCCGGGATGAAGCAAGCAAGCATAAAACCGCATGATCAAGTAAATCTTTTGAGTATATCAGAACAACCAAATATCTCCCGAAACAAGCGATATGCTGCTGCTCCTGTTTATTCCTTTTCCTTTCCTTTCTTTCCTATTCTCTTTTTCCCAATCCAGCCGAACCCAAACAGTGGGTCGGCGAGGAGGGGTTATAAACCAAAGAAGTTCATGGTTTGTACCGTATCGCGTTCCGTTATATAAGTTTGGGTTCGATTTTTGCAGATATATTTTTTTTCCCCCCGTATCCAAGCTTGGGATGCAAATGGGCAATGTTTCTCCCCCTCTCGTGCATTGTGAATCCCAGCATTTCATCCATCCTCTCATATCCTTTAAAAATGCCTGGTTGCATTTTTATCACTTCTTTTTGTACTTTCACTCTTTTTTGTTACATTTTTTTTTTCCTCCATAATTTCTCTTTATTTAGTTATACCCTCCAGCCCCAATAGTCATCGGCCAGTCGTCTTCCGTGATGCTGCTCCAGAACACCCAGACTGCACCTACAGAAAGAACCGTGAAGAGTGTCGCGAACATGGATCCGTTTATTTTCCCGTTGGATACCTGACAAAGATGGGTGCTGACGACGAATTGAAAGATTTGACCAATGGCGAAAAGCAGGCCTGCTGTGGAAAGGTACACTGATTATATCAAAGACAGAGAAAGTTAGCTGGAACGATGTCCCACAAGGCACATACTCACGGGTAGCAATAAAGAGTTTTGTTGACTAGTTCAATTGAGCTTTATGGGGAGAGATGTGTGGATGAGTTGGAGGAAGGATTAGGTAAAATACACATGTGGATGGAGGGACAACACATACGTAAAGGTCTTAACTCGCCCAGTATTCGCACAACCAGTACAGCTTCCAGAGCAAAGAAGCCTACGATGCAGATTAGGGGGAATAGAAGATATAGGACGTAGAGCCCTACATTTCGATTGCTACCACCGAGACTCGAGTCGAAGTGCCCGGTCCATCGGAAAGCGGTGTCCAGAGCGATATAGCCCGTGCCTATGAATAGGATAAGTCCAGACGACATGAGAAGACCAACTGAAACAGGCGTGCCGTCGTCAAGCAACTGATATCCAACAACGGCGTTGAGGAGTAATATCCATGCGGTCGCGGTGATGGCAGCTAGGTGAACAGCGGTAAATCCCTAGCCGAAAACACAGGTGTTGTTAGTATGTTTCCTTGCATCGATGAATGGTTTGGGCGAGAGATGGTGTCGGCTCAAGCATACTTTTCTGACTTCGTCATTTAGAGGGATGCCGCCAATGGTGAAGATTTCGCAGATCTGAATTATAATGTATCCCACTAGGAATATTTGTATTTCCCTGAAGAAGTCACAAAAGGTTGAGTTAGTTTCTCGAGTTTACTCATCCCATCATGATCGATTACATCGCATCGCATCGCATCATTATAGGAGCATTGTGTATGTGTTGTACCTTCGTCCCACTGCAGCTCTCTTCCATTCGGATTTCCATATTAAAAAGGCGCTGAATAGAATGGCGATCATGGCAAAAAGTATGACTCCTGTTCATGTTCACAATTGATTTATTTCCCCGTCAGCATTCTTTGTCCTTTCCACTCCGTGTTCTGCATTCTATCTCCCCATTTCAATGTGTTCGGTTGGATGGTTGATTGGGTTCATATCGTACCCAGGTTCGAGAGGTTCCTGTCACCACTCAGACTGATCCCCGTAAGGGCGCATCCACCGTATTTCGCGTTTGGAGGCTGGTTATCCGCAACCAAAAGCTGTGTGTATAACAATGAGATAATCTGTTGCTGATACATTGATGGCTAATTGAATCAGGGCGAATGGGTTGCTAGAGCAATACATACGTTGCATACTGGGATTGTCGCGTCTCGACAGAGTTCCTAAGGCATCCAACCAGTAAATGTCAGCAGGCTAAATTAGAGGTAGTAGAAGCATATATATATATATATATATATATATAGAGAGAGAGAGAGAGAATAGTATCGGGTAATGATTGGGTCGTACGTAAAAATTGCCGAATTGATTCGATCTCATCGTGGATCGATGGAGTGTACTGGATTAATCTCCCCTTGGTTGCTGTCACCAAGAAGTGTCACCCGTCGCTAAGCCGTAGAAACCTGTTCGGGCTGACGCACCACTTGTTGGATTTTGTCAGGTTATCGAAGCTGGAGTTTTCGTGGATGGATTGGGATTGCTGCGAGAAACGATCGATTCCAAGTGGGAGGGAATGTTGCCAAACAACAATGCGGGCGGGTGGGCAGGACGGTAAGTACACTGCAACACACTGCACAACTCGAATACAAACGACACTCAACCACCCTCGAAAAGAAACAACAGGCCGAGGAAGTAAGGGGATGCAATGAAAATGAGTCGCAGGTAGGAGAAGGATCGACTCCTTGCTAAGGTTATCGCGGATGAGTATTCACGGCAAAGGGGGTTCTGTCATGGATAGATCGGTGGCAGCGACAACGACGACAACAACATACGACAATCAAACGACGAAGAGACACAAGAATGATGGGTTGGATCGGGTGTTACTGCTGGGAGGCGATGCCAGAAATGGAGTCAATTAGCCTCCGGGCTAGCACCTCAAAGCGAAACAAGGCGTGGGATTGGGGGGGAGGAAGATGAGAGAAGCGAGGACAAGGACCGGGGCAGAGACGACTCAAAGAGGAGCGTTTAATGGTTGAAGAATATAGTTACCAGCCAACCGTCTGCTGCTATTATCGCGAAGGCAGATTGGCTTTCCAAGGCCCCTTTAAGGCTACGTTGGCACTGAATTCTGCCCTTTTTTTTTTTTTTTTTTTTTTTTTTTTTTTTTTTTTTGGTGTCCTTTCCCCTGTTCAAAACACCCCTGGTATAGCGGGGAAGCCTTAAAGCAAATCAGACATCAGCAGCTGTCGGACGGAGGAACGGGCGATTTCCATGGATCCGTTGTCATTCCAGGAATCCAGGGCATAGAAGGACGAGAATTTCCCAGCCAGTTAGAAATGCGGAATTACCCCTTGGACTGGCGTTCGGGACACAGAGCCAATCTGATTATCTTATCCCTAATTTAAAAACGAGCAGGGAATAGGCTGGAAGGTTACAAGATGCAGTACTACCAACTATTATCCTCGAAGCAAGGGTTTCGCTCAGCATGAGATTCAAGAAACAAGACTTATATTTGATTTCATGGGCAGCTTTCCCTCATATCTGGGGGGGGGAAGGGATTGAGGATGCATAGGACCACCATTTATCAGGTCGAGCTTTGTCTATAAATAGCTATAACACAGTTACCAGTGTCGATAAGAAGCGCAGTGATTTCTTAAAATGATGCTCTGGAATCACTGTGGACCGATGAGTCGGGATGTAACAACCAGACCGCATTCTTCTGTCTCTACAGCCCTGGCTTTCCCCACGCATCCAATTATTTAACAAGCTGCTAAAATACGGATTAATTCACAGAGCGGCAGAGAAGAATGGAATGGGAGTGTGAACTGGTTCCGCCCCGCTGTGCCGGACCCGCGAGTTTGAATCATGTTCAGTTTCATATAATTTTCCCTTCTCCTTAAGTTAAATAAACTAAATATCTCTGGGTCATGACGGTGGACCCGGGTGGGAGAAATGCTCTCGCCAAATATCGGAGTCTCCACGGTTCAGGTAGGTCTGTCTATCCATGGATGCAGTGGCCTAGTGAGGGTATTCTATCTTGGCGAATCAGTTTAGCACCAAAGGGTTTTTTTCCTTCGCTGATCCCCGTTCGATGTATTGATTTATTATTCCTTAAGAGCTCTCCGCGAGTTCCCGTGTACACCAGTGGTACACCGCAGGTCGACAGCTACGAAGGATCCTGGCACAGGCGCAATGTAAATATATCGCATACCGTGAAACCCTGGATCTTGTTTGCTCCTTTCCCTCTTCCGATCTTATGAACAGGATAATGATGCGTTGGCTTCCTCATTATTATCGAAGTAGTGATATTAAAGAAAAGAGTCATTTTAACCTTTTGGTTATTGATCACGAACAATCCCCACTTTGACGCTCTGGGCTGGATCCTGCTCCGCCCGACTTGCACGATTTGGAACCAAATGCTCTCTCATCAAAGAAGCCGTGCCACGTCCGGCAAATCTTGCTCTCTCGAACAAACGCCGCCTGTCGTGTTTGTGATGTCTCCCGCATTGGCACAGCTTTCTTCCCGGTGGTTCTCTCACAAACGCCATTAGTTAACGTAGTTAATTTCTCGCTGAGACGCCAAATTCTAAGTATCTTCAATTTCCTGCCTCAACATGCAAGTATGCCACCACATCACATTAAAAATGAAATGCAAGAAATTCTATTGAACAAGAGGAAAAGACTTGAACCCACAATAAATGCTATTTTAAATGATAAAAAACCTCAATGCGTGAATCTGTGCATCTATTTAATATGTCAATCTCTACATTTGAATCTAGACCGATAACCGATCTACATATGTCAAACTGGGCAAAGATTTGCTCAGGCTATGAAGAATATGACCTTTTCTCATTATGGATCTTCTTTATAAGTTGATAAAAACTGAATTTCAAGGCTGATTAAATACTGTACAGAGTTTTAAAATTATTACTTTAGATGCTATAATTCATTATTTAAGTTAAATAAAAAAATATTCAAAAATATTCAAAAATAATATAAAACTTTAAAATAATATAATAACTATTATTTAAATTTATATGAATAAAACAGTTTTATTTTTATATTTATATATTTATTTTATTTTTGATAGTATATATATAAGGGGTTTTTAAACTTAATAAAATTTATAATTATTGAAATCAAAATTTTAAATTAACATAGTTAATTTATTTAATAATTGAATATTTAATTTAAAACTTTATTTTTAGATAATTTATTAATAATTTAGTTATAGTTACCAATTAAAAAAACAAATAAGATTAAAAACTTTATAAAAGTTTAAAACTTTATTTTATAGTTCAAGAAATAAGTTTAATTAAATTAATAATTTCATAAATATAAAATAATAATATTAGATATATTTTTCATAAACAAAAAAGAGAAGTAAAAATATAAAAGATCTAGTTACAAAATTCAATATAAAGATTATTTACACAAAGCTGTTCAACATTTTATATACGAAGTCTAAATAGTTTATTATTCAATTTCTAATACTACTAGTAGCAAGTTGCTAGACCATGCTTACAAGCATCACAAAGATATAGCTAATTGTGATACATTTAAGCATATAAAAATATCTCAATCTAGTGCAATTTAGCTGCTGTTAAATGTAGATATTTCAGGTTAAAATACATAGAATATGCTTTTTAGGATTTTGTGATCTCACTCCGTTTAAGTGTCTGTCAGGGTGGGGAATTACATTTAACTTTAATCAATTAAATCCACCTAACTTACTGCACTCCCTACACTTGACGATTGGGTTGGAATCAGAGCCTCTCTCTCTCTCTCTCTTCCTCTTCTTCTTTTCTTTTCTCTCTTTTCTTTTCTCTCTTTTCTTCTTTTCTCTTTTTCCTTTTTCCCTTTTTTTTTTTTTTTTTTTTTTGTGAAGACTTCTCGACTCAGAAGCTTTATTAGCTGTTGTGTAGGTGGAGTTTATTCGACTTTGTTTAGCGGCTGAGGAAATCAAAGATGTTGGACTGGACTGGCTGCAGCCTCCCTGCGATGAACCCTTCCGGGTCTCCAGCAGAGCCCAGTTGCTGCACACATGACTCTAGGGGAAAAGGCCTAAGCTTGACCTGGAAGAGTTGGATATGGAGTTAACTATTGAATAACACTGTGAGTGACAAAGATCTATTTTCATGCATGAATACAGCTGATTGGCGAATGACATGAGCCTGATCTGAATGAATTGTTGTTTTGATCACAACTTAGTGAGATTCAAAGATGCATTTTTTGAATCTAAACATCAAGCTGTGTTTGAGATATCATATGTTAAGTAATTTTGCTCTCTTATCCTTTGGCCCTGAAGCACTGAAGCTTTCATCATTTGAGAGAAATATGTGAGCAAAATAATCTTGCTTGTGCAGGCTTCACAGTTCCTGAAATCAAGGAATGATCTGATTGCAGATCTTCCAGAATGACACAGGCCAGCATTTGAACAATCAAAAACTATGAAGACATAGAAGACAGGCGAGGCCTGGGGAGCTGCGGTTCCAATGTTGCGGTACGATGCAAATGGCAATATGAGAAATGGTTCCAGCTCATTTACTTCTTGCCCAGCAACCCCTCGGAGAAGCTTGTGAGGAGCTTTGTCTGGTCCAGCCACCTATCTACGCCCCATCGACCTTGAACAGGTTTCAAGGAACATGAGCTGGACGTGCCAACCTCTGCGAGCGGAGCGGAGTTTTGACATGACACCCTATTCCAGCCTTCCTATCTACTTACCTAGATATATTCAACGGCCCCCAAGGTTTCCATCCTCATTCCCTTGCTTTCCTACTCTGGAAATTAATATCAGCTTCTTCGTGACCCAGGCGAACACTTCTTCTTCTTCTTCTTCTTCTTTTTGCTAGCATTGGCTCCAGGCTCTATTCCGTCAATGCGGGTAGCCACTATGCTTTCTCTCTCTGGAATTGCGGTGTAAAGTCATCAGCACCTTGCTTTATAACGAGATGAGATCAGACAGTCGACGTTCGCGGAAGCTGCTGAAGCAAAATATGCGCCTACTGGGAATGCGTGGCACTGATTCTCTAACTATTGATGTCCCGCAAAATGCCTGGACATCTGCCCCATTTACTACTAACTACCGTCATTTTAGGAGTATATGGCACCATACGCCGAACATTGTGGCCTTGATTCCGTGTTTAAAGGCTAGAAAGAGCATATCGACTTTCCTATATACAGCTCGGAGAGGCGTATGTATATACATATCATGCCATCCGGCTCCATCAATTTGCGAGTTAATACTAACCTGGAGCGAAGTGATCCACCTTTTCGCTTCCTTCTCTGCCTCACCGCTCCGTCATGTCTGTTTGAGAGAAGTGATGATCAACGTAGCATCTGTGCCTGTCCTAGCCGATTCTTACCAGTGCAGTCATATTGAGGATGAATAAGGATCAGGAAGGGAAGATATGTTGTAACTATATACAGTCTCTCTCTTTTGAACATGGTTTTAAAGTAGCATTGCGAAATTTCCCTTGTTCAAGCAAAGGTTCAACGTACAAGTCCGATCTTCGGTTCTGCCGCAAAAGTCACTCTTCACTCTTAATTAACATCCACTCCTTCCTTCGTAACCAGGTATATCAAAAGACAAGATGGCCGAGTGGTTAAGGCGTACCGTTCAAGTCACATGAACACTTGGAAATTCCTAAGTCAAAGGATTTCCTGTACCGGTATGGGGAAACCCGCGTGAGTTCGAGTCTCGCTCTTGTCAGAACTGTGGAGAGTAATTTTTATTCCCTTTTGGATGGCGGGCTCGGGTGTCTGTTGTTTTATCGGTTATTTTCTTTGGGAAGCAGTCAGTCAAAGAAATCTCCAGGAAGATACAAGATATAAAACAAATCCATGATTCTAACTACACTACCTACAACAGCAATGACTAACCTCATTATTAAAGATCATATAACATTGGCAAGGAAAAAAAGCCACTTGATAAAACATATATCAAATATAAATCACTGGAAAGGAAAATTAGACAAATGGTGTATGTCGCTAATCTCTTCTTTTCAAGATTCTCAAATACTACTTTTCTTCTTCTTCCCACAACTCGACCCTCGACTCTCGACTCCCAATTCTCAATTTCCAATCCGACCTTCCTGCACAAACACAAAAATCAAAAATGAAGCGGAACGGAGAACGGACAACGCTCTTCTACCAATGCCAATTCTGCTGCGAAAGACACGGGCTGGAGATGCAAATAAAGGGATGTGATCTTGGACTTGTGGGCAGGGTGATGATTAAGAAGTTTTAGAAGGTTATTTTAATAAAAGGGAAAGAAGGGTTGGTGTGTGTGTGTGTGTGTGTGTGTGTGTGTGTGTGTAGGGAATATGAAATTATCTCAAAATAATTTTAGGGGAATCAAAAAGAATAAAGGAAACAAGACGACGAAATGAATTAGGCACAAAGGGAGAAAAGGGAGGGGGAGAAAGCAAGAAACTAAAGGTGAACAAAACCATAACAAACAATCCTTTCCACAACATTATGTAATTTCCCTCCCCTTTATTAAGTCCTCTTCTCTTCTCTTCTCTTCACCTCTCCTCCTCTCTTCCTTTTCACGGCAGTTTTGTCTCAACTAAAAGCCTCCACACTATGAATAAGATAAATAAAAAGACTTTTTGAAAAAAGAAAGGAAAGGGTCCAAAATAACGCAGCATAAGCCTTCAGGTCCTCAAAAAGGATAGGATCGGACGGGAGGGGGTAGGATGAAATAGGACAGGTAAAGCTGGGTGTGTAATGTAGACATATTATGTCTATACGCTTAGATAGGTAGATAGGGAGGTAGGGAGGTAGGGTAGGATATAAGAAGGAAATGAACAAAACGTATACATACATACATACACGCACACACACTCCCTCGACCTTAGCTTAACAAATAACACCAATGAAATGGGGGAAAGTAGGTATGTCTCCCATATTTTTTTGCGGACGGTATAGATAGATAAATTAGATAATGAGAATGGTGGGGGACGATAACGGTGGTTGATGATGAGAAAGGTAAGGGATGACGGCTAGATGGATGATGAGAGGGTGGATGGGTTATAAATGATATTTTCAAATTGCGTAGGACTCGCGTCGCGACTCCCCCCTTTCTGGGTTCCGGAGCTTGTACGGTTAGTTAATGTCGAGGTATCAGGTAGATATGCGTATATGGTAAAGTAGTGGGAAATGGGAGGCTCCGGGAAGCTGGAGATGGAGGAGATGGAGGAGATGGAGGAGATGGAGGAGCGGGTGAAGCCGGAAGCAGGAAGCCGGAAGCGGATAATCGCGTAAGAAGGTAGCGTGAGTAGCAGGCGTAATCAATGATGACAGCGGATTGGCAGACAAGTGAAGATCGGAACACCCTACACCGACCCCTGAATCCTCTGGTAAAACAACAAATACGCAACCTTATTACTATCCCGTCTTCCCACCGCTGCCGCAAACCGACTACTCGGCGTCCTTTTCCCGGACTCCCCCTCCCTCCCAGCCGGTGACACACTCCCATTCACACCAAACCTCCTGCTCCCATACCCATACCCACCAGCACCAGCGCTGCCCACCCCATTACCCGCCCCATTCCCATTAACCTGACTCCACCCAACCTCACTCTCCCCGACCTCACCCTCCTCCTCCCCCTCCACCCCATCAATCCCAAACCTCTCAAAGATATTCCCATACCTATCCACACCCGCAACCACACCACCACCCCGACTCTGCATCTCAAGCGCCGCAGCAAGATTTCTCGAATCCTCCTCACCCCCAACCCCTGCACCCGCAACCGCAACATCTTCACTCCTTACCCGCCGAATAACAGTATCATCCAACCGCACCCACTCCCGTCCATCCTGGCGCCGCACATCAACCGTATAATGGCCCCCACTAGCATTCTTGCCATGATGATATATCACGCCCGTCAGGCGGTATTTAGGTAATCCACTACCGCCTCCGCTCCCCTGCGCCGCGAGCAAGTTATTCCGCCGATGTGGTGGAAACACCTCCCTCGGCACCTCGAGTTCGAGCGGGTACCCGACCCGTTTCCAGATCTTCTGTGTCCCCTTGGTGACGCTGTCGTATTGGAAACGTTTTAGATGCAGGATGAGCACGGGCGGCAGGGTCTCGATGAACACTTGTTTTGTAGCAGTTACTTTGGGGCCACGGGAGGAGTTGAAATCGCCTTGCATCGTTTCGGGCTTTGTGAGGCCCTTCAGCGCATCGATGATGTTGGTTACCTGCGGCGAGCCGATGTCTAGTTGGAGGGATTGGTAGGGTTCGAGGGTAACGGAGTTTTTGTTGCCTGGGACGCGGAATTCGGAGCGCAGTTTTCCGCCGAATATCTTCGTGATGGGGGATTCGGAGGCAACGTGGCCTGATGAGCGTGTTATGGAGGGTTTTTGTTTGTGGCCGACTTCTAGCCATCCTTCTACGGAGGGTTCGGAGGCTGCAGATGCCGAATCGGTGTCGACGGGTGTGGGGATATCAGGTCCAGTGGATGTGGCTTGTTTAACTGCCTGGGTGCATTCTTCGTGGAGCTCTTCAAGAAGGAAACCAAGAAATTCTTGCGCATCTTGTTGGTGACCGCGCTATTGGATATTAGTTCCAGACAATACCTTTAATTTTAGGAGAAAAAATCGAAAGACCTACCCGCATGTCCCTAAAGCGGGGAAGATGCCGAATAACCTGATAAACATATTCCGGAATGAATGACTCTCCATATTGTTCTAATTCGTTTTGCTTCAACCGCAGCCTCAATTTCTCAGCGGACGTTGCAGCGTCAATTACCCGAAATTCTCTCATAAACATGATCCTGGAGGGATAAAAGAGTTAGCGGAGATGAAACAAAATAACTCGAGCCTGGTAGTGAGAGGATTTCTTACATCGCATCAATTAGTGGAAGCTCGCTCTTAATACTATGAACAGCACGCCGACTGATTTTGTCAAGAAATTCATAGAAAGGAACACAAAAAACCAGAATTTGAAGAATCTAAGCAGAATTGTCAGCTCTGGATCAAAAACAAAACCGCTGTGTTTGAGGAGATAGGAGAGAAAAGGGAAAACACCTACAGAATTCATATTAACACATGTTACCGGTATTTACAAGCCCGCGCGGCTCAATAAAGGCAATTTTATTACCGTATTGACAAGGATCAGAGCCTAGATTGTTAATAACATCGAAAAGAGATTCGCCCTTGGATACACCGAAACAGCCAATCCCAGCAGTGGTGGTGACGGCGTCAGCGCTCGATGCTGGGGCTTTAGTGCGCACAAGATCAGCCCAGGACTTTGGCGGAGGTCTAGCTGGTGGAGCTGGTGTGGAGCATTCTTGTGTAGCGGTGGTAGATTCCACAGATGAAGACGCAATGTCTGCTGTCGACTGCGACTGGTTCTCAGAGGATGTGGTTGGAGCTGATCCATGCGGTTTGGAGGTTTCTGAGGTTCCCTTATCTGGGTTGGCAGACGGGTGTTTTGTTGCGCTGGGACTTGAAGAGAATAATATTGGCACAACGGGGACGATGGGGGTAACTGCCTGCCTCGCGATGGCTGGTTGCGTTGGAGTTTGTTGTATTTTTGTTTTTGCTAAGGTTTGAAAAGAAGCAATGGTGGAAGACGGGGTGGTAGGTTGGTTAAGACCTGTTTGGGAGGAGGGCTGAGGATTTGCAAGGGTTTCTGGTTCTGCTTTTGATGAAGCAAGTTTCGGCAGTTCTTCGGGGGATGCTCTCTCTTGGGGTTCCGCGTCAGCGTCGCCAGGCTTTGTAGGGAACTCAACGGGTATTGCAGAAGTCTGAAGGATGCGAGGTTTTCGTCGTCGTCGCGGGGCTTTCGCAGGAAAGGGGGTTTCAGGTACGGAAAGCCAAGGAAGCTGAAAAGGTATTGGAGTTAGCCTTGAGATCTTGGGATGTTTAAGTCTGGAATGACAATGTAACAGGGTTTGTTAAATTACCGGTGGCTGAAATAGCTGCCTTGATAATGGCGTTGCAGACTTTATCCGTTCATGGGTATGGATGGCTTGTTGTGCAGGAGGAGTCTGAGGCGCAGGGCTGTTGCTGCTGCTGATGCTGCTGCACGCATTTGCGCGGACAGACTGAGCGCTTTTGACGACGGAGGGATTGCCGGGAGTGTTCGTGTGGCTGTTATCCGTTACGGTTGAACTTGGAGCGGAAAAAGGGGTTGGCGTTGGAGTTGAGAAGGAAGAAGGTAAGGGGGTTGATGAAGCAGTACTGGGTTGAGGGGGTACATGTGGGAGCATTGTTGGTGGAGGTTGTTGTGGTTGTTGATGTGCTGTTGATGGTGTTTGTCCTGAAAGGGGTGGAGGGCCAGGAAGCGCAGGCGGCGGGGGCTGCTGTTGCGACCGAGGGTAGGACGAGACAATTAGAGGCGCATAGGGTTGAAACTGCTGGGGATGCGGAGGAGGCGGATGGGGGGTTTGTTGGTAGGGATACCAGTGCTGGAACTGCTGTTGCGCTGAGTAGGAAGAATGGGGAGGTGGTTGTGGTTGTGGCTGTGGAGGGCCATTTGTATGATTTGTATGATTTGTATGGGCAGCATGTGGTGGTGGGTGGTAGTGCAGGTAGCCGGGAGACGGCCGGATGCCAGGCGGCCCAGAGACGTAGGAGAGGTCATGCTGCCTTCTGGGAGGCGGGATAGGGGTCTGGCCGTGGGGCATTGGGGGTAGATGATGGTTCATCATGCGCCCCCAGGAGGTGTTTTGGATGGGAGAGGGTGCGGACGGGCGTCACTGCGTTTACCGTACAGTCAAACTTGACCTAGATGGGAGCCATACAGAGGAACGCAAAACGCAGAGAAGGGGGGGGGGGCGGAGGGGGGAGGCGGAGGAAAGAGATGACTTTGCGAAGGGTGTTGCTACAAAGCCATTGCCAAAAGATGACAGGTAATGGATGTATATGGGTTGGGGGTTGTGGTGGTGGTTGTGAAAGGGGTGTGGTTGATATTGGTGGTGGCTGAAGGTTTGAAGGTTGAAGGTTGAGGTTGAAGTTGAAACTGACAGGGCAGAGACGCAGGCAGATCTGGACTTTTTTTTCACCACGGCCGCAAATGGGGAAAATTTTTAGGACCAAGGATACTCAGAATGCAGTCAACGAGGAGAGGACAGTTAACAAAGGGGAGCAAAGGACAGGCAGAAACAGATTTATAGGTAGCAAGAGATCCAGAATGAGGGATGTTGCAATACAGGATCCCCGTATGTAGCAGATGTTTTCTGTTGGCGGTTGGTGGTTGGTGCTTGTTGTTGTTGTCGTCGTTCGTCGTTGTCTCTTTTTCTCTTCCTTTTTTTTTTTTTTTTTTTTTTTTTTTTTTTTTCCTGCTGCTGCTGCTTTTGGGCCAAGCAGGGATGAGTCAGCAGCAGAGACCAGGCGCCACCGATGACCATTGTATGGTATGGTAATGGATGGTGACATACAGTGATATATTACAGAAATAACATATAAAATGTGTCGAGTATTGGTAATATATGTTGTTATATACGTGACAATACCATGTCACCCCCTCAAACAGATTAACTTCAAAACATCTTCTACATCTTCATCTTCATCTTCTTTTCCTTTTTCTTTCTGCCTTCGACCACCTTCAAGGTCATCTTCTTCTTCCTCTTCAATGGCCCCTCGGGGTCTTGTCTATCCTCATTGTCCTTTATCAGGCTAGTTGCTGCTGTGCTTTTTGTTGTTGGTTTCTTGTATCCTTTTCCATCCTTCTCCTTCTCCACCACCTCCACCTCCACCTCCACCTGCCCAACTCCTCCTGCATATGTATAGTTATGTCCACGCAGAGTTGGTTGGACCCGGAGTTATATACAGACAACCTTATCCCCCTTCGAGTTATATGATCGTATATCTATATCCATCCCAGGACATTCCTTCTCACCGAAATCAGCTTATCTAACCCTCCAACTGCAAATCCCCTCCTCATCTTGTCCAGTGACGACACACACTCCTGGTGGCCCTGTTCCCAGAGATAATGTCGTCAGGTCCAGGCCAACCCTCTGCCGCGTCAAAACCTGTCAATATCCCCAGTCAGACTTCTTCGTCGTTGCAAGCTGCCCCAAACTCCGGCATTGACCTCGTTTCTCAACGAAGAGTCCACGCCGGTCTGGCTGCCGGAACATCCTCGTCCTCCAAGTCTCTGTCGGCTCCGCGGAACAATCAGGCCAGGAAGAGTCAGCACAAGCGCCATCGTCGCCCTCGTCTGGATGACGAGGATGTCGTCGCCGAATCAGTATGTCATTGTTCCTTTCTGTTGATCAATTGTGTATTATTTGACGCTTTTAAAATGCTCTCTTGATCCTATTACTCATATGTCAAATGAGTGACTGTAGGCTGCGATGAGATCGACAATGAGCCGCAAGGGGCAAACCTCTATCACTCATCTCATGAACTTTTCTCTTCCTCCTCGACCACAGCATAATCACCATACATATCCTCGTGGCCAACGGCGAAACCATACTTGGGGACCCCGTTCTGGCTACCACGCGGTTGATAAAGCTAGGTAATTATTATGGCCCCCTCTCCACTCCCTAGTCATCTTACCTTGCTTTCCTTCTGTTATCAGTCCTTCATTATTGATGCTTGTTATGTAGATATGTCCATGCAAATTATCGTTTTATCGTCAATCCAAAGAACAATTACCATGCCCAAGCCACCAACGCTGACGTCCATCTTGACTGGAACTCAGTTCTGCAAGTATTAGTCTCCACTGATACCCAAGCAGCCAGCTGCCCAATCTGCCTCTCAACCCCCATTGCTCCCCGTATGGCTAAGTGCGGGCACGTCTTTTGCTTGCCATGCCTTATCCGGTTCATGCACTCGACTGATGATTCGAATCCCATCCCGGAAAAGAAGGCTCGGTGGAAGAAATGCCCAATATGCTGGGATACCATCTACATATCAGAGACACGACCAGTAGGATGGTACATAGGACAATCTGACCTCCCCGTTGAAGGTGGTGATGTGGTTCTGAGATTGGTTATGCGACACCCCCGGAGCACCCTTGCTCTTCCACGGGATGGTGTTGAGGCTATTAGTCCCGACGACGATATCCCCTGGTATCATATCGCAGATGTGCCCGACTATGCCCATATTATGAAGGGGGGTGAGGATTATATGACCTCCCAGTATAATAATGAGATTCAGGATCTGGAGAGACAGGAACGGGAGGATGAATTGCTTTTCGGTGATGATACCACTTGGACCCGGAAAGCTATTACGGCAATAAAAGAGGCGAAGGAAAAGGTTAAGGATATTGGTAATCCACCAATTCCCTCCCGCCAACCAGCTGAGCGGCGGCCAGCCAGAGCTCCCATCAAATTTGAGGAACCGCCAGACGGTGTCCCGGAGATGTATAAAATCGAACATGCTACAAAGTCTGGACAGAGTTCAACCAGCAATGCACAAACACCCTCGAATCCTCAAACCAGTCCACAAACAGATCCCTCCAACCCCATCGAAACGGACACCGTTTCATCCGCAATCTCAAAACTAGACATCAATTCACTTCTCCAAACCCACGACTCCTGCACAACACCTACGAACCCACCTCCCCCATCCAACCCCCCCATTAAACAAAAAGACCCCTTACACTACTCCCACTCCCCACCCAACTCCATCGACCACCCTTTCTACTTCTACCAAGCCCTTCCCCACTTCTACCTCTCCCCACTAGACATCCGCATCCTCAAAACCGCCTTTGGTGACTACAGCCAATTCCCTTCCACCATCCTCCCGCGCATAGAGCGCATCTCAACTGGCCACATCGTCGATGAAGATCTGCGCAAACGCACAAAATACCTCAGCCACCTCCCCCACGGCTGCGAAGTAAGTTTCCTGGAATGCGACTGGCGCGATATCGTCAGTCCGGCCGTCCTGGAGAAGTTTGCCGCTGAGCTGGAGCGGAGGCGGAGGCGTAATCGCGAGAAGGCGGCTAGGGAGGAGAAGGAGCGCATTCGGGCTGAGAGGAGTGAGGAGGAGCAGAGGTGGGCAGCGGCGGCAGCGCGGAAGAAGAGGGATGGTTTATCGGGACCTGGATACAGTCTGGATCAGCAGCAGCAGCAGCAGATGCTGCGCGATCGTGATCGCAATCGCCCTTTCGACGCAAGTGACTTCCAACCCCTCTGCGTGGGCCCTGAAACACCATCCGCATCCGCATCTGCATCCGCATCAACCCCAACCCCAGTCTTCGACCCAAGCATCTCTTCCGCCTCTCCGCCCTGGTCCTCCTCCTCGCGTAGCAGGAATTGGCCCTCGTTCACAGCCCTGGCGTCGCCAGCGGGTAGTCCTCCGGATGCTTTTCGTACTAGCGGGGCGGGTGCGGGTGGCGGTACTTATAGGACGGTGTGGGGGACGGCGGCGATTGCGCCGACGATGGGGGAGAGTAAGAGCGTGGAGTGTGGGGTGGATGATGGGTGGCTGCAGGGGTGGGAGGGAGAGGGGGAAAGAGGTGTGCTGGGTGATGCGACGAATGTTGCGGGGAATGGTGGTGGTGGTGGCACTGGTAGTGGGACGGGAGGCAAGAAGAAGAAATATAAGAAAATTACGCTTATGAGTACAACTGCAAGGCGTGCGGCGTGAGGATATTATGTCATTATCACCCCGTTTCAACCAATGAGGGGTGTTTTTTGGGGGGGGGATATTGGACGTTTTGGGTTCACTGAGGCGTGCTTCGTATGTAGATGTTGGTCTTGGGTGTTGGAGCTATGATATGGGATGTATATGTTTACTGCTATATCTGGAGATGGTGATCAAGTTAACGGTCTGACATATATACCTCCATCCTTCTCCCAGCACTACGCTGACCCCATCCCATCCCCCAGCCAGACCAGTGGCGGGGGGTGGTAGGCTTGGGCGGTCCGCCCCTATCCTCTTTCAGTTTCTTCTCTGCTCATCCTGGGAACTCTTCATAGTGATTTGCTGGTTAATCCATTGCTCAGCCCGTTGTTTGGGGACTTGTGTTTTCCTTGACGCATGATATGATATTTAGATCTATATCTGTATATAGCGCTCTATGTTTTCCATTTCATACATGCTCTGCGGATTCCCTGCTACCAGTTCACAAAAATATTGTACATTTTCACATTCCCTTGTATCTGATGAGATGGATTTTTCAAGTCATTCGGAGATGCTAGGTTCCCAGGGGTAAACACATTTCCTGTTTGGGACTAGCCGCGAGCCACTTGAAAGAACTCCTAATACAGGGGTAATACATCTTCTGTAGAATTATATAAGCTAATTCCCCACCGTCCCCGTACCTAAAAGTCTCCTCTTGTAATTAATGGTTCCCAATACCGTATTGCATCTCTTTCAAACTATTTTTTTGCCATCACATTTCCCTTTTGGGCGAAGTGGCCCATATTTGAGTCGTTAGACCCTCCTTGGGGAGAACTTCGCTCTCTGGCCTCTTTGTCCAGCTTCTTTTTTCTTTTTCCTTTTCTCTTCTTCTCGACGCTGGACATCTCTCTTCCTCCATCAGCGTCAATTCCTCCGCGGCCATGACCCTCACCCGTTCGCAGACTGGGAAGACCCCCAAGTAAGTGTGCCCCCGTTGCTGCCCGCGTTATTGAAGGTACCTTGAAAGGGGAGTTCAATCTTACATTGCTGTCCAATTGATCTCCTCAATATCTAAGATCTCATCATAAAAAGTTCGTTCTGTTGAATTAGAGCAAGCTAATCTCGCTTGCACCTATGCAGGAAAATCCAGCGTGAGGGTTATGTCGAGACTCCTGGCCGCCGTGTCACAAGGAGCCGTTCGTCCATGACTCCTGACGAAACCTCGGACACCCCCGACTCTGCGTCTTCGAGTCAGATCCTGGAGAACCCAGCGATGTCCAAGGCGCCTAGGACCCGAAGACGTGTCAGCGAGAAGAAGAAGCAGAATGGCGACACCTCTGTCGACAGCCATGCCAATGGCAATAGCGTCGCAACTGCGACAGCTGCTCCCAAAAGTTACAAAATCGATGACTCGGGCCACTTCGAGTTCGGGGGCTCCCTTGGCTGTCTGATTATGATGATTGGCTTTCCGCTGCTGATGTACTATATGTGGATTGGCGCGACGTACTATGATGGGCAGCTGCCATTGCCCGAGGAAGGGCAAAGTGCGAAGGATTTCTCAATCCACTTGTTTAATCTGACGCGGGAGGGTGCGTTCCCCACGGTCAAAGCGTGGATTACATACTGGTCATTCTTCATCTTTGAGGGGCTTTGCTATGTATTTCTGCCTGGTATCTACGTTAAGGGCCGTAAGCTGGAGCATCTTGGTGGTAAGCAGTTATCCTACTATTGCTCTGCATATGCCTCATTTTACGCTACAATTGTCGTTGCTCTTGCCTTTCATGTTAGCGGTGTGTACAAGTTATATACTATCATTGATGAATTCGGACCCTTGATGAGTGTCGCCATCTTGACCGGCTTCATCATCTCGATCATCGCTTACGTCTCTGCGCGGATGCGTGGTGCTGAGCATCGCATGAGCTGCTACCCCATCTATGACTTCTTCATGGGCGCTGAGCTCAATCCTAGATTGTTCGGGATCCTGGATTTCAAGATGTTTTTCGAGGTCCGGCTGCCCTGGTATATTCTCTTCCTGGTCTCTTTGGGCGCTGCGGCAAGGCAGTGGGAGACTTATGGTTATGTCTCTGGTGAGGTTGCGTTTTTGCTGATGGCGCATTATCTGTATGCCAATGCATGCTCGAAGGGCGAAGAGTGCATCATTGCCACATGGTTCGATATACCTCCCTCCTTACCCCCCCCTTTCTGATACCAAATTTGCTCCAGTATCAATACAAAATTGGAATCGCTAACACGTTTACAAATAGGGATATGTATTACGAAAAATGGGGTTTCATGCTTATCTTCTGGAACCTTGCGGGCGTTCCTCTGAGTTACTGCCATTGCACCATCTATCTTGCCAACAACCATCCGGATACCTACAGATGGAACCGATACGCACTTGCAGCGCTGTATATCGTTTACCTGTTCGTCTACTGGATATGGGATACCACAAATAGCCAGAAGAATCGATTCCGTCAACAGCGAGAGGGATGCATGATCCTGCGAAACACCTTCCCCCAACTCCCCTGGCAAACCCTCAAAAATCCCCGCACCATCACGTCCAAAGAGGGCTACACGATATTGGTTGATGGATGGTGTATGTTAAGCCCTGGTCCAACAGATGCTGTATTATTTTCTAATTGAATTTTGACTGACATTTGAAAATTTGGTTTCTTTTGTAGATGGCTATGCACGAAAGATCCACTATACGTGTGATATGTTCTTCGCCCTGGCCTGGGGTTTGGTGACCGGCTTTAACAGCCCGTTCCCTTGGTTCTATCCCGTCTTCTTCGCTTGCATGATCTTCCATCGCTCACTCAGAGATATTCAGCGCTGCAGGGCGAAGTATGGAGAGGCCTGGACGCAGTATGAGAAGGAGGTGCCTTATTTGTTTATTCCTGTAAGTGGATTATGTCTCACCCTGGCAATTCCTTCGCCTAAAAGCGCGCTAACAAGGTTGATTGCGTTTAGTATGTTATATAATTCGGCAGATGATATATACCCTCTTGTATACCATTTCCCCATATCCGCGAGGATATGCAAATATAGGGAGTCCTCGTGCCTTTTTCTCTTTTCTTCTATTCCAATTCGCACTCGCACCTTCGCCAAACAGCTTCTTACCTTCAGTGTATTATATTTCACCCATAATGGTGGCATTTAATCTAATGCCCCTGTCTCGGCTTTTGTTTCTCATCTTTGGTTTTTTTTTTTTTTTTTTTTTTTTTTTTTTTTTTTTTGAAAAGGGGAAATCATCGGATCCATAGCTCGATTTGCATGAAAGTATTTTAACGATGTCAAAAGATAGCTGGTTAGAAATTTGCTACTCATCCATCTAGTCTCCCTCATGATTTATCAATTTTTAGTTCTCTTTTCATTTCGTTTTACTACTCTATCTCATTGCAACGCAGGCCAAGAAACCCAGAAAAGGGTGGCGGAAGGGACAAAACGCTTTCATTCAATTCCCCCTTGCCCATCCACACCAGCAACTTAACGCCCGCCCAAACCTGAAACCAAGCTCATCTCATATTTCAGCAACAAAAGTCGCCATCACATTTACTCCGACTCTCCCTTCTGTCCGTACACAACTCTTACTTTCGCATATAAATGCGCCTTCGGATCCCTCAAATCATTCCCAACCTCTTCCAGCAACGCGTCTAGCTCCGCCTTACTCCAACCCAGCACGCGCGTGAAGAGCGCCAGTGAATATGACTGCAGCATCTTCTGCGTGTAGGCCGCCTGATACCGGCCCAGCTCTTTCATGTGCGGATCCTTTGGCCACGCAGATAGCGGGACCTAGGTTTTCGTTTTTTGGGCTTTGGTTAGTTTTAAAGCTTATCATCCAGTTTTCCCAACACTCTCTCCAAAGAGGCGGAGGGAGTGCACGGAGCTGTGTATGTGTGTGTTTCTCTTCATATCAATTTAACATGCATGTCAGTACCTTATAAACCATCTCCTTAACCCCCACAAACCCAGCCTCTTCCATCCCCACCCTCCACCTCTCCTCAACACCCAACTCCTTCCCGAACCTCCTACTCGCCTCCACCAGCATCTCCTGCCACCGCACAGCTGTTACAGCACTCTCGCGCGTCCCGTCATCCGAGAAGAAATTCGTCTGCATGCTCTGCATCTCCAGAAAACCCCCGGGCGCTAGATGGCGGTATGCCTGTGCGAAGAGCTTGGGGTAGTCTTGGATTGAGCCGGTGATTTCGCGTGCGTGGATGTAGTCGTAGAGTCCTGTTTGGGGTCTGGTGGGATAGGGCCATTCTGTTTCGAAGTCGTCGATTTCGAAGGTGCAGTTTTGTGGGGTGGAGAGGCACTGGATGGGGCTTAGGTCCGTTCCTTTTTTGGGTGGGGAAGGTGGAGGGTTAGTTGGGTTGTTCTTCTCTTCTTTTTCCTGATGTTGGAATATCTCCAGAGATGGAGATGGGGATGGAGTGGAAGTGGCGGATCTCTTTCAAAACACGAACCGAGAACTTCTGTTGTGGGATGTTGACTGCCGTGTTCAAGAGGAAAAATCTCAAGTTAGCTAATCTGAACCGTATTTATGTTCATAGTGCCCATGTTTTTCCTTGCTTGCATATAATTTTCCTTTCCCTAGTCTATGCCCATCCCCTGTTCTCACGCAACCATATGGGGCTCAATCGTCACAGCATCTAGGTCGTTCATAGGTACTCACTCAGCAAACTCAACCGCCCAACTCCCCGTCCCTGTGCCTAGATCAAGCACTCGTCCGGGATCCCGCTTCAGCGGAGCGCAATGCAGTCGACCGTCTAATACCCGACAGTAGATAAAGTGTTGCTATATTTTTGCATAAAATAGGATAGTAAATTTTGATTTTTACTGCAAAATATGCGATAAGGATGAAAAGGTTACATGGCCATACCAAGTCCATGCGATCTTGCTCTCTTTTGTCATTTGGCTGCGCAGAAGGTCATTAGCATGTAGCAATGAACATATATAGAAAAACAAGGGGGAAGAGTGACCGCACCAAAAGGTATGCCCCGTCTTTCAGTCCATGATATCTTCGGCCATTCTAAAGTGTTTGCCAAATGCTTATCGTCAAGCCCAAGTTTCAAACACACCCATAACCCCTTCTAGGTATTTGATAGCTCTGCCTAGCTTACCTCAAATCTGCAATCAACATAGGGTAGAGATATTAGCTTAGTTCCATACCTCGTCACTAACAAAGGTAAGGCTTGATTCTGATCACGGAGATTTTCCACACCTGTAGTTGAACACTGTGGAAGCCAATGATGTCCCAGTGCTAAGTCTGAATAAAGAAATGTTAGCATACTGGGATAGTACAGCGGTTTTAGAGCTCCGGGGCTAACTCACGGAATTCCCAGTTGCGGCTCATCCTCTGAGTCTGACTGGTGTTCCTGTCATTCCACAAAACGGGGTCAGCAATCTGGGCCCTCTTTCATAGTAGCAAATCTCTGGTACTCTTGCCCTGGAAAAGAACATAGAAGAAGCCAGCATCCATACATCAGGTTCAATACGCACCTCCACCTCAATAGCATCGCTCGGAATAGTCTGCTCGGCCATCACATCTTTGATAATTGTAATGAATCAGTAGTAATAATAAAAACAAAAGATGTTGGAGGTGGGGGCCTCACAGGCTAACCCTCGATTTTAATAATGCTGAAATCTCCGCCAGAGATAGAAAATATACAAGAAAAGGACAAAAAGCAGAACAGTATTCAAAAATATAAGCTGTTTCGATTTCCTGATCGCAAAGAACAGGTCCGGCTCCTGCGGGTAGTCGGTGATGCGATCTAGGGGCTTCATTCAGATTGTCTCAACCTAAGTAGGATAGTTCTCCGAATATATAAACCAGAGATGGGCCCAGCTAAAGAGAAGAGAAAATATTGACAAATGCCAATCCGATATTCAAGAAGGAGGGAATGATTTAAAAGAGTAATTTCAAAGGGGAGGAAAAGGGTATTTAATGTTGTGACGTGTATCATGTTCTTTCAATTGCTCGACTACCATACACATTGCATTTTCTAGGCTGCATAAACAATGCACTTCTTGAACAGGTTAAAGGTGGTCATTTAACTAGTTACTGGACAGAGTAAGCTTAACAAGTTTTGGAAATATATTGTCTCATTGGCCTTTCCTGCGGGGGCGGATTTGGGGCTTTATAAAGAAAGCTTCCACTATGGTTCTGGGCGGTTTTTAACCTGCTTGATGTGAGATTTTTGAAACGTGGGACAGAATGTGGCTTTGAGATGCTCAAGGTCTGCTCTAAATATGCTTTAAAATGTGGCCTTCCTTGACGGCATCATCTTGTTTATTCGAGGTCCGGCGGAGGTGGCCGATCCTTTTGCCCCTAGACAAACTTTCATATGGTGGGATTGAAGACGCTTCTTTGTATTTATCGATGGAAACGGACTTCACGCTGTTTATATGTTCAAGATGTGGATTCCCAATCATCTATTAACGATGCAGCAGCTGGATTTTTCGCGGCTCGTTCCCATGTTAACTGCATAGTTATCTGTAACTATGAAATAGTTATGGTCGTGCACTATTGATGCTGGATAAAGCATTGAGGAATCAACCTCCATGGAAACGGGAAATAATGAAATAGAAACATATCATATGGGGAGCCAGGATCGATTTTGGGGTCTATGGGCCATCAATCCCCCATTCATAGATCCTTTGGATGTGGGAAGCTCTGGATCGTTTCGTTTGCCTTCTCTCATGTAGGTTGGTTCAAAGAAAAGCAAAAATGGTTCCAATGGAGACGATTGGTTCTAGGGATCTTGGGACTCGAAGTTAACTCAACAAGGATGATTGATAATTACCCCGCATTCGGTGTTCCGTACCGAAAGCTGCGGATAAGAATTCAACTGACTGAATCCAGACTTGTCCCGTTGAAAACACTTGGAGTCTCTGCAGCCCCTTCCGATGTTTGGTCGACCCCAAATGCCTATTTCATAGATGGATTCATTGTCTCTGTAGACCAAGCACCCTGGAAAAGCGAGCGATACTTTCTTTCATCGCAAGACGGCCTCAATTGTCGGAGCCGGTTTCGCAGGCCGATTGACCGCTTCTTCCAGTTGTTTACCTATCTTGAACACAGAAGAATACATTCATCAAGGTAGGCTCCCGTTGCGGCTACCTCGCAAGTCGCAAATTTAGGATGAACAAACATTCTCCGTTTCTCCACCAGGCTAGCACTATGCAAGACGCCGGATGATCGTTGGGTGTGCCGAGAGAATGCATAGAGCGGGGATGGTTCCACCCAGAGAGGAATTAGAGTGTCCGGAAAGGGTCCTGCGCCTCTGTTCGCTGGACGTCTTTTTGCCTTTGAATGCAAGGTTGGATGTGAAGGCCGCCGCCGTGACTGGGGCAACCGGCCTCAGTCAAAGTACTGTGTCTCCGCCCCCTTCCCAGGTAGTATTGTATGCATTTAGCACAGGGCTCCTTGAGGCAGCTGAATGAGCACTTAACATGGAGTAGCTACGCATGACCGGCGGGGTTACAGCTGCAGCTGGATTTCAATGATTTTATACTATAACCCTCCTCCCTCGAGGCTCTGTAACAAGTTACCACGACATGCGTAATATGCCACGAAACTCCAACCGGAGCAGAAAGTTGATCGATTGACAGAATTACTGCTGTAGATGACCCAGCCATCTGTGCATAGAAAAGCAGGGTACAGGGCAAAAACACAGAGCACTTCTGGATCCAATCATTTCTGGTTTCCGAAAGTGGTTCAGGTTTTCAGGATCTTCCACAGAAATCCCTATTCTTGTCATGCTGCCAGAAGTATCATATCCGTTTGCGATGGTAGAGCATGGTGGAAGAAAATAGTGAAGCAGAAAACAGCTGGAGACAATATATAATTCATTCTGAGCACATCTACGTCACCAATCATTTTATCCCTCCACTGATCAGACCTATTTTACTTCATATCCTCTCTATATCGATGATGAATAGGTAGTCAAATACTTGCCTATAAAAGCAGCGAAAAAGCAAAGTGAACAAATCTGGGAAAGAAAAGGAAGCGCTGTAGTGATTTAAGCAGTAATAGAAGATGATGCAAAACAAAAGAAGATATATCCAAAATACCCTTCTCCCGTCCGTAACTCATCCATAGGGATCTTGAGCTGTGCTTCTAAGTTAACGTTTCTCTTAAATATACGACAAAGCTAGAAGATTGCTGATGGCAATGTCCTTTTTCCACCGAACCAACACTGTTTTAAGTGGATCAGCACAATCGCGGTGCCTACTGCGGTTGGAACTTACGAGGTTGTGAGGCCGCGGATGATCTAGATGATACCGTTAGTCCACCATAACTAGGTATTGAAAGAGAAGAGGATAGAGTGGATAACCAAAAATCACACAATCTCCTCAATTTCCTCCGACAATGCGGCAGCATCTTCTCCCACTCCCACTACCATCTGACACAATCCACATCGCCAAATACCCTCTGCTCATATACAGATGACAAACAGCACTGACACCGATGGGACAAAAAAAAAAGCCCACAAACGCTGCGGACTAGTCGGTGTGTGGTGATGATGTTGTGTAGAAATTTGTTCCAAGGCATATAGCGCCGTACCACATAAAGACAGAGGGGCTAAGAGGCATGTCGACGGTGGGCTGGAGAGAGTCATCAAGTGTCTCAAGGCAGAACCAGTGGCTGGTGGACATGTTTGTTGGAATAAAGAGTCCATTTGGTGAGTTAGAGACTTTTAAGGGAATGCTAGCTCACTCAAAGGTAAATACGTTGCCGGCGATGAAGAAGGTTAGGGCATCATCGCTGCCTGTGATCCCGCAGGTACCGACAATAAAAACTAAGGGATAGAATCAGCATGATAACAATTGGGAGTAAAGGAAATGTGAAAGTGATGGTTTAAAAGGTGACTTGGGATAAACATCGGAAGACAAAAAGGGATAAACTTACGGCCAATGCAATTGCAAACACTAAGATGTCCCGGTCAATATACTTCTTCTCCCTTTCTCAATGCAGCATCTCCTTTGCCACACAGCCTACAACCACCCCATACAATATACTCAGCAAAATGTTGTATTCCACGTCTCACCAAACCAAAGTGTTCCCGCCGTTCTCAGTCCTCTCTCAAATTGTCCTCCACCAACGCTGCCATCACCTCCAGCACCTTCAAATCGGAATAAGATAAATCACAGAAAACTAAAAAGGACACCAAAGCCCATCATTAACCTCAGATTTCGCAAGATGCATTTCGAAGATGTGCCTATGTATCAGGAAGAGGATTGTCTGGGTTAAATAGATATAATGTGCTGTTTGGATCTATTATAAGTAAGTGCATATGATAAAAAAAATGGACATTGAATTGGTTAAAAAGAGTAATTCAAGTTAGATTTTCCGCAACCTAGGATAAATCACGAGCTTCCAATAAATAGAACTTTCCTTGGAGAGATATGACACCGGGCCGAACAAGCTGATGAAGCCGCCCAGCGTTGCACATACGATGTTGAATCTGTAACTCCAAGAGTCGGCATGCCGAGTGGTTAGTTATTCTAACCAATCAGGTTCCCGGCTTCCACGGGCGTCATAAAATCGGGTTGGCCAATCAAAGCGGGCAGCAGGGACTTTATATCCGGCCCGAGAGGAACTATGTCTTGGCAAATCGGAGCAGGACTCAGAGATACAAAATAGACGGAATCGGAGCAGGAAGCCCGAGATTTGGTGGACCAGACTGACAGAAGTGTGGGGAAACGGACACCAGTTTGCCAAATCAGCAGAATAGAGATGTATTATTTAGATGTACTTGGTGTATATAGCAAAATAAAGGTGAGGACCTTTTATCTGCAGCGACGCTGAAAACAGTTGTGAATAGAGGCGGAACGGATCCTAAGCCTGTGCTATTCAGGTGGAAAATCATCGTTAATCCCACAATCCTGAGGAAACATCATCTGCTCATTGGAATAGGGGTAGATGCCTCTTTTACCTTGTCGTCTGGGAGGGATGACGCCTGAGAAGGGGTGTATTTTTCTTTTTCCCCAAGACGGACCTTCATGAGTCTAGTTTCTGAGTCTAGATTCATTCCACTGTCTAGCACTATGGAAAACAAACATATCCGACAATATTTCCAAGAAGCGCGGTGAGGCCTCATATATATTCCGGGAAAGAAAGAGGCATAACCATAAACAACTGGCGGGGGTGAAAATATAGGACTAAAGATCTCTCTCCATGAAATAATAGAACACCCGAGAATTTACCGCTGTTCCTCCGAAGATCTGAAGCTCCGCTTTTTAGACATTATTTAGATAGCTGGTTACCTCCGCGAACGAGCCATCTGAAGAATTAGCCCGATAAGTCCGATGATAACAAGTGAAAAAGAAATAAAGCACCACTTTGCTGCGTTTGGAGAATGATGGAAATGGATTTACCACCAGGATTCTTCTCGTTCTTGGAGGACTGTATATCCATGGATTGAATAAGTCCTCTCGATGAGAGATACCTTTTGAATGGTAGGATAGGATTCCTGTGACAACATAAATATCAGATAATAGCATCCAGCTGGGGTTCCCCTTGAATCATACATTTTCTAGTTAGCTTCACACGCGAAGATTCTCCAAAGGTAAACTTAGCAAAACCCTTCCCCCATCTCTCATCATTAGCTAGACACACAAGCTGAAGAGGGGTAAGCATGTGCCGCGTAATATCTCAGACAACTTTTATTTAAACTCCGTGTGGACTAGCTAATTAAGTGAGGCTTAAACCGTTCGCGGGCTGAAGACGCCCGCCATGTAGATAACTAAACCAACTGGTCTGTAGGTTCTGCGGATTTAAAGAACTTGCAAAGGGGTTTTGCCCAGGTGGTTCCCGCATGTGCAAGAAATCCAGGCAGCCGTCTTGATTGGAGATGGAGATGAATTGTCCGTTTTCTCTGTTATTTTAACTCTATCATAGTTGGTGATTTTAGATTGCGTATCGACACCGCTTGGTTTACGTTTGGTCTGTATGCTTAACAAAGCACCTTGGAGGATTAAAATATATGAATGAAGGGCAAATTTTTCCCCCGCCGTAGTTAGCGAAATCTTTGATCGAAATAAACTCCTCCATAGCGCGTGACTGTTTATACCAACCTAGAGAAGTGTGGATATGCACGGATGCAACCCTCCCCCGATGACGCGATATTTCAAGCTTCCCCACCCATAACTGGACGTAGAGAATATCTCATATCCTCCTGGATATTTTGCATAGGTTTAACGGAGGTGAGGAGGTGAGGAGGGGATGAATTACACTTGTAATTATCTGCAAAGATAGTATAAACCTGAATATATGTAATTACAGAAAATATTTGCATATCTGAATATATCTCGACAGCTAGGATCCTACTTAGATAGCCTTATATAGTCATAGCACAGAAAATAAACTCCGCGACCGATAATATCATGGATTATGAAGGAAAGGAGGCCCAGAGGAGGGGAGGAGCAGGATTGCGATGAGAAACAGAAATTCATCCAGAATCGTGATTCAAGACAATAGGCCGGAGAAGGCGAGGAATTGAAAAATGATTAATGTAAAAAAGACGATAAGGAAAGGGAATATGCAACAGGAATTATACGTACAGTCCGGCTCAATGGAAATACTGAAAGCAAATCACTCGAGACAATACGGTTGGAAATCATAGGAAAAATACCCAGCAAACAGCCCATAACAATCCACATCCCTATTTAGAATTCCACATATACGCCTCGCAAAACGATCTTCACATGTCAATCACCGTCGATTCCAACCCCAACTTGACCCCCGCCCTCATCATCGGACAAATTCTCATCATTATCTCCAATATTTGCGGTCTCGATCGCGGCACTCCGCGCCCCATTAACCGCTAGCCGGTCGGCTGCCTCATTACCGGGATCCCGATTATGTCCACGTACCCATTCAAACAACGTCTTGACATTCAATACAGCTCGCTCCTGGATCTTCTCCAGAATGGACTGGATCAGGTCTTTGTTCTCAACCGGCTTATCCTCCGACGTCATCCATTTGTTGCGTTGCCAGTTGACGAACCAGACTGTCACACAGTTGATGGCATATTTGCTGTCAGTGAATATGGTCACGTCCCTATGTCGTGGCGCAATGTCCAGGGCGCGTATGATTGCCGTTAACTCTGCGCGTTGGTTTGTTTGTCGGCTACCTTTCAGTGGCTCTGAGACATTCCTGCCGGGAGAGAAGGAGGAGTTAGCCAAAAGAGTTTGTTCCCTGGAAGAATTAAGGTGGAATAAAAGCAGAAATTGGAGTACACAAGGAGCACATCAAGAAAGCTGCAATCAAAATACCTCTTATCTCCCGGACCAAAATAAACTCCAACTCCCGCCTTGGCACCCATCCTACCATTCCTCAAGGAACTACCATCCGTATAGATTCTCAAGGGTCCCGGTCGCCCCGGTACCTGCTTCGTCTGCACTTTTTCATGCGCCAATCTGTATTTCAATCTCCCTGTCTCGGGATCGAGAACAACGTTGGGATCGAATCCATCAACCGCCCCGGGAGGCAACGGGCCTGTTCCGATCGGATACTCATTCCCATCTGCGTCTCTTGGTATCTCTGATGTCATCCCAGGTGTTCCAGGTAGCTTCACCTTGAAAGATGAGTCTTTGTTGTCATCCTGCGTAGCTTGCATCTCATCTTGGGTTTGTGTGCCCTGTCGAACATACTCATCTGCCTCTGCCCAAGTAGCAAATTTGCGGAACTTTGGTCCACGGAATCCCCGCACTTGGTCCTGTGTCACTGCCCAGTCTGTGTATACGCCCGGTTTTCGTCCCCGCTGTACACCATAGAATTTTGTGCCCGTAGAAGTACTATTAGATGTGGTAGGGGTCTGCGTGCCTGTAAGGAAAGCATTTGCTTCTTCGTGTGTAGGGAAGGATTGGACTAGAAGTCAGAAGCAAGGTAGTTAGCATTATGAATCGATGACGGTGAAGTAATCATGAATGCTCTGAAATGGGGGAGGAAAATAAATGTAAAAATATCTTACAGACAGCGCCTTTGAAGCCGGTCACCTGCGTTAAACAGTCATTCCATGTGTGATAGATTCCGGGCTGGAATCCAAATTTCACTGCATAGAATTTGGGTTCTACTGTTCGCTTTCGCTTTGCACCTGAGGCTTGTGAAGTGGTTGATTCCACTGGTGATGCTGGGGTGGTGGGACTCTTCGCACCATTCCCAGCAGCTGTTGGGGTGACCGCAGCCATGGTCATTAACCGGTATGGCAGCCTCTTTGCTGTGAGATGACGAAGTGCAGTGGAAGCGACTGATATCCCACCAGAGTTCCTATGTCGAATGCAAGGAAGAAAGATCCTCAACTTCCGCAAAGGAAGCAGAGCTTGAGAGACTTGGAATTTCGTGGTGGAAGGCGGTGCTGGTAGTGGAGAGGGCAGAAGAGACAGAGCTCAGGTTTCGCAGGCGGGTGGGTGTTGTTTGTTGGTGGGAAGCGAATGAGCAGAAGGAGGAGTAGGTGAGAGGGTTTAATGGAGGCCAGAAGGCGTTTTGACCAGGGAAAAAGAGGGGTTTGAGGAGGAGAATGTGGGAGCGAGGATCGTGGAGAATATACCAAACAATTCGTTTAGCCCATGGAAGGGGAAACGCGTTACGGATAGTACTGCATGGAAGACGTGCTATCTGGAAGAATCAGTGCCAACCAGAAGCATTGGGAGTGATCGAGAGATGGCGAGGGTTGGCGAAAGAAAGACGTTGGATGCGGAGAGGTGCAGAGGCTGTCTTTCGGTCGGTGATGTTGGTGTCGTCGGGAGGAGAGGGGCTAAGAGCAAGAGGATGGGGAGGAGGATGGGGAGGGGGGTTTGGCGGGGAATATTTCCTTTTTGGGACAGGAGCAGGGACAGGCTACAACAACAAAAATTAAGGGGGAGAATCATCCTTTGGGTTTTATTTTGATGAAATCAATTCATGCCATACGAGTAAAATAAATTGAATCACAATGGCTGCTACATTTAACTATATAGCTAGAAATCTACTGCTTTTTCCGGTTGATTGATACGGCATTGGATCAGCAGCGGACCGTGGAAATAAATAAAATAATAATAATAATAATAATAATAATAATAATAATAATAATAATAATAAAATATAACCCCACTAAACAGATTTGACATACTCGTCCGCAGGAGTGGAGTGGGAAGTATCAATATAGCGCTCCCTTGCCGGCTGGGATACTAAGCTGTATATTCTCCAGGAGAGGTAAAAACAGAAACACAAAGATAAAAACCAAAAAAAAAAGAGAAAACAAGGAAAATGTAGAAAAACTGCGAACTTGATCGGATATCTCGTCGCCAAACAAAAGTTGTCAAGCAAACTCCTGTTCACTTTTCGTCAAAGGAGGCCTCAGGAATCAGGACTTGAGAATTATTGTTCTTCTGTTCCATCATTTTTTCCAGCCTGCTTTGAGGAGCTCGTTCTCTCTCCTCGATCGGCGTTATCTTGTCAGGTCCCCGCCTGTTGTCATTGTCCCTGAGGCTTGGGTTCCTCCGCCCCAGTGCAGCGACACATTGGATCCAGCCACTTTCGAATTCTCCAGCCAGATTGAGTGAAATATGGCGTATCCGGACTCATCTTGTGTAAGCCGGCGACGAGTATTTCCTTTACAGGTTTCTTGTGGCATGGAGGTTGATGGCGCGTTGGCCTCTTTCGCGATTCTGAACTTGCGAAGTTTGACTTAATATACTCTTGAATTTCAAAAGAAATAATCTATCAAACTAGTATATGTTAGCTTTATTTATTCGCCCTTATGGTTGTATAGCCCACTCGAGCATTGATTGCATTCACACCCTTCGACTAGGCTTGTTGCCTCTCTAAAGCAAGTTTTGGCGTACTGGGAGTTTGGGTCGGAGTTTGACTGACTAACCTCTTGAGAAGACGTAAGCTCCTCAATTTCAGCCAAACAGCCACGTGCTGAATATCGAGATGCTGGTTTTATGACCAGCATTGCGGTCGATAAAATGTGACCTAGGTCATCTGATGCGTGCTTGTGGCTTTATCGACCATCATATATCACACCATAGTATTCTCATATGTCGTATATTCCTCGTGGTATAGGAAAGTTTGTATGTGTACCTGAGAATAACGACCCAGAGTGACCAGATGTCTACCGCTTTTGTGGTCTTTTTGTCCGTGGAGAGTTCCTGAGTGGCCGCAATTTCAGGAGAGTAGTAGTGCTCCGACTACAGAAGTCTCCAATAACGTACCCACTCTAATAAAACCAAAATCTCCAAACTTAATATGGAGAGGGTCACAGGTTCTGACAAGAATGTTGATTTCACATACCGATGCATAATTGGGGGGTGGTGTCTCCATGTAGATAGCCTACCGCTTCTAGACCTTGCTGAAGAATTATTCAACATCTCATTGTATGAAAAAAAAAAAAGGTTCTGTTCAAGATTCCCATGAGGAACATATTCCAGATACAACAGGGATTATGGTCTGCAACCGCAAAAATAAACTGAATGATATGCTCCTGGTGAGTGAGTTAGCATGGATGGTCATCATAGATTATTATCTTCATGTACATACATGCTTGATTAGCGCCATCACGTCGATCTCCAGCTTCCACGATTTCAAATCGAACGGATGAGCTGCGAAAAGGTTCTTGCGCGCATATTCGATTCCGGTGATAACGTCACAGATATGAATTGCGGTTCCAAAGGAGCCCTTGCCGAGTTTTCCTTGACGGAGGAGGATGGGTTTGGGCCCTGGAGTTTGGACCTCACTGATGGCTTCTGTTGATTGCCAGCTGTAGACGTTGAGTCCGCTGTTAGGCACATCATCCTCCGCGGGCATCATCTCGCGAAATCGTTCAACGTTGGTAGCGTGCGTATTCGGTGAAACCTGTCTCGCGCTTGGGGATGACAATTTGGAATACGAGGTAGGGGTCCAATTCAACAAGGATTTTATATTTGTTCGGATTAAGATTTCTATGCCCTCATCAAGTATCCTGGTGAAGTTGCAGTGCTTCTCCCTTCTAGCCCCGTTGTAACTAACGATGGTTCCAATACAGCATTCGTCCCGTAGAATTAACCGATGCTGGTTGTCAAATTGAAGTTAACAATGTCGCATACTGGTGCAGGTCGTATGTCCTGGGTCTGACAGAAAAATATCACAATTTCTCTTCGTCCCTTACAGTGCAAAAGCCTTTTCTGCTTCTTGGTCTGTTGCTATTGTCAACTGTATTGCATCCTTGGAAATGGCATTTGGAAAGTCCTCTTCCAAACCAGACTCTTCGAATAAGGACCCTGTAATCTGCAATATTTGTACTGGGTCCTTCCCGTGTCATGATTTGGAGACGAGGCGCGACCGATTCCGAGTATTAGATATTGTTTGATAGCTAGACATTTTCCCCTGGGCAGAGCCATGCTATAAAATCGGGGTTGTTCATTCTCAAAAACCGAGTTTTGTTTAACAAAGGCAAGGACATGACGCAGAGCATGCCAAGTTTGTCTTGGAGATTTTGTGAATTTAAATAATAAATATCTCGAGACGTTGGAGGGATTATGCCAGCCGTTCTGTCAAGTCGTGTGGCATGGGCAGCACAACGCAGCAGCCCAGGCAATAGCTTGATGTTCGTATCGATTAGCCTGGCATCGCTGTCACTGGAGCAAAGCGTTTACATAAGTAAACAGAGAAAGCAGAGAAGAATGTAGTACACTTTGTTTGACATCTTGACATGGATAGAGGAAGAGTTTATCTGTAGCCTGTAGGATGCTGTTTGTGCTCTAACATTCTGCTGACACGTCGCTTCAGAGTCGGAGTAAACCATCGAAGGCTATTAGTTATTTTTAGCAGCAGTTCCAGGATTGTTTTGTCCAAGAATTAAATAGCCCAGCCTTGGGAGATTTTACCAAAGCAAACCCTGGTAGGCTGGTACGTTGTTATGCACAACTTTCCCGTAACTAGAACACGATAGACGTCAACACCCATTTCAATTCCCATACCTAACTCCCCAATTAATGATGTCGCAGCATGACTAAATCAACAAAGACTCGGCCCGCTTGTTCAACACCTGCTTACGGCGTCCAGATTTTATATCCAAACACCTTCGTATCTCGTCAAAACTTCCACCTCTGCGTGTTGTTGGCATTCATTATAGAAAACCCAAGTGCCGTGGAATCTACTCGCTCAATGTCACAGAAAACTTCCCACTGCCGCTGAGATTGCTACCTATGATGACGAATAGCTGGACTGGTACCTTTAAGAGAAGGTGGGTGTTCTGTTTTACTATAGCATAGAAAACCTTCTCATCATGCCATCAGGTGCCATCAGGCTAACCTGAAATGAAACCTATAGAGTGGTCGTAGTGGACGACCCAAAAACATCTGCCCGAGGAGTTCCTTTCAGAGATCAAGGTATTGGGCCACTTGCTTTAAGACCTTCTCAATTCCCTTCTAAACGCCTCTCTGGGAGTAGAGTTCGAGTACGCTACCGAAGCGAAAATCCCCAGTTCCATTCACTTGACGTGAACGAAGTAAATGGGTTGCTTCTGAAAGCTACCTCCCCTCTACCTCCTCCCCTCCACTTTGTTTCCCCCTTTCCCCCATTTTTTAAGGGGCGCAAGCCTTCTGCCCCCGTATGAGATATCTTGTGTCGCTGTGCGACATCTAAAAACAAAGATTTTGAGTGGTTTCTTGTCGTCTGTGTTCTTAACGCGATTTGTTTCCATTTTTGCCCTCTTCTCCAAGGACATTTTCAATTGCAGGATCTACGCTTTCTTGGTTCAACGCAGATATCTCCCCCTGTTCTTGTCGTTTCAACCTATACCCGAGATTGTTCCCGACATATTCTTCGTTTCCAAGAGTTATTCGGTTGATCTAAAGGCCCTTTTGTATTGTATTCTCTGCATAGATCTAGATTTGAGGTATCGTAGTATCATAATCCCGAAAATGTCTCAAATCTGTATATATGTCTATGCCAAAAACAGCAGGTCTAAAAAGATACCAAATATCGAAATTATAATTTGGGTTTTACAAAGTGACCTAGGGCATGTAGTCCCGCGGGACCATCGTATATCTGCTGTTCTACTGCACGGGCGTTGATCTGTGTTGTTGGCGTATGGAGAGTTAGATGGCGGATGCATTGAAACCTTGTTCTCCTTTTATATAAGGGTCATGAAGAGACTTACATGTTGCATTCCTAGATCCTCAACCCTTCCAACGCCCAAGAGATGCATGGCCGTTTTGGTTTCGGAGGAGAGAACTGTGCGGAGGTGTGGGCAGCTATCAGTAATAACTCTCTATGGCGTCTTGGGAGAACATTCAATGAAAGAAGATGGGAAAAAAAAGAAAAGAAAACAAAAAAGAAAGATATATAAACATACTCTCCAACACCCTCTCGACCCCTTCCACCCCACCAGCCCCAAGCCCAAACAACGGCGCCCTACCAACACCCACACACCTAGCTCCAAGACACAACGCCTTCACCACATCCGTCCCCCTCTTAATTCCCCCATCAACCCACACCTCCACCCTGTCAAAAACCTCGGGACAATATTTCCGAATCTCCATCAGCGTATGCACTGCAGGGGGGGCCGTATCCATCGCCCTCCCCCCGTGATTCGACAATATAATCGCCTTGACCTGCGGTCCGTGCAGTGAGGCTATATACGCATCCTCATGCGTCTGCACCCCTTTCAGCACGATGGGTAGATCCGTATGGCGCGCGAGCCAGGGGAGTGTTTTCGACCAGGTCAACGACGGGTCCGTGCCGGCGAAGAGCTGCTGGCCGATCCCGCTGGCGCTTGGGAGCGGTGTGCCACCGGACGCCTTGACGATATCCGTTACTGACGATGTCTGGGTGACTGTCTGCGTGCGCTCATCATGCTCGCGCTTTCCAGGCACGGGGGCGTCAAGTGTTAGACAGACAAACTTAATCGATTTGAGCTTGTTGATGCGGGCGAGCATTGCTTCGCTTTTTTTCCGGTCTGTTTGAACATACAACTGCCAGCCAAAGACTTGGTCTGGTGCTGCGTTTGCGACGATTTCTTTGGGGGTCATGGAGGCGTTGTTGGAGATTAGTTGCATGGCGTTGAATTTGGAACAGGCTGCTGCAATACCGGCTTCGCCTGCGGGATGAGCGAGGCGGGCCATGGCGGCTGGGGAGACGTAGATTGGTAATCCGAGTTTATAGCCAAGGACACTGGTGGAGAGATCGCAGTTGGTGCAGTCGATGAAGACGCGGGGCCGCAGGAGGATGGAGCGGTATATGGTGTTATTTAGTGATTTGGACATGAGATCGTCTGCAGCGGAGTAGTAGTATCCCCATGCCTTCTTGCTAAGCTTTTGCGTGGCTGCTGCTTCAATATCGTTGATATTTAGGAGAGAGGACATGGGAGGCGTCTCATTGAATGCCTGCTCTGCACCCGTTTGGTGATTGGATTCCGCGCTGTAAGAGGCCGCCTTGGGAAGTGATGTCTTTGGGTCGATAGGACCCAGGCACGCTTCTGGTTTCAGATTGTCTTCCAGCGTGCCGGAGGGGTGGACGGGGTCAAATTCCTCCGTTGCATCTTTGCCGGCGAGCTGGAGGATGATGTTAGCGCCACCGGGATGATTTGGGAGAAAGTCCGTAACCTGTTTATTACATTTTCCGGACGTCATGCCATTCCTATTAGCATGGAGTAAATGCAGGTGTATGCTCCCACTAGTTCCTAAGCCCTAAATGGCAAACATGGGAGATGAAGGAAGTGATATAGGAATACCAACATCGTAGACTTTTCCGTAGAGCACAACCCAGCAGCTGTCTCTAGTGTTATGCTTGGCCACTAACGGGATATCAGCCTCAGCTTCAGATAATTTAACTGCTCTGTAATTGGACTCTGCTTACCTTCAGCAGCATTCAGATTCCTGCCACCCATACTGATTTTCGTATTTATATATTTACAGCCCTGCAATCACGCCCTTGAGCGGGTTAACTATATCAGAAAAATTGAGTGGTAACTATATCAGAGTATAGGCATTCAACTCAAAAAGATCTCTGTTGTATAAACGGTATAACAAATTGTGTAGATGAGTACTGTGACCAGCGAATACATTAATTTATATTACTTATCCGCGAGCATCTGCTGGGGTGGAGTTGAGTGTTTCCGAGAAGTGGACAGAACGCAGCCGTCGGTGATTGGGCAGCGCCGAACTCTAGGCAACCCCACAGCCGCCATCAACCACAGTTTGGGCGTTGGATAGCTGGAGGTTAGCGGCAAACTTACTTGAGTTTAACTGAAATTGGTTAAAGCTTTTTACTAAAGGGAACGAACAGTAATGTGGAGGCGCACTGCCAACCTGCCAACTGGGAGTAACTATTTCTCCTTTGTTAAAAGGATATCTTCAAACTTGGACAATAATAATGAAAGGTAACTAAGTAAACAAGAAGAGCTGCCGAGCAGCTGGAAATAGAATTTCCGTACGATTCATCAAAATAAGTAAAAAGCAACTATACAGAGTAGAACATAGCAAAATGCAGAGCTCTCTGCAATCGCTTGAAGTTTTTCCCGCTGAGCCGCTGACTAATCGAAACCATGCGATCTCAGGTTTAACTCGCTCCTTTGTTCGGCCATCGAGAGGTCGAGGATATCCGTACGCCATTCACTCCAGACTCTAGCTGACCGCTGTCAGGTAATTTAGCTCACTCAACGTACCCACCCCAGAATATCCATTATGTTCGAGGTTCGTTTTCATCCCATAACCGACCACCAAACCTCCCCAACACTTTCCCTCCCCATCAACCCTCCCAACAACTTCCAATAACTAACCAGTCTGCACTCCTCCAGCGCCGCGCTGCAGACCGCTACCGCCTCCGCCTCCACCGCGCCCGCTCCGTCGTGCTCACCCCCGAGGAAATCGTCGAAGTCCGCGCAGCCCAACGCACGTTCGAAGGCGCCTACATCCGCACCTCCCTCTCCCAGTTCTCCTTCGCCCTGATCATCCTCAAAATCTTCACGTCAGAGTTCTACAGCATCGGTGCGCTGTTTGCCGTGTACGGCGCGGGGGTGTTGACGATAGGCCTGTTCCGCCGCCAGCAGGGTAATAGGCAGTTTTTCAACGAGGTGGGCGAGGATGGGTTGCAGAGACGTAAGTTTCGGACGAGTGGGAATGTGGTGCTTGTGTTGACTGCGTTGAGCATTGCGGCATATGCGTGTTTGTTGGCGTTGACGTTGACGTTGAAGATGTGATGGTGGCGGTTGCGGTTGGTTTAGTGATGGGAGATGGTATGGGAAATGGAAATGGAAATCGGGTGGTGGGAAGGATATGAGCTTTCCTGGGGAGTTTCTATCATATGCCTTACTACCGCTGTCCTACATATAAGGTGTCCGGATGCTTCTAGGTCGGACATGGACTTTTCTGGGGGTCATCCTCCAGGTCATCGTCGACGAGCTGCTTGTTGGGATGGTTCCACGGATTTGCCGAAATTGGCATTCGCTCCCGGACGGGAACTACCCGGGCATTAGAAATTTGCTAGGGCCTCATACTTGCCAAGGTGCATAGAGCACCGTAAACATCATCCAGGAATCACGGTCCACGCATATAACGACGTATGTTTTCGGGCCACATTTCCTGTCGCATGTTCTTCAGGTGCCATTGCAAGGTCCTAACCCTAGACAAGCGCGCCTGACCTATCGAAGCAGAGATGTGACCTGGTCAAACACAAGTCCAGCTAATTTCTCTGGGTTCCTTCAGCTCATGGCGTTGAATGCGCTACCAGACTATATCCGGTAGTGGTCATGGGTTCGTTGTCTCTAAAGCGGGAGTGGAGCTGGGTCTGATAATTTTACATGATTGCAGCAGAGATAGTGATTTATTATAGAGTATGGATTGGGAAACTTGGTTCGAAATGGTTCTAGGCCCAGGATCTCATATGGCAATGGGAGGGAAGATATCTGCTGGATCTTTCCAGGGCGGAAATTGGAGGGTAACTAGTTTTCAGATGGGGGAAACCCAACAAGCCCCGCGGCTCGATCTCTGAGTATTACGGACATACCGCCAGCACACGTCTGCCTGCATCTATATAACCAAGATGTGATCCAAGTGAATATCTGGATTTCTGCCCGGATATTTCACATATTTACACGGAAATCTTGTGGAATCTTGTGGAATCTTGGATGGGTCAGTTGGTTTTTGGAAGGGAAATAAATGGGTGAGAGGGTTTTGGCGGTCTGTTCTGTCGTTGGTTTTGATATGGAGTAATGGTACACCAGCATACACCGCAAGAGAGCCGGAGCTGCCACAACATGGTATTTGGGAAGACGTTGTGTTACCGAATGGCACAGCATGAGAGAATCAAAAGTCCTGCTGTCAAACATCTTGGTGCAAAAATATGGTCCATGAATGCTACTTTACTGTGTTCGGTGTGAAAAGAGTGATTCACTGTGTCTGTTGAAACTGAACAGTGTCTATGTATGTTATTGGACCACTGAGACTACGAGTACTTCTAGGAATGCTGTGGTAATGAAAACAAGATTTCAAACAGTAGATGGATCCTTGCCCAAACAATAATTTTTGTTCTGTTGATTTTAAATTTTCAACTGTTTCCTGGTAACTTTGGGAATGAAGCTTAAAAAGACTTGGAATACAACGTCTGGAGTGGCGTATTTATTACATCACAGGCACAGAAATTTAGTTAACCTCCCTTGTTTCCAACCCAGCGGTGTGACCTCAAATTTTCCTTAATTATGTCCATCCATTCGCACACACACAGACATACATGTTAACAGTTACTTGCTACGCGGTGCTTCAGACTCCCCAAGGACCGGACGGACTGCTTCAGCTGCCGCTTTTCCCCCCGCCGAGTCACGGCCAAGTCTGCCCAGCCCGGCCAGTCAGCGCCTCCTGTCCTTTTTGCCCCCCAACCGCCTCGAGCCTCACGTCCCCCTCCGAGGCTGCGGCTCCCGGCTCCAACCTGCGACTAGACCTCAGCAATGGACGTGGAAGATCACCCTTCTACTGCTGTCCCCGGGTCTCCCAGCTTCAGCTCCAGCTACAGCGATACCAGCAGTCTCCCCGATCCCAGTATGATGCTAGGTCCGTACAAAACTGTGGTGGGGAGGGCCCTTGCTCCCGAGCATCACCACAATCACCACCATCACCATCATCATCATGCTGTCCCTCGCAGCCTTGGTGCGACCCACTCACTCGCGTGCCGAGACGGTGTAGGGGTTGCTCTGACAGATACTCCGGTTTCAACCGCACCACCATCTCCACTAATGTCAGTTCATATGCCTTCTTTTCCTGTTCCTTATTTTCCAAGGGTTGGAAGCTGGGTGAAGGTGCCTGGCTAGTTGTATATAGCCTTTGCCTTGGCAGGCTCTGCGGGCCCCTTTGAGGGGTGGAAAAGCAACTATTTCCCCCCTCTAGCTCCTGGCTCTACGGCTATTCCCTTTATCTAGCCGCATATTCAACCTGACTTCGGGGGTTCCCGAGTCTCCACTGCCCCTCCACTGCCCCTCTGCTACCCCTTGCATATAATTGGATGTTAACCACAAGCTTACTGTGTGTCCTGGCGGCTTTTATCGCTGCTGTGCTTAATTTAGTGGTGCTCGCTCCCAATCCTCCGGTGCTTCCACTCCAGGAAAACATCGTGCAACCACCCTTGACATCCCGGGCTTAACCAGGTCCAAAGTCTCCCCCGATGGCCGTATTGCGCAACGAGATGTCGGCTCCAAGCTGGTCATTGTCATGGTGGGCTTGCCCGCACGTGGCAAAAGCTACATCACCAAGAAACTGGCCCGGTACCTCAATTGGATGCAACATGATACCAAAATCTTTAACGTGGGCGAGCGACGACGTGTTGCTGCTGCGAATCCCCCCCCCTCTGAGGAAAAGGATTCGGTTATCGAGGAAGAATTGAGAGACTCCGTGCGCGAAATGAACATGAATGGTGGTGCCTCGAATAAATTAGATACCGAACATGAGATGTTGCCTCCCGCCGCTATTCTTGTGAATGGAGAAGCTGTCGTGACGGAAGAAGCACAGGATACCCACCGTGACCCTAGCCCCATGAGCGACGTGCAATTTCTCACCCCAAGTTCACTGTCATCAGACAAGGGAGCTCTAAATTCTAGAAGAGCTGGGTCAATTGACCAGTCGGCTCAATTTTTCGATCCCGAAAACGAGCAGGCGGTTCGGCTGAGAGAGAAGGTTGCCCTAGAGACTCTGGACGAGCTTTTGGATTACATTCTTGAGCAGGGTGGAAGTATAGGAATCCTAGATGCGACAAACAGTACCCTGAAACGTCGCAAGGCCATCATGGACCATATTCGAAAACGTGCCGGATCAGAACTCAACGTGCTGTTCCTCGAAAGCCAATGTCTCGACAAGGAGCTTCTAGAATCGAATATGCGCCTCAAGCTTTCGGGCCCCGATTACAAGGATCAAGACCCCACCATTGCCCTGGAGGACTTCAAGAAACGTGTTTCCTTGTATGAGAAATCATATATATCGCTTGGAGACTATGAGGAGAAGCACAACATGCCTTTTTTACAGATGATAGATGTTAGCCGTAAACTTATTGCCCACCAAGTTAACGGCTTCCTTTCATCCCAAGTCATGTATTATCTCGTCAACTTCAACCTCTCCCCGCGCCAAATCTGGATCTGCCGCCACGGTGAAAGTCTGGACAACGTCGCTGGCAGGATAGGAGGAGACTCATCCCTCAGTACAAACGGTATTGCTTTCTCAAAGGCTCTGACAAGATTTATCGGCCACCAGCGCAAGGTCTGGGAAGATTACCAGAAGACCAAAGCCCTATCAACTCACTTCCCCCCGCGCCCTGGTGACAGTACTCCGCCTAATCCGCAATACGCAGGCCAGAACGCGGAGCGCCAGCGTAACTTCTGTGTCTGGTCATCCATGCTCATCCGCTCGATTCAGACGGTACAATACTTCGATGACGAGGAATATGATGTGAAACAGATGCGCATGCTCGATGAGCTGAACGCGGGAAAGATGGAAGGGATGACGTATGAGGAAATCCGCAAGCAGTATCCGGAGGAATATGCCAATCGCAAGCGGGAGAAGTTGCACTACCGTTACCCTGGACCCGGTGGAGAGGGGTATCTGGATGTCATTAACCGATTAAAGGCGGTGATTGTGGAGGTTGAGCGGATGACGGATAGTGTGCTGCTAGTTGCGCATCGGTCTGTGGCACGAGTGCTGCTGGCGTATTTTCGTGGGTTGAAGAGGGAGCAACTTGCGGATTTGGATGTTCCGCTTGGTGTATTGTATATGCTTGAGCCGGTATGTTTTTGCTCTTTCCGGAACAACAAAACGAACCTACGTATAGTCCTTTCAAGGCCTCTGTTCAATTTTCTTTTTCTTTTTATCTTATTTCATGTGTTAATTGATCTTTTTAGAAACCCTACGGCGTGGAGTTCAAAGCATATAGATATAATCCGGGCAAAGACTGGTTTGACTACGTTCCCGACTATGAGCTGCGGCAGGTGACTTATTTCTAACAACGTCACGACCCGCTTCTTACGAAAGATATCAACCATCAAGCGGTGGGAAACACGCATAATTGCATCTAATTACGGCCAAGTTCAACAAACTTGACAATTTCAGAGAATAAACTCACACCCCTCCGTCAATTTTCATTCGGAATTCTTCAAGTATTATCACGTTCGACATACAAGGTTTTTCTACTCTGCTCACTTGCACGAAACGATTGGCATTTATGTCAATGCGCCACGTATACGCATGCTTTCTATCATGACTTCCCTTCGAATTTCCGGATCCAGCATTCCTCCTAGATAAGAGGGGAGGCAAGAAATCCGAAATTGACACCACAGATAAAATGCAAAAAGACAACAAGGTTTTTTTTCTTTCTTTCTTTTCTTTTCTTTTCATTTCTCTCTCTCTCTCTCTCTCTCTTTTTTTTTTTTTTTTGCTTATCCATTTGTTGAAATTACGAGAAATCGCCTAATTAACTTCTTCGAACGTACCCTTTTCACTTCTCTCTTTGTTTCTCTATGTACTCTACATCCCTTCGTACCAGCCGACGTGATCGCGGTTGGCTTGTGATGCAGAAAACTACGGACATGGGAGTATTCATTTTGTTTTTTTATCAAGAGTGCCCATGGCCATGACTTTCTTTTCCTATTGTCTCTGAATTTCCACCTACTCTCATGTATTTTTTTTATGGTATGGGACCTTTGGCGTGGCGTTTCTCTCTCATTCCTCTTAACTTTTCTTTTTCTTCTGTTTTCCCAAGAATGGTGGGGTTGGGCTAGGCACATCTATTGTGACATGATTTGGCGTTTCGTGCATTTGCATTTATGTCTCTACTACGATGCATTTGGTTTTGTTCTCAAAGTACATGGGAGGTTTGCTTTTTATGTTGTTACTTGTTTGTTCCTCGCTTTCTGCTTTACGTGCTTTTTTTAAGATGGGGCTGGTGGCGTTGGGTGTGGGTATAAGATAAGATGTTGGAGGAGTTTTCTTATGTTCTTTTCACATATGCGTGTCTTCATTGTTGATGTGTTCTGCTTCTCTTCTCCCTCTCATTGTGCTACTTTATTTATTTTCATTCTAGAATGGCCATACTGGGTGCAGCTATATCAGTCAAAGTGTATTTGTGCATGTGCATGTGTATGTGGATATATGTTATTCTTTAGTAATTTTTAATTGATTAATTCTCTTAAGATTGCTATTCTATCTCTCCATTTGTTTTCATTTTGAAGATATTGTATTAAATTGCTAAGTTGTTACTGTACTCTGCTCTGCTTTATTGTTTCCTCCTTGATTGAATTCACCAGCTAACTTGACTGAACACTGGCTAGCGTTAGAATTGCTCATTTACATATACAGAAAGATGACGGATACATATTCCACGTCCACGAGTGGTTCATTTACTCCGGCCGTGTTGTTTTATGTCAAAGGTTGAAGTTTGTATTTACATCTCTCCTCGACCAGCAGCGGCAGCTTGTTTGACCAGCATCCACGCACCTTCTGCATCGTGCGTGGTAACATTTGCTGCAGGAATAGGACCTGGGGAGGAACCAGGTTTATCAGCATTCCATACCGTCGCGGTAAACTGCGTTGATTCGAATTATTAGTCATACGGACACAATGGAATAAAAGTGAAAACAGCGTGCGGGGATAAAATAAATACCTTAAACCAAAAATTTAACACAAGCGCCACCGCAAGTCCCAAACAAACTACCATCGGCCCAGCCACATTATCGAAATCACGCCCGCTGCGCTCCCGAATCCACCGCGCCCGCTGCACGTACATCCACCACCCCCACCCGCCCGCAAAGACCGCAAAGCACGTATACACGATCGCCAGCGCGCGTGCGATGCTATTATTGGCGTCTGCGGCATTATAGAGCCCTACGGAGAGCGAGGCGAGCAGGACGCAGATATGCTGCCATTTTATGAAGGTGCGCTGGTTAGCGAGCCAGACTTTGCCTTCGACGCGGACCGGGCCGGAGTCCTTTATCCAGATCCCCGGTTCGCGGATGCCGGGGGGTAAGGGGGTTGAGGGCGCTCTATGCGCTACAGCGTAGCGGGACATGCTTCGTGGGAAGAAGGAGAGGAGACCGGATGGGCGTGAGGGTGGCAGGTGGGATGTGGGGGGGACCTTTCCTGGTTCTGGGATGGGGATTGGGAGGGATTCTGAAACAAGGGGTCTCGTGTCTGCTGCTGGGCCCCTCGCTGCCTTTGAGCTTTCTGCTACTGCTGCAACTGCTACTGGAGACCCAACGGAAAGGTCTTTGTGGATGGGTGATCCCACCATGGGGCGGGTTGCAGGGCTTTGTCGGCTCCCTAGAAAGCTTCCCACTGCGAGTTCATCTTCGGCTTGTTTTGCCATCTTCTCCCGTTCCTCCTGGAATGCGATTTCTGGGTCCCGACGGATGTCTGTATCCAACTCACTGAGCCAGAATGGAAAGCTGTTTACGTAGTCTTCGAAGAGTTCTGCCACACCATGGACAAATTTGGAGAATCGGGGGGCATCTTTAACTAGATGGGATGACATTAAATCGAGTAGCCATTCTTTATTTGTTCTCCGTAGGTTGCCTCCACGGACTTTGATTTCTAGCAGAGCGTAGGGAAATCGACGGATTTCGAAAGGTTTGATTTCTGAGAAAGGAAACTCCATTTCTCTACTGTCAATATCTGTGCGATGCCAATTATCGGGGTCGCGGCATGGTCGTTCCAGATCAAGTGAATCTTCTCTTATTAAGGCCAGGTCGGTGTCAAGAGATATCCTAAGACTATTATCGCCCGGAATCTGGAACGCGGTTCGAGTATAAGTAGCCCTCAGAACGGGCTCCAACTGCTTCTCCTTAATAAATGACTGGATTTCCTCAACGTTCTTTTTCAAAGTTTCAGCGCTTTCCGAATCCCCGCCATCCCTGGTCTCCATCCTCTGAATCATCTTTTCCATTTTGTACTCTCCCATTAGGAACGGTTTAATATGTTTCTCCTTGATGCGGACTCTAATTTCGTTACTGCTATCGCCATCCGCCATCGCTTTTTTCTCCAAGTAAATCTCTGGCTGATCATTCAACTGACCAGTCCAACGAAGGCGCAAAGAGCTAGCTCCTGGAGTCTTAGCGACTTTTTGGTTATACAGCTCAAACTTAGGGCCATCAAAGTAGAGGGAGGTAATGGTGGGATCCTTCGGTGCCATATGGAATTCTTTGGAAGAAACATTGGGGTTGTAAACCAAAACAGGTAGACGGCGCAGAATATATGTTTTCACTTCCAAAACATTATCCATATGTACCCAGAACTTATGAGAAGTATACACATCCTGCCCCAAGTGTGTATCTACAGCGGGACCCCCTTCAGCAGATTGTTCGGAGGGTCGCTGGCCGAGATCCTGACGGATGAAAGAATACATGGTCGAAAGGCGGTAGAGAAGTGGGGAATAGTCCTCTGAGTTGAATGGTAGATGGGACAAGCGCACTTGAAGTAAAGGTTTTACCTTGTAGAGGGTACCTCGTTTCCGGTCATGTTTTTTAGCCGCCTTAAGGAAGCCCGTGAAATTGATACGACTGAACTTCTCCAGCTCACTGACCTCCTTGGTAATAGAGTCAAGATCCTTCATGGCACTCCGAGCAATCTCCTTTCTCCTGTCCGCATCTTCCACCTGGGTTCCATCTTCCTTTGTAACCAAAGGCTCCAGTTTTGCCTCGCACTGCGAGGTTCGATCCCGCAGCTGCTTGTAGGTATTAACCTGAAATGCATTGACTTTGTCGAGCTGAACGTTAATCAGCTCCTGCACAAAGTTTTCTTCATCCTGCTCCGTCCATTCCGGAGTCTCATCATCGCTTCCATCCTGTGAGCTGCCTTTAGTTTCATGTTCGCGAAGCAGTCGTTTTAGCTTGTTGTAGTCGATGTAGTGGTTCTTCCAAGGCGGGTATATAGACTTTTCCAGGGTATGACCGAAACGCATGGCAGGCGCAATAGAGGAAAATATCTTCAGGATTACAGTTGTATAAACAGATCGATTACCCAGGGATATGACGAGGTGTGAAGCTAACGATCCGGTAAGGAAGTTGTGCCCAGAGAGATAAGCTCGATCTCATGCAACTTGAATTGATCTGCTTTTTCCGAGGCTGAAGAGAGTAGACAGAGACGAAGCACACCGGCAGATGCTTTATACAATCCGAGATACAGCTTCTTGAGCCCGAAGACAGTTGCAGAGTGTCGTTGTTCGCTGCCAATTCGTAGATGACGATGGAAGATAAAGCTTCGTTGATTTCCTGATTTGGCAATTGGTTATTGGGGTGGCTTGTGGCGGGGAATCATACAGCCAATCAGAAGCTTGTTTCGCCCCATTCCGATATATTTTTCCGAATCGAGGTTTTAAGTGAACAGTATCGGACTATATATACTCCGCTATGACGCAACCGCTGACGCCGTATCACGTGAAATAGCTTGGTGTCCAAGCTGGTTTAATGTTGAACACAACAAACCTTGAGATCCAAGTGTTGGAAAACAAAAAAAAGCAGGGATCTAGTTTAACTCAGTCATCATCTGCTGTGTATAAGAGGAACGAAATCGCTCCTCAGTATTCCAATTCTGACGCTGCCATTTTCAGCCAGAAGCAAAGAGGAATCCGTTGTTGTCACTCTGTTCGTATCTGCAAATTGACCATGGTGCTTGCTCCCAAGATCTATCCTCGCGCAACAGTGAAGCGCATCGTGAAAGCCCATACCAAGCGAAATATATCCAAAAACGCGGATGTCTTGGTGAGTTCGATCCATTACTGCGCATAAGATGTGTATAGAGAGATTTTATTCCGGTACTCTCTTGAATCAGGTTTCTAATTCCCTAGTTTAATTCTGCAGATATTCCTAGACTATATGCTCTTTATGGAAGAGTTAGTTGCTTTCAACCTTTACTAGTATTCTAAGTTGCGCTGGGGTGCCCGTTTCAGCCCGCCGAGCATTTGCGTACTTACATAATTGATTTTTCAGACTGATGCGCGAGGCCTCTATTCGTTCGAGGAGAAGTGGGGAGAAAGCTATCTCCGCTAAAAACATCCGCAAAGTGGCTGAGGTGGGTATGCTCCCCATCTATATTTGCAATGCACTGGCTGACCTCTAGAGCCTGGATTCTGCTCTTTCTCTTCCTTTAGGGCACATTACGGAAATTCAAAGGATAGAATTTTAAAAATTTCTCTCTTCGTCATCTCTTGAATTGAAAGGATTATAGAAAACTGCATAGGCTAATGCGTTCCTGGCGGTACAATTCTTGCTAATCGGCTAGCTGGTACCTTTATATATAATACCCTGAATGGAATTTGATTGAGTCTCTTCTATCTTCAGAGTGTTACCTTTTCCATATAAGTTTATTGTGTTAGGGAGCGAATGCGAGCTGCATAAGAAGAAAGACTCTCTGCGTTGCTAACTGCTATATAACGAAATACTAAGCTTGATGGGATGAAAGGGGGTGCTGGGGCCTGCGTGGATTATAACCACCTGCATGGTCGTGTGGTCACGTGATATGGATTAGGCCTAATCGGGCGCCGAGCTTAATCCGACGTCGAGTCTAACCGGGCACCGGCCTTCGGTCGGGCTCGGTCGGACGCTGAGCCTAACATATTGGAGATAATTTCATGTTTTATTATTATATTCTAGTTTCTTTGAAATATCTGCCATTATTAATATATTTGTTTTATATGTTTTTTATGAAAAAAATAAAAAATAACTTTTAAATATATATTAAAACTTAATAATATAATATTTTTATAATTTTAAAAATTAATTTAAATTATATATAAATATTTTTTAATTTTAATTTAATATATTATTTTATATTAATAACTATATTTAATATATTTATAAATAGAAATATAAATTTAGATTATTATAAAATTAATTAAATAAAATTATATAAATTATTTTTAAATAATTTTATATTTTAATAATTATATATTTTTAATTTTTAGTTATTTTTAACTATAAATAATATTTAATTAAATCAAAATAATTTTTAAACTTTTATTTTATTTTAAATATAATCTATAGAAAAAAATATATAAATTAATTATAAAATATCTTATAAATACTATTATAATAAGATTCATTTTAATATTATAGTTGTTTGAAATGTTCTAATCAAGTTTTGATAGGGTATCACATGATACACAATAACTATATACTCTCAATCATTTTTCAATCAATATAGCTAAACCTTATCTTAATAATTATAGTCTCAGGTACAAAGTGCATGATTAGAGCCCATGACTAGTAACTAAAGCCTTTCATTTAAATGTTTCTGAGATGAAACTTCTGATCTTAAAGCTCTGATTAAGTAATCCTTGGGCTTGAGATGTATAACAGACTAGAGCTCAAGTAGAGCAGCGCTCAGCTTGATAGCACTTTTGACCAAGATTCAATTAGCTCTTGGCAAGAGCTTATAAATATTATTTATTAAACTAACTAGAGGTTCTTCTTTGTTAAAAATCAGCTTTTGATTACCTTGATAATTGATAGAATAGGTTCGAGAGAGTGACATCATACACCTTGACAGTCTCTTGCATGCGTGAAAATTGCTTAGTTTCATACGCTCTAACTAATGACTAAAAATGGGCTTCTTCTCTGGTTAAAAGCTTGATCCTTTTGATTTGATGAAGCATATTGAGGATTTGATGGATTAGATTGAAATGAAATAAATAGTGTTCCAGTAATTTGCTTACATTAATTAAATAAATTCAATCTCCGCGATCCATTAGAAGAAAAGCTGGATTGCATTGCATTCTGGGGTTCTGTTAGATGTTTCCCCGGATGATCAGATCCTCTCAAGCCAGATCCGATGTTGGGACAACCCCGGCCTGACCATCGAGCAGATTCTGCCGCCTTCTCTTCGTGACTAAAAGCTCTCTCCGCAAACCTCAACAACCTCACTTCCTCTCACGTCTTCTTTTTATTTCTACTTCAACTTCTCCTCCTTCGACACAACGACAGCCACAACGATTACAACAATCCTCAAGCCTCCTGCCTGCTATTTACTCCTGCTTAGTTAGCCACTGCTACACTCCAAATACAATTCAACGCGTCCCCCGCGATTTTCTGTTCTACTACTCATCTAAGCCTGTGGAATCCCTCCTAGCGTTCCCAGTCACACGACTCCACGTTACCCTCCAGCCATGTCTGCTCCTGTTTCCAACAATCCTCCCCAATCGGAGTCCAAGTCAGCCAAGAAGAAGCGTAGCAAAGGCGAGAGCTCTTCCAGCGCCTCCGCTGCTGTTGCAGATACCTCAAATCCAGGAACCGCCGCTGCGGAAACAGCAACAAATGTCGTGACTGGTGGTACCCATGAGCCTGCCTTTCTGAAAGAGCTGTACAAGTGCGTTTACATTCATTGATAGGACTTTGTGAAAGAAAACATTTTTATTTTCTTCTAATGCACAACTGACATCCTCTTAATTTCGTAGGAGCCTCCGGAATGCAGTTAAAAAACTTGTATGTGATTCAATGAATACCTTTTGCTGCTGATTGATATGTTTTTGTGTTTACTGTTTATTCGCTGACATGCTTCTTTAGAATGCTACCTCCAAAGTTGATGCTATCGTTGCTGAAAACCCAAGCAAATCCCTTGATGACTTGGTTGCTGACAAGAAGATCAATGCAGACCAGAAGGCCCAGATTTTAAAGAAACCTGGCCTTCAAGCAGCAGTGTCCCAGATTGAGGAACAGATAAATCAGTACAAAATATATGGACAATACTATGAAGACCGCCTCATTAACCAGAAAGCAGACCTAGAAAAGGCTCACAAGGGTGATCTGGATGCTCTCAAAGCAAAAGTCGTAGCGGAAACATTGGCTTCCGCTGAGAAGGAATTCAGAGAAAGATTGCTGGTGCTTAGCCGCTTTTTACGCGCTGCTGCTGCTATGAGACGCTCTGGCGATGAGACTTCCAACGACAGCCGTGCCTTTGAAGGTGCGCTGTTCCAGGTTTATGGAGGAACTGAGGAAGCTGTCAATGCTATGCTTAAACTGATTGATGGCGCGGAAGACACTGTTCCAAGTGTTGATGCTGAGCCACTTGATGTTCCTTGTAAGGACCACTTCCAATTGGCGATTCATATTTTATTTTTACATATATTACGAAGCTAATGCTATGAAACAACAGACTCGAGGGTTAAGCAAGCATCTCTTGACTATGTTCCCCCTGCTGTTGACGCATGGACTGAGGAAGCCCAGGCCACTGAGTCAGCATCTAGCGCTGAGGCCAATGTTTCCAGCGACCCTACCTTAGTCAACGCTGGTTTGACCGAGCTACATAATCCTTCCTTGTCCGCCCCACAACGCCCAACCACCAATGGCTTCCCAGCCTCCGGAAACCCTCAACACCAAGAAATTTCGTCTGTTCCTATGCAATCTATCGTTGGTAACGACTCTGCAAACGCCGTAGCTCAAATGAGATGGGATAACCAAGGATCAAACTTGTCTGCCTCTACCGCTGCTGATGGTTGGATCGAAGTCAAGAAGGCTGACGTGGAAGGCACCACGACGCAAAATGCACTACCACCAACTTCTGGTAGCTGGGCGGAGGATATTCCGGCCGTAGCCTCCATAGACGGAACAAGTCCAGAACCAAATGACGGCTTCAAGCCAGTTGTTAGCCACCATACCCGGCAAAACAGCGGACGCGGCAGAGGTTTCCGCGGTCGTGGACCTCGTGGTGAGGGATTCCGTGGACGTGGAGGTTTCCGTGGTGACCGGGGCGAATATCGTGGCCGCGGTCGTGGTCGTGGTGGAGAATACCGTGGTCGTGGTCGTGGCGGGTATGGTAACAACAGCCAAATTCAACCGGCACCCCATGCTGCGGAGCACATGGCATAAGCATCCCTGCTTAAGCAGTCGTGTTAGGAAGCTTCTGGTCCTTAGGCTAGGGCAACGAACAAAAGTCGCTACGGTCTATCTGTGACTTGATCTTTCACCTCCAATGCTCTCTATTTGCTTTGACATCATATTAAAACATGCATTGCGCTTCAATTTCTACCGTATAACCATTTTTCGATTCCTGGATCGGCATCCCTTTTATCTCATATCCATCTCACTGTTTGCCTTTGTCATTCATTCTCCGTCCCTCGCTCTCACCCTCCTCGTCGCCAGTGGCGAACAAAACGCTTTCAATACTAAAACTATTCACGAAGTCAACGAATCGAAACTGAAAGACGAATAATAAATCAAAGGAAAGAAAACAAAAACATTCCCAAACCCTCAATGCCTCTTACCAATAATTCTCTTTGACAGCATTGGCTCCTTGATTTCATCAGTGGAGAGATTCTTTTAAAATTTCAAAAAAGAACTAGGCGCTATGATCTATTCCTCTGAATTCCATCTTGTGTTTTTCAAGCGCGCATTTTGCCCATTTTTCTTTCTTGCTTTTCCCCGCTATGTTCAGAAAATATTCTATACACACTCTTCCTTCTACGTTCTATTTCAATACCGACGTTAAAAAAAAGAGATCCCTTTTTCCAGCGTTTCGTCTTCCCACCGTTTTACTCGTCTTGTTCCCCTTGCTCAAACATATGTTCTCCCTGTAGTTTTATCTACACCTATTTCCCTCCCAAGCGTTTACTTTCCCCTCCCCAGCTCTACTTTAATAGAGCGCGTGGGATGAATTTGATGGCTGGTACCGCATGGTGATGGATATTTTTGTTCCCATTTTTTCTCCTTTCTCACCTCAACACAAGATATTGAAAAGGAAAAGAAAGTGGATCTTGTTTGGTTCTCGGCTTTCTTGCCTTTCTTCTTTTCTCTTTTTCATTTTGGGGAATTTGGGAAATATGATTGGGTATTAGAGACCCAATTCTTTTCCCTTCCACTTCCCGTTCCTGGGCCGTTTTCTACGGGTCCCTTCTCTGTTTTCTCTCCTTCTCTCTCCGCCCCTGAAAAAAGCCATTTTCTTCACGGGTGTGTGTTGGTATGACTTATGGCATTTGTTTTGCCAGCGGTATTGATCTGATATACCAAAGATAAATGCGATTTGGTTCAAGAAGCTATTTTACATTTTCGTTTTGTTTCTGCCTATTGAGTTGGTTTGAAGAGGGATTGGTTGGAAGATGCAGATACAAATGTGGATGTAGTAATGTTTAAGTATTTAATTCTCCGCAGATGTAACTAAACCATACAACCAGAAAAGCAATAAGATTTTATTTCACCTCCCCCCAACCGTTCTTTTTTTTTTTTCGGGAGTTCTCGAGGTTTTTAACTTTCCATTCGGTCGATTCAGGCTAATCGCCACGTGTCCCGATGCCGATCCATCCGCAGCCGCGATGACTATACCTAATATTTTCAACTTTTTTAACGCTTCAGTTTCAGCTCTTCAAATCGACCCTGTTTCTGCGTTTCACGCCATTTGTCACTGCTTAAAAATCAGAATGTCCTGAAAGCTTTTGTTAATCCTCTTGTTCCGCTTTTCGCTGCTTTGCTCCGAAAGCACATCCACATCCAAAAGACATGGTCGCAACCACCGTATCACCATCACAACGGAAACAGATCCTCAAAGTCCTCTTTATATCTCTCCTCCTAGACCTAGTAAGCTCACACACACATATATTTCCAGGAGCACCAAAATAGCTAACTCATACTTGTCCAGATCTCCTTCACCTTCATCCTCCCCCTCTTCCCCTCCCTCCTAACCTTCTACCTCAACCGCAACCCCTCCCCAACCTCCCTCCTCCATCGTATCCTCCACTACCTAAATGCCTACAAAAATGCCTTCGCCCTCCCCATCGACTCGCGCTATGACATCGTCCTCCTTGGCGGTGCACTGGGCTCCCTCTTCTCCTTCCTTCAAGCCATCGCAGCCCCCTTCATCGGCCGTCTCTCCGACAAGCGCGGCCGCCGCACAGCCCTCCTCTGCTCAATGGCCGGAAACATTGCCAGTGTGGCATTGTGGGTTGCGGCGACGGATTTCAGGACGTTCCTGGGCAGTCGGATTGTTGGGGGTTTGAGTGAGGGGAATGTGCAGATTGCTAATTCGATTGCGACGGATATTAGTGATGAGAGGCAGAGGGGGGCGACGATGGCTTTGGTTGGGGCGTGTTTCAGTGTTGCGTTTACGTTTGGGCCGGCGATGGGGGCTGCGTTGTCAGGAATCGTTACAGTGACGGACAATCCGTTTGCCACGGCGGCGGGGTGTTCGTTGCTGCTGATCGTGACGGAGACGGTATACCTGTATTTCTGCCTGCCGGAAACACATCCACGCTTCGCGAAGTTCACGACCCAAGGTGCGTATGCTACAACTACGGCTACTAAAGGTGACCAATTGCCCGAAAAAATTGGGTTGGAGGCAGAGAAAAAACCACACACCGCCGCCACCACTACATCTACGTCTACACCAAAAAAATACACGAACCCCCCCTTCCTCCTCAACATAACCCATTTTCTCTTCCTCCTCCCCTTCTCCGGTCTCGAATTCTCCCTCCCCTTCCTAACAGCTACCCTCTACGCCTCCACGAACACCACCCTCTCCCCCTCTGCCCTAAACGGCCGCCTGCTATCCGTAATGGGCCTCCTCGCCTCCCTCCTCCAGGGCTCCCTAGTCCGCCGTCTCCCCCCTCTTATCACCGTGCGCATCGGTGTTGTCGCATGCACCGTATCTTTCTTCCTCCTCTCTCGCGTTTCCACTCTATCCGGCCTCTACGCTGCCGGCTGCCTTCTTGCAGTCACCAGCGCAACGGTTGTCACTGGTCTGAATAGCCTGGGCAGTTTGGAGGCGGGGGAGGAGGAGAGGGGGGTGTTTTTGGGTCGATTGAGGAGTTGGGGTCAGGTGGGGAGGGCAGCGGGCCCGGTTGTATTTTGCACGCTGTTTTGGTGGGCCGGGAGGGAGCTGGCGTATTTGGTTGGTGGTGTGGGGATGTTGGGGGTTTGTGCGCTTGTATTTGGGGGGTTGAGGGCGCCTGTTGCCTCGAAGAAGAGGATATGAATTTCTCTCTCTCTCTGTGTGTGTGTGTTGTTATCCACCCTTCTTTTTTGGACGAAAGGGCTTTTCTAGACTGGGTTTCCGGATATATCGCATTTCGGGGAGGGACGTGGTGATGTAGGTAAGGTCGATCTGAGAGTGGGACGTAAGGTGCAATTTGGCTCATTGTTTGATTATGACCGGGCGGATTGTTTCCTATCTTGGGATTTCGGATATATTTACGTTGGCTACCCATACTCAGTCCTTTTTGCTGGAGTAGACAAACACTACACTCCACCTCCGCATTGAGCATAGCGCAGGCATTTTATCATCAGTTCCGTGTAATATATGTAATAGAGAATAAAATATATAATTTATCCAAAAAAAAAATTCTACCCTAATCAATTGTTTGAGCTGCCTTCTAACAGTCGCCTTTGGTTATCTGCAACTAAGTAGCCTCTCTGTAGTGTACCTAGTTATATTGCATACAAGTAAATTGTCTTTGCTGCTCCGCTCCTTCCGGCATCTCCACGACAAAAACGCTAAATTTAAGCTTAAAATAGAGCTACTCTATTGGTCACTTCCCAGCTACAGCTCGAAATAAGCGCAAACTGACACAATCAACGAACATGTATATACGGGGGGTATCACTATCAAAAATGGCGGGTAAAAAGGTCCTCACGTATTTAATCAGACAGGTGGATCAGATGCCAAGTTTACGTTCGCATTGCCTATAATGAGAATATGGGTGACTGACACCGTTATTCAATATGGCTGCAATTTCAGCTGACCTTTCGTGCTGCTGAACCTGTTGAAACAAAGTGGCTGTGCTTCATCTCGTCTGCCAACAAAGGGAGTATCAACATTCATTCTGGTGGTACAGCTGTTGTTGTCACGATAAACTTGAATTATTTGTCAAGGCGTATCACTCGACTCGCATACGCTGATCTCTGTCTTTTTGTATCAAGTTACCCATTGCATAGATTCTCCTTTTCAGTGGGTCACTGCAAATCAAATAGGATTTCTGGACTGATGCGGGCCATGGGCTGTGCCATTCCAACGGAAGGCGGGGACAGCCCATGTTGATCGGAGATCAGATAACTTCGCTTTAGTACCGCAAAGCATAGCATTCCGGGTTTTGATGTTCGGATCACCTGGATAATTTTATTATTCGTAGAAATAGAGAATCAGAGTCTGTGGGCGAAGTCGAACCTAGGTGAATAACCCCCTTGTTGTACAGCTCTTGAATACCTTGCAGAGCATCTTTCATACTTTCATATAACTATCCGAAAGACCAAAACTAGGTAGGTGATCATTTGAATGGGCATCTCACAACATCTCAGAGAACCATTCCAGCATTATTGCTTGGTCGATAACTACCCCTCCTCCTTCTCCGTCGCCGCCTCTCTGATAATATCCCATAGTTTGTCGGATGTGACGTGCCTCCCTTGAACTTCCGAGATTAAGTAATCTCCTTCTGGAAATTTGCTTTAAAATCTACCGTGTCGAGTCTGCGGACCTTCACGACAACCTACTCACAAACAGAACTTCGGACGCTCCACACATGAGGCGCTGCCGCTGCAGCCAGTGTATACACGGGGTTAGTTCGCCCAACCAGTTTGGAGCCCAGCTTCTAAACTGCCATTGTGCTTAAATGAATGTTGCAGCCCGTAGGCTGTTGGGACAAATTTTGAAGAAATAGTAGTTATATACGAGGCATTTGATTAGTTACGTCAAGGGTTTATGGCGCAGTGCGGCTAAATAATTAACAAACTCCTGAAGTTGTGGAGGCCCGTTTGGAAATCTATTAGTTGATCTTCTCATGATATCATGCATCTTTGATATATCAGGAAGAAAACGATATTCCTTAGGGCAGGATTAGTAGCTAATGATGTATAGAGATCCTCCGCACAGTGGGGTAAAATAGGTTTGAACCGAATATATTGCGCTAACTGCATAGCTTAGTGCGATTGTCCAGATTTCAAACTTCTTGCGGCCCACTGTGGGTTGTGGGGAGGTGATCTATCACTGCACTGCATTCCATGTTGAAAAGTAAACTTCTATGGACGAAAAGCAAGATCATAGTGGTGAAGTGGAGAGAATTTGATTCTCCTTGATAGAGTGGAAGTGTATGTGTATGTATATGTATGAGAGCATGACCGTCCAGATGGATTGGAATCGCTTTTCACCGTCCCCGCGCTGAAGTTTCAAGATACACTACAAAAAGGAGAGGACATTGGAAGGAGAAGACACGCAAAATAATGTACAGGTTATCAGTTTTTTTCTGATAACAGCCCAGGGAACACAAGGTCTGCAGGCAGTAGTTCTGAACGACGTTCTCCTTTGCCGGATTGCAGCCACCGCCCTCCAATTGTAAAGTTTTAAAAGTTTTCCCATCTCTTCAACACGGGAATAACATATCAGTATTAAAATGGAAGCAGGGAATTTGATCAATGAATTTAAAAAAAAAGGTCATGTTGTGAAAGTATGAAATAAAAGGAGGATGATGGGGAAAAAGGGATACATTTCCCCGAGGACGCCAGTGTAGATAAAAATGAAAAAGACCAAGAATTTGAAAGCTATTTCGAAAAGAGAAATCAATCATGGCATCATGCTGGCCATGGCCCTAGCTGTGGCGGTTTGCTAAATAAGTGGCACAATCGCCTGTGTTCGAGGTTGAGGGCATATTATTCAGAAATATGTCTAGACCCCTTCTTGAACATCATTTGATTCCGCTGCGAAAGCTCCAAACCCACAGCGAGCGCCGGCGTGGGGCCTGCATCACCCCGAGAACCCCCCCATTTGGCCTTCCCCAGCAGCCAGTCAGTCAAGGTGACAACCCTAGCTGTTCTATCCCACCCATTACTCTCATCCGCATGTTCAATGGTGTGGCTGGCAATACGGCCCTGATCATCGAACAGGAAAATAAACAAACCGCTAAATTGCTCTTCCTTGCCCAGCTTGAAAATCGGTGCGTCTCCGCCTAGCAACTTACTCAGGCCACGATTCGTCCCGTTCGATGAAGATGATAATGCTGACGTTGTTGACTTGTTTGCGGACTCTCCGTTGGTAGTGGTGGAATTCCTCGCCATCACTCCATTGGTAGGTGGTGAATCGCTATCATTTGACTTTTTAAAATAGCTGGGAGAATCAGAGCTGCCGCCCTCTGTTCGCCAGCGGACAACTAGTTTCTCATCTCCGTATCTATGTTCGTCATCATAGGCTACGATGGACGGTGCGTTAACCATCCGCTCGCTCATGATCTCGAGCCTAACATTGCCAACTATGGGAACACTTCCCCAGGCCACTGGTGCCGTCCAGAGTGCTGCACGGTAGGGTACTCTGCCTTTGACTGTGGGGAGGTGGGGATGTGTTGAAGGGAATAAATGGAGAGATATGTTTGGAGAAAGAATCTCTTGGGGTAGTGGATTGATGAGAATACTTGGGAGATGGGAAGAGAGGATGCGGAGAGCTATGATGGGAAAGGGGGAATAGTTAGTAAATTATTCATTCCATGGAGCAGTAACAGCAATATATGAAATGTAGAGACGTATATATAAATTATAGTAAATGGGAGTCCATACTTTTCCCAAGATTTAATATACGTTCATCCGGCGGCTTATGGTTCCTGTTACCATTATCATTGCCTAGCCCCATACTCCATCGTTGGGGACTGCCTGTAAACGAGTAATCTGGCGTATTCGCCGTGAACCACAGATCTGCAGAGGCATTGTGGCGGATCTGGGTTAGGCATCTACGGGGCTCACGTATATGCGCACGGCGAGGGGCACAGAGCTGTATCATTTCAGGACATAACTTGCCGCCATGAGGCCCGTGTGGGGAACTGGGATGGGAGTAGAGGATGCTGTTCTGGCGGAGATGCAGGAAACGAACCTTGGGCATGGCTGTGGAGTTACGGCGTCATATGGCTCATCGCAGGAGGCCAGTGAGTCATTTCAAAGAGGACGGAGAGTGCATGATATCTGCTGTGAGTGGTGTACTGTGTTGTGGACTGTTATATAGCTCTTTGCTAGGATTGTGGAGGAATGAATGAAATTAACTAACCACAGCTAATAAATCAAAAGGTTGAAATTAACTATGATTGCGGATTGGGATTAGCGCATCTTGGCGGAATGACGTCACTCCAAAATCCATGTTTTTGGGCCACATTGGAAAAGTCAAACCAACCTCAATGTTATAATAGCTCAACATGATTTGATTTAGACAAGTCGCCTTCTGAAACATTGTGGTAAACTCTCCCTGCCAAGTGGCCTATATCGGCTTGTTCAAAATATTCCATATATTGACCTTGTTGCGCCTAGTGTAGTTAGTTATCCCAAACAGGTAAAATCCAACAAACCCACAAAAAAAGACACAATCATGAATGCCATAACCGCGACAAAAAATAAAAAAGCAAAGGCACTTTATTCCGTTTGTTACGAGACTCGCATACCCAGAACTAGAGAAATTCATCATTGTCATCCTCATTATCGTCTTCACCCATAAGCCTCCGCTCCGCAAGTTCCCTAATCTTCTCATCCAGAACAGTCCGTTCATACCGCAGTGCAATTTTGCGCGCAGCATCCAACATCTTTCCGCTACGATCTCGCATCATAGAAACAAGCTCAAGAGCCTTCATACCCCTTTCTTCACCCTCCCGACACTCAATAGCCAGCAGCTGCAAAATAGTCTTGTCAATATCAATTTCCTTCCTGTGCAACTCCACATCTCCATTACCACCCGTGGCTTCGGATGCGGCGACACGGTCATCCAGCAGGCTAAAGAAAAGGCTGGAACGTATAAACGCTTCTTCCAGTTTGTTAATGGAGTCTTGTCCCGTGGACTCGTCCATGGTTTCATCCTCACCATCCACGGTGAGGTTTTTGTTCGGTTTCGTGGAGATGGGGATTTTGAGTTCGAATTCACTGAGCAGTGGTCGGGGAAAATAGGGGTAGCGATCACCGCCTTTGAGGATGATACAGTGGAAGGAATCTTGTGCCACTGCGACAGGCCAGTACGTCTCCTCTTTCCGTCCGTTGCTAAGGCGATCCATTCGTTTCGTATCAAGAAGCGGGACCCAGCGTGCTTGTCCGGGTTTTCGCCAGTGTTGCAATACTAACAGCACCCCTGTAGAATCGTATATGAAGGGATCCTTAGAATTGTCAGTCTCACATTTTTGTAGAAGACAAGGGTTGTTAGGAACATACCCCATTATCTGAAAAGAAAACGCTTCGAAGCTCGGCAGAGTCGGGTAAAGCGACATGATCTTCATTTTGGCAAATTTCATCCCGTTTAACATTTTCAATCGAATAGGTTAGTTGGGCCATACCATCGCTGCCGACAGGCCCGTTTCCTACTGTTAGGACATAGTCTTTCCACGCCGCACAAGTAACACTTTGACTCTTTTGCCTATAAATTCGGTACGGGGTGCCAAAGAGGGTGTAAACTCGGACATAATCCGCAGAGGTAGTCACAACAATATAGGAATGGCTAAGTGCGATGGCTATATATTTGCCATTAGTGAACAGAACGCAACTAATCAGGTGGACTATACTCCGTAGCACTAACCAGTGATCCTCTCCCCTTCTGGGAGTTGAGTTCGCCAATCAGCCCGTACTGTCCAGGTTTCGTGAGGGCGATAGAATATAGTAGCTAGATTCCCGTTCGACGGCTGGCATGAAAATAATGTTCCCTTTTCATCTGGAAGGAGTTAGTGTGTATAACTCTGCAGATGCAGGGGCTTGACATACTTAAACAGGCCTTATCATACAAAAAGGGGTCGGTAAAATGGAAGTCCCGAAACCGCTCCCGGTCGTAAAACTCGACAGTGACAGTATTGTGTGTCTCTTGATTAACCGTCCAAACAAATCCGATTAAATTGAGAGCTATATCGGAAATCAGCAGATGGTACTTAAAATGCGCATATCTCGATATACTTACATAGATATCTTCTGTTACCTCTCCAGGGTGTACTTCCAGGCTGAAATGGGGAATGTTGCTTTTGTTGTAAGAACGTACCCATCCGCCGTTTATCATCATGGCCATCTAGCTCATCACAAGAACCAGTTGTGCGTTTTCCGTATTGATTGATTTCTATATAACCAGCTCCATCGTCATCCTCTATGAATCCATCGTCATCCTCCATAGGTCCCAAAATATCATCTAAAGAGTCCGGAGTACCGCTCCTTCTTGGTCGATTTTCCAGGCTAGTCTGTAAGCCATTCGTCAAATGCCTGGTAGGGAGACTCATTTGCTCTTGAGGAGCTCCAGAGAGCAGAGGTGCACTTTCTAATGGTTTATCGAGCAATGACCTATGCTCTGCAGGAACAAAATCTTCATAGATGAATAGTTCACCATCAGATGTGGTAAAAGAGAGGGTGTTATCAACGGGATGCCATGCGAGATTTATCACGTTTGGTATATCATATCTCCGCAGAATCTTTTGCGTCTTCGTCTCCCAAAGCACAATTTGACGATCTGCCCCAGCACTCGCCAGCAAGGCTCCGTTCGGGGACCAGGCAAGAGCGGTAATATCTGCATTATGGCCGGCAGGGAACACATTTTGTTTCGTCCAATCGCTCACAGCGACTATCGCAATATCTCGTGTTGGCTCAACGGCAACAAATGCTCTGCCCTCTGGATGCCACACTGCCCGTGATGTAGCTTCATTGTCTGTTTCCAGTCTGCCAATTATGCCATCAATTTTCTTCACCAGTTCTGGCTGCGGCCCATCGACGGAGTATATGTAGATGATTCCATCTGAGCCAGAGACGGCAATAAAACGTCCGCTGGGGTCGAAAGTCACATGCTTAACACCTTTACTCTGCTCCCGTAAATACTTCACAATGGTCATATCATGAATATTAACGATTTTGACCACGAGGTCACTGCAAATTAACATATGCCGGAATCAGCTTGGGAACATTTTGATATTCAAAATCTAGGGAACACGTACTCGCTGGCAACGGCCACCCAATCCCCATCCTTTGACAGTGACAAGTCTCGTACGGGTAACGCGCAGCGGACCAGCAATTTATCCATCTGACCTGTTTCTAATTCGTATCTCCAAACCGTTCCGTCCTCCCCTCCCATGATAAACGAATCGTTCTACCTCGCAATCGATGGGACAATTAGCACTATATGTCAAGCATCCTGTCCCCTGATTAAGCAAAAAGCACTAAACATACGGTTGCAACAATCCCCAATCGCCCATCCACACCATCATCAACTGTTTTTGGTTCATCGTTTTCTCCAATCGTAAATATTCGAATGGCAGAGTTGGAACCAGCGGTTATGACTCGTCGGCCATTAGGCGTATAGCTGAGAATTGTAGTTCCCGGCGTATCTATAGAGAAAAGAATTTATTAGAACTGAGATATTAAACAGGAAGGACATGCTTCATATCTCTGCCAATTTCAATTCCAATTCGGGAAATGCGGGACAACATACGGGCTGGTCTTCCTCTCAACCGGACCGTTTCTGAAGCCATAGGGAGAAATGTAGCATACGATTGCGCAGGTTGGGTGAAATATTCCAGGCAAGAATCCGGATAGTATAAAATACAGGAAACTATTCACTGGATCCTTTGTGCTCAAAGTCGTCGTTATCGTGCCGTTGTTAGTATATACTCCGTAGTAGTGATGTCGATATTGAACTTCAATCCCAACCTCGAAATATAGTAGTAGAACGCGTCGCGTCGCCTTCTGGCTACTAACGCGAGATGTGAGGAATCCAACCAATCAGGAGGCTACGTATGGTTGGTTAGTTATCAGGTGGCTTAGTCATAGGAATGTTCAGTTTAGTAACTAAACTAGTTAGAAAATTTAGCCCTAACTAGTTTCAACATCCGAAATAAAATCTATGTGCAACGCATGAATCCACAACTTCTTTCCAAGTGGACTAATTCCCTTCGTTCTCCGAACTCATATGCCGTGGAAATGTGGCTAAATGTATCTGCATTCAACTGACAGATACACTTCAAGGCGGATGGGGTCCAGCCGTCATACATGGGCAAGCAATCTCTGACGATTGCCGGAATCTGTTAAAACTCTTGGTGAGATCGATTAACTGACTCAAACCAGGCGCTTGTTGGCCTCTTGCTATTGCCATCTCTCACGTGATGTTGGAGCAGGCTAAAGTTAACTAAGTTTAGGAGCTTCCGGATTCTTGAGCTGTTAGATTCAGGGGTTCCGTTTTGTTTACCTCAACGGCTGATCTTCACATCCCCCTACCATTTCATAAGTGCAAAACAAACAAACCAAAAAAAGAAAAGAAAAATAAATTAAAAAAATTGAGGGCCCAAAAATGAGGGCCAAAAAAAAAAAAAAAAAAACTACGATAGCTAGCGATTCGCTGGAGAACACCTACCCAACTACTAGCCGGCAGGCGAGTGGCTAAAGCGTAGCCAGCAACCCGCATGGGTGTCACTGTAATGGGTTAATGGGGGATGTTGCTTCTTCCTCCCGTGGGGTTTGCGCAAGCTAGGTGTGTACATGTACACAGTAGACCGGGACGAGCGATTTCGTATGATATCACCCTGCCCCTCAATCGAATGCTGTTGTTGGATGGTGTCACCCGGTTGCTCCATCCACCGCCTTGACAGCTGCACCTCGCCACTCCAAGCTGATATGAAATGCTGACCAAGAGAAGGCTTTGTGACCTTGGGTGATTGGCCGCTGGACAAAGGATTGGAAGTGGCGAAGAGATAATGGGTTGAGCAGAAGACAACATGCTCTGGAAGATGGATTGGAAATCCAGTGTCATATCTTAGAAAAACTGAATCCTGTTAACACATCAAAGCAAGAAAAAGATGGCAGTGCGGAGTAACTGTCATGATTGGAAAAAATAATATTACTGTTCAAATTTGGGCGTCATGCATAATGCATGCATGCAGCCAAGCAAGTGCAGATATGCTGAGGTATTGAATTAGTAAAGACACTTTCAAACATGGCTGTAATTAGTGCTTGTGGTTGAAATTGCTGTTTTGGGCCTAGGCCATCAGAATTTTTATCATGTATATAAATCTCTTAGAATTCTGAAAAGGTCAGGAATGACAACAACAAGAATAATCAACCAGATAAATTTTTGATCTGCTTAGATAGTTTTTTGCAAGTTTGACCACTATATCCAACAAGAGGCTGGGTGCTTCAAGCAAGGAGCTTTTGGGTCTAGTGCAACAGAGGAAAGTCTTCTTGTGATAGGTATCCGTCGGAGCCCATATCAGGTCATACTGACAACTTCAGTAGAGTTCTGGAACTTCCTTATAGCAAAAGTTCGATCATCAGTCTGTCAGAATTGAACCCAGAGTTACAATGGCCAACAGCAATTCACCTGATTACAGAGCCCTTTCACTGCAAGCAGAAGAAGAATGGAAACATGCAGAAGAGCAGCGCAGACATGCAGAGGAGGGACGCAGACATCAGAGGAGGGGCGCAGACGTGCAGAGGACCGTCACCTACAAACTACCCTTCCCGAGTTTATTCGTGCCTGCCATACTCTGCTTTCTATACCGTTGAGGGTTGCAGAACCATCCCGCTCTACAAAGGGAGCAATACAACCACTGAAGAGAAAATATTTCCCGACAAAGCTCCTCCCTTGGGTCGACTTGCCAGCCAAGCAGCACGACATCTACACCTCTGTCTGCAACTATCTAGCGCCCGCTGGAGGGGCTGAACAGCGCTCATTTCCGCCTATTATTGCTCTGGAAGAAATTTCCCGACGCGTAAGCCGTCGCCCACTCAGTAGTGAGCGGGACCTTGAGACCTATGAGCGTCTGGCCGTGGAAGATCACTTGTGGATATAATCGATGAGCTATGTAAAATACCTGAGGCTCGAAATGAGTTTTGTCTTGGTGATGGAATTCGGTTTGAGAATCATGCCAACGCGATGGACAACTTTGATATGGATCAATCTGACTCGCAGAGTACCAGACCCGACCAGTTCTGAGTCCATCGGCTGGACAACAACATGGATACTCTCCTCACAACAGTGGAATATAAACCACCTCACAAGCTCTCTGTAGAAAGTCTTCGAGTTGGCCTGCGGCCCATGAATTTCTGGGAAACTGTAGTCAAGCCACGGACCATACCTGTCGACAAAGAAGAGAAATTGAAGTATAATGCGCAACAAATATCAGGATCCGCGGTAGTCCAGCATTATCATATCATGATAGAAGATGGTATTCCGTATGCGTACGTGACCAACGGACTGGCGTTTATCCTGCTTCATGTCCCATACGACGACCCTAGTACGTTTTACTATTTCCTGTGCGAGCCAAATTTGGATCTGGGTATAGATGATAACGGGGTCTTTGACCAACCGAATACCGCAATTGCGAGAGCACTGTGTCTTTGCCTGATGAGTTTTGATTTTCCCCCCCGTGACCAGGAATGGCGGAATGCTGCGCGGGCGCAGCTTCATATATGGAAGACTAGCTTTGACTACACCCTATCTGAAATACCAGAAGAGGAATTACGACTAGCACCTCCAGATTCGGAGTACAGCAGCTCTGAGTACACCGGGTCCGAGTATCTACCATCGTCCCCTGCGCAAACCCCTGTGCGTCGTGGCATTCCCACTTGGTCCCAGCCTGGATGTTCGCCTCCCGATCTGAGTCATCACACGGAACGACCAGACTCTTCTAATTCGGATTCAAATCAAAATGCCCCAGCGCGGAAGCGAGATTTTAGCCAGATTACTTCGTCTCCGCCGACTCAAAGAACCGGTCGGTCCAACTCGCGCAATGCTAAAGGGCCCCAATTCCAATAGGCTGCCGCGCAATTCTGCACTCAACGGTGTCTGCGCGGTCTCCGCTCCGGTGACCTTTTAGACCACAATTGTCCTAATGTGGCACAGCACCAGCACGGAGAAAATGTTGAAAGGCATTGTATCAATGATGCGGCCCTGCTGCGCTTGCTCAGCCAGCAGCTAGATGATAATCTTGACCGTAACTGTTCACCACTGGGTATCCAGGGAACATATGGGGCAATATTTAAGCTGACCTGTGCAGTGCACGGCTATACTGTAGCTGGAAAGGGAACAACTTCCGCCTTCTGGGGCGAAGTTTCACGGGAAGCTGAAATATATCGGATTCTACAGACGGTTCAGGGAGTCGCTGTCCCCATCTTCCTTGGCTCTATTGATTTGGCGGAGATTTATTTCTTACATGGCTTCGGCCCCATCCGCCATATGCTGCTGATGGCTTGGGGAGGTGAGAGCATCGCAAATCTTGAGCGGTGGCCGTTGCTGAAACAGGAAATCTCAAGGTCGACGAAGGGAATTCGTGCGTTGGGGGTCATCCATGGGGACCTTCGACCGGACAATATCCTATGGAATAATGAGCTCAAGCGTGCCATTGTTATTGACTTCCATCGCTGTAGGTTAGATCGTCAGTTGATGGTAAAGTTGGAGAAGAAAAGGCCTAAACAGCCCCGGAAATCTTATATACGTAATCAAAGGGGCATTCAGGAACAGATTGAGCAATAGGGCGTACAGTTGAACGTGGTTTTCGAGTTCGGCCGGAAAAACCTTCAGTATGGTTTATGGTATAACCCCTTATGAAAACTTACACACTGTTAGTCGCTTAATCAGCCGCACACTTTCTCTTCCGTGGTTCCACCTATTTTACTAGCATTAGATGCCAGGAATATACAGCTCAATTTGATACAATAAGCTATTGAGATATCCTGACACATACACTAACGTACTTCACCGAGCGGCGGGATTCTCTTCGAAAATAAATCAAATACTCAACTCAACTATCTTCAACACATCATTTCTTTCACCATTTTACAGTTGACCATTGCTGCATATAAATCAAGAAGAAAATATATATCAAAAATGAAAGCTTCAAAGGTATATGTGACATCATGCTATGTCATTCTCGTAGCGTGCAAACTCTGCAATGGATCAAGCTTGCCACTCTGTCACTTAATCCAAATTACAAGCAGCTGCACCGTAACAGTATACATCAACACTATTATTATCATCTCTAATTAATGATGAGAGCTTAATATCTTTAGCATTTCAGACATCTCAAATTCCTTGTCAACTTGATCATAAGATTCATCACTTGCAGAGAAGTTTTAATATGAAGAGACAGCTATCTGATAGCTCAATATCTCATCTTTGTCATGTTGAGAAGGCTGCACAGATGATTATAAATACAAATCTTCTTTTTCATCAAAAAATCAAGATTCTACAAGCAGAGAATGAGTGAAAGACAAAGAAAAAGACACAGAGACATGCTAATCTAGCTCAGGATACTATTCTATCTATACAGAAGGATTGTGAGTGTGTTCAGCTTGATATACAGATTGAAGCTCAGAGTGAAGCTATGTCTCATCAGTGAGCTCCACCACACTGCAGTGGCTGTGGGACTATTGAACATACTATTCACAGTTACCCTAATAAATAGCTATATATTCAACTATTAGATAGTCTTGATTTAATATTTTCAATATTTAAGAGTGTTGGTTGTTGAATACGTTGAATATTTGATGATTTTCGGAGAGAATTCGTCGCTCGGTGGTGAAGAACTAGTTACGTTAACTAACGTAATCAACCACCCAACGCCCGTTTACACCCAACGCCCGCTCAAATCTTCATTTTTCATTCATCTTTAACCACCCACAACATGCACCACGAAGCAGTTATGCAAGCCGCGATTGGTGATTTGAACGCGCAATTAACGCCTAATTACACTGAGACCGCTAAAAAATATGGAATCAGCCGATATACGTTGTCAAGGCGTTATAGAGGCGTTCAAATGTCAAGAAAGGAAGCAAGCTCTATCCACTGCAAAGCTCTCACTGATTCGCAAGAAAAACAGCTCCTTTTTCATGTCAATTGATTGGCAGATCGCGGTTTCCCTTGTACGCCCCAAATCCTTCATAATCTCGTTGTTGAGATTCTAAAAGCACCTATTGGAGTCAACTGGGTGGCTCGGTTCTGCGAGCGCCACAAGAATGTGATCAAGTCGCTCTACCTGCGAAATATCGACCAAAAATGCAAGATTGCAGACAATTCTGCATACTTCAAGCATTATTTTGATCTTGTAATAGATTTCTTTCTTATACTGCTTTTTTAATTCTCATCTTGCTAATTTATCTTAATTTTTCAGCTGCAGGCAAAAATCACGAAATACAACCTTGAACCTGCGAATATCTACAACTTTGATGAGAAAGGATTCCTATTAGGATTCATTCACACCCTCAAACGTATTGTATCGATTAATTCGCTCAAATCGGGCCGTATGATAGGTGCCAGCCAGGATGGCAGTCGAGAATTCATAACACTACTTGCCTCAATTTGCGCAGATGGAACTTCGCTCCCACCTGCTCTCATATATCAAGGGGAATCAAGAGATATGCAAAATACTTGGCTCGAAGATTTTGATAGTGAAAAGGATCATGCCTACTTCACTGCTTCAGAAAATGGGTGGAGCAATGATGAATATGGGTTAACATGGTTAAAGAAGATCTTTGAACCTCTTACAAAAAAGAAGGCAGGCCGCAGATATAGACTTCTTATATTGAATGGCCACTCATCCCATGTTAATATGGCATTCATCAATTACGCAGATTGGAATCGAATTCTACTTGCTGTCTTTCCTCCCCATTCTACACACTGATTACAGCCACTAGATGTTGGGATATTTGGACCATTGGGTAAATCATATTCCAAACAACTGAATGAACAAATGAGAACTGGAATGGGATTCATACGCACTACAAAGAGGTCTTTTTGGCAGCTTTTTGACACTGCGTGGAAGGAGGCAGTTACATCTTCAAATATTGAAGCTGCATTTGCTGCTACTGGCCTACATCCATTCAATCCGGAACACATTCTTAAAAAGCTTCAAATACGACCTTGCACCCCCCCCCCGACGCAAGATATCAACCAAGAACACCTACTTCTATTGTTGGCCTGCGGAAATTGGTGAAGCAAGTCAAGCAACAGCAGCATCAAATATCTAATGATCTCAACTGGGTGATCCGTGCAGGGGAAAATCTTGCTCTTGATAAAGAGGTTCTTTTAATAGAGAATCGGCAGCTTCAAAAAGCTCTTAATCAAGAGAGGAGATGTCGCAAGCGTGGCAGGGCAATGGAGTTGCTAGATCCCTTGAATCCATCATTGGCGCAGTTCTTCTCGCTGGCAAAGGTGCAGAGCATCCGCGAGAATTTGGCGGCCTCAGAGGTTGCCAAAAAGGATGAGCAAGCTCGCAAGGAGGATGCAAAGCTGCAACGCACTATTCTTAAGGAACAGAAGGAGGCAGATATCATCCAGCAGAGGATGGAGCGGGAGGCAGCTCGCCAGGCCACAAAACAGCAAAAGGAAATGGATAAGGCCGCAAGAGCTGCTCAACGGCAGATTGACAAGGAGCTTAGAGATGAGAAAAAGGCTCAGAAGCAAAAAGAAAAGGAAGAACGAGCTGCCGTACGGCTACAATCATGATTGAATAAGAAGATGATTGAAGAATTCAAAAATCACCTTACTAATCGGGAAAGTAGACCCTCGATTTCGCAAAGAGTGGCTAAATCGCGTTTTCAGAGCCCTGCCAGGGTTCCCACAGATCCACTGCCAGAGGGATATGATGATATTGCAATCTCTACTGGTTTAATGACTGCTTGCTCACTGAATCTGCCTCCACCCAAGATTTCATGTTCTGGGCGAGTTATTAAGCCAAACAAATGTTTACTGAATTAGCTATATATTTTTATACGTAATTTTCTATATATATTTTCATCCTATAATATATCATCTTAAAATCTAATTGCGTTGTTGAAATAATGTTGAAAATATTTCATCATAGTGATGGCGAAATGGCGGGCGTTGGGTGTAAACGGGCGTTGGGTGGTGGATTACGTTATGTGCAGAGTACATAACTAACTAATGTAGACTGAGTCTTTCAGGCTATCAAGGCTTTACAACCCAACTTTTAAACCAATGTTCAACTTCTCTAAACCCACGTTCAACTGCAACCCCTGAGCATTAGAAAGTCCTATAACGGGGCCCGATATTCAGATAACTCATGAGACTGAAGATAGGTTTGTAATGATAGACCACGGTTTTTGTGTTCAAGTCATGATCAGGCTGGAGAAGTTTTCCCCCGGAGTTATGCACCCTCGTTTATTCTCCATTGCCTGACTTGTTTTGAAATCAGTTAGTTAGCTCCCTTTCGGGGCCTCTTCTATCATCCACAGCATCTGCATCCTGGCGAAGCGCTGTGTGACTGCTGCGGTGACCTTGTTGACTGGACAGGATGGATTGAAGATGATTTCTTACATACTGGTGCTCCCTTCTCCGAACAAAGCTGATTTTGAGACCCCTTTTATATATATATATATAATGAATGGGAGTTAGGACCTAGAGAAATGACCGTTCCCAACACTGACCGTGCCGTAGCAGTTGAAGAAAATCGAGTGACTTGGACGACATTGTGTTTGGAGATGCGGATGCTGCCACCTCCTTCGACGTATCAGGGCTTAGGAGTGCAACTAGCGAACGGGATGATTTCCCGAATAGCATCAACTCTCTCAGAGACAGAATTACAATTCTCTTCTTTTAAACCTTCGTGTTTGTTCTTATTTCCATAGCAACGCCATTGCGAGAATATGTGTATAACCCAAGCTGAAAATATGAAGCGTCCACCTACTTTCAATCATGGCTTATTCAGAACTATGCAATAAACATCCATTGCGTCTTCATTTAGCCCTCTAATGTTTATTGCTGTCTTCTTGCTTTCTTTTTTTCCCTATCATTCTCCGTGCCCCTTCGGTCCCCCTCCGTCTATTGTCCCTTGTTGAATAACCCCCCGGTGGCCTATAGTTATATGTGACCAAATGCTTTAGGATAACCTCAAGAATGATCGCCAAACCTCAGGAATAACAAAATCCACATCCGTACTTCTCTTACATTGCGTGGAGTAGTCATTCTTATCATCAAAAAACCAGATATAGAAGCAGAGTGTGGTCAACGCTCACCTTCGATTGAAAGCTCCTTTCATTGGACAGTGGGGACTACTGCATGGGGCAAACGAGACTACGGGTTCATGTATCGGATATCCCAACCTTGAAAAATATCTTGAAAATCACTTCCTGGCTTGTGTGTGCCTCTGCTCCTCCTTCATTGACGGCATGCTATCATCATCGTAACATGGGAAGACGTCTAGAAGGTTGGTGGGGTAAATTTTTGATGGTCAGGCAGAGAATGAGGATTATCTTCTCATGGCATGATTTAACTTGCTCTCATCAACTTGGGCAACCATTCAATGTTACAGTCAATTGTGCCCTTTGTCTTTGAACGCTCGCATAACCATTACTTTTGAAGCTTAACAGAGATCAGGAGGATTGGCCACGTTTAACAAGTGTCCTAAGCACGACTGAGCGGACGGAAAGTGCTGGTTTGTACTGCCTGTGATCCTATGTGGCTAGTAGTTATTTGTTTGAGGATCATTATGTGTAGAGCTACGCATGAACTGAGAGATAAAGATGGTCATAAAACTCCATGGTATTGTCGGACGTGACTACATAATTTGGTCAGCTGGAAACCAGTTCTCTTCTGTCCCGGAATTCGCTCATGGTCGTTCGTCACGACATATCCCAGTGTCGATCCGGGTGGTGTGGCCAGATAGGATGCCAGTTGCAGGTTTCAAGGGAAGTTAGCCAGCTTTTCAGACTCCATGTACTAGTTTCACAGGTGTGGAAGCCGTACTCCTAACCCGTAAATCAATGTGCGAGAGATAGTCTATCGTAAAATGTTCACTCTTAACGTTCAAATCACTCAAGGGACGGTTAGATATGTAAAAGCGGAAAATTTTTCCCAAGTGACATCTTCTTTCCATGAATCGACGATAAACCCCATTTGGTAGCTCTTTAATGACAACCACAAAATATAAATAAGGAAGAACTCTATGAAAGTGAACAGCTAATGAAAAGAGGAGGGGGAAGAAACTGTCCTCTATCCTCTCATACCACTTTGGATTTAATCCTCGCTCTAATATCCGTCTTTGGCTCATAAACAAGCCCACCAGTTCTCCTTTTGGGGATTTTCCACCCCATCCCTTTCGCAGGCTCAATATCCCACATCGTCAGCAGACCAGCAACGAATGCCAATGTGGTCCGTTCAGCAAATTTCCCATCCATGCTTATAGAATTTTCGTTCCCGCTTTCTGCTGTCCACGTTTCTGGTATCTGAAGAGCAATCTTGGGTTGGGTGATGGAAGAAGGATCTTGTTTTGTAATTTCTGCATCCTTTTCTGACGATTCGTTGATGTCCACACTCTTCTCCGCCAGAAATCTTTCCGAGTTGAATTCATCCGGGTTCTTAAAGTAATGCGAATCTGTGTTGTGGAGATTGTAGGGTACGGCGATGAACTCCCCCTCTTTGAATTGGTATGTCTGCGGCTTCCGACCCGCTATATCCGCATCCGCTTCGGATTCAATCAGTTGAAAATCCTTGATGATCTTCCTGTAAGTTATCGGGCAAGAGTGTAGGCGAAGCGTCTCGTAGTAGGCAGCTTTCAGCAAGGGGCAAGAATCAACAAGGCGATCAACATCCAGCGATAATCGTGGGGGCTCTGGTAGCCGGAAGCCTGTCCCCTCAGCACCTGGTCGGCTAGCGCGGGAGTAGGGAGAGATTTCTTTCATTATTCGAGAATAGTATTGTCTGTCCTCCAGGATGTGTATGAGGTTCCAAAATACGATTGTGTTGACTTTCGTGTTCATAGCCCATAAGATCGCTAAGCTTTCCGAAGCCATTGACTTAACTGAAAGCCCAGCCGTTTTCCATGCCCTACACTGACTTTGCATGAACTCAGAGACGCTATCCATTTCACGCCAGTCGAAGCCAGGATCGTGGCCGTTTTCTGCAATTTCGAAGGCAGAATGGAATGCCTCCATTCCTTGTAGAAGTCTGCGACGCGATCGGTATGAGGTTGGAAGTCCCGGAAAGGGAACAAATCGTTGAATGCCCAGCACAATGGCGTTGAAATTACCGTTAAATTTCCAAAGATCATCTGGAGTATTAGGAAGGGCCTCCATAAAGTCTCCACCCATGATGGTCGTCACGGTGGTCACCGCGACAAAGTTCCGGACTAATGAGTAAAGATTTACTTCGCAAACCCGGTTATTGCCGTCACCACTAACGACGGACACCCTGCTCATCCGCTCCCAGAAAGACTGATCGACTATACTTCGGCAAAATGAGAGCATGTTTGGCATGTTTCGTTCAATTTCTCGAATAGTAGCCCGCGAACAGTCGGATGCATGAGGTTCTTGCATTTGAAATTCCATTGATCTGCATTCGGCGTCGAATGCGGCCCGGTTGAGTTTCCTTGAGCTTCTGCGTGCTCCAAAGGCGTGCTCCATGACATGACTAACGAAAGAATTTGGTGAGATGGACGATTTCTTCTCCACTAAAAGAGATTTCGCCAATGATGGGGATGTTATTATGTTATGTCTCTTGCCGCACACATAGAGGCTAAAGGCGGGCTCGGCAGTATTGTCTCTATCTATACTTTCAGCAACGTGATGCGAAGATGATATAGGATAAATAAAACTAACCGAGCATGTTCTAGTAGACTCCGACGACGGAGTCCCAGGGACAGAGCATGCCCAAAATAAGGGATCCAATATGGAATGGTTTTAGGTCTCCATGATTCGCTTGTCTGAATATTCCTATAACGGCTCCGAACGTCACTGCATATTCGTGTTATTATACATAGCAATATCACAGAAGCTATGAGTAGTTCGAAAGGTGATTCAGAGATGAACTCTCGAGCACTCTCGGCTGTCAGAGAAGGGAATATAACCATCCCCTCCATGGGAGGAATATAATTCTTCAACATTCACAAGGCAGAAGGATAGATTCAAGGAAATAGATAGAAAAAGAATTAGCTGATTACAGCTCCGTTAGGCAGGCTGATTATGCACTGTCTGTTCATCAGCTCAGATGTGGTGGATGGAGAAGTCACATTCAGGTCAATCAGAAAGCTTACAAGGACATAGTGTAATAGTGCTGAGCAGGAGGAGAATAATGAAACATACTGATGTTTAAAAGGAATTAAACGGTGTTTGTTTATAATTGCTGTAACGTGTAAAGTTCAACTATTGATGTTCAATGAATTGTCAAAGTAAGGTTTTAAGCCCCACTTCACTGGCGAGCCCCAGTTGAGTTCGGCCCTTAGCTGATCGCTAACAGCCCAAGAGACCCCCAACTCAACACCCATCTCTCTAAGGCTCTTGATGGTGGTGATATTACCATATTTCTCACCCTAAACTATCCCTAATTCTCATTGTAACCTAATCTGCCCCTAACCCTGGTGTTAAGTGTGGTGATATGTATTAGTAATACGTGCTTAACTAACTACTAGTTAGTTAGTTAGCTGTAATGACAGAATGGCAAGCTTTGATCGATTGCAAAGGTTGCTAACCACAACAAACGACTGTACATAGTTAACTATATGGGTCACGTAACTGAAGGGTCCAACATCTTTTATGTGGTTACATAGATGAGGTGACAGGGTTAGTTTGGTTGGTCGGTTTAAAGCAGTGGGCCAAACTTATATAACTAAAGCAAACCACGGCCAATTGCATCCAAGCCACCAGACTTAATTGAGCCTAAGTTAATTAATGAACATCAAAGTGAAATGGGAAAACTTCCTTTTTGTCTGTCTTCTCCTTGGGACAAGGCATCATGAGGAGCATCTGACTGGCCATTCCGTGGTTCATTTTCTCCCCCGTCTCCTCGTCATATCGAACAATGGATGCCGTTTGACAAGTTTCCCTTGCCTTACCCAATCCATACCCATGATGATGAGTGCAAGAATTAAATAGTGCTTGGCAACTTTCGCTCAGTCCTGCCAAACATGTTTGACCAATCCATGAATACTTATGATACATGTACTTCCTGCAACTGGTGTATATGATAAAGGATTGCGGAGGTGAACTCGAGCTTACAGGTGGTGTTAGGATCTCGATGCCATTGCGATTGTGAAGAGGCTAGGTAGGGAGCGGGCAAAAATGTAACAACTTTGCGGATTTGTTGCCTTTAATTATTTTCCATGCACTTGCGACACAACGTTGACTCCGTATTTTCCAGGCCCTTGCGTGGTAGAAGGCAACATTGGTGTTGCTGGCCGGCCGAATACCACCGGTAAACTTTCTGGGAATTCTTCTCTGGTTGTTAACTAGCGAACTTCCCTTTGTGACGGGAGTAGCTAACTCCATTGCTCCTAACCGGTTCATATGCACTTCTGGGTGCAAAACTTCATGAAGACTCGACGGTTGCAGCAAGGTTGAAGAAAGCTTATGATGGTCAAGTGACTGCTGCTTACCCTTCGCAATCAAGACCCGAGTGGTAACTAGCTCAAGTGGGATTGCAGTGGCGGCAGATGTTCGGGTTATCCTTTGCTGCCCTGGGGACAGAGGCACTGTACACCATGACCTCGTTAATACCCCCTCTTAGACAAGCTGCAGCCTTTTTAGTCCCAGCGAGAAAATCAATGTTGTCGGTATTAAGCCAGCCGTTGGACTCACATCCCGCTGTGGTGTTGTTTCCAACTTCCCTATAGTTGCGTGGTGCGGACTACGTTTCTGCCTGCCAACTTTTCGTTCTAGAAGGGAAACGTACCGGAATTGCGACAAATGTCATCGAGCTATGGAGGCTTTGATTGGCATGGCCTATTCGTACGAGCAGAAGAGACTGAATAGGGATAAGTGGTGGTATTACTAGGCAACTACTTCTGATATATTCTGCCATTACTGGCTACGGCTTTGTATCATTTTGCCTTCATGCCTTTACTATTCTTCTTCTTTTTCCAAGTGAAAAAAATGGAGCAAAGGGGTTGGAGGAGCTACTCAAGTTTCTCCTACGGCTATGGTATTTTGATACATGCTTCTTGCAGGTAACGGAATCCATTAAAATTAGATACTGAGATAACATACAGCTATATTGGTGTCAGGAAGAATGTGTCAAGAAAAATAAATGAGCGAACTACTCTCACAAAGAAAGCTCGCACATCTAGATTCGTAGACAGGAAGGCAAGAATTACATACTAGCCCACCACTGTCGTCACGTTTAATGCTCCACATCAAGAACTCTTTTCAGTGAAGAAGAGGATTTCTCATACTCCTCCACCCTAGTCTGAGAACCGCTGAGCTTACCCAGCAACCAACGGATCCGCGGTCCTGTCTCGCTTGTCTGCTTAGGGAGGGACCCGAGCACCTGTAGCTCTTTCTCATAGGTCTCGATATTCTCGTTCTCCATTGCGATCAGCTGTGAGAGTATTGCCATGCCAAATCGACTACTCAGTGATTTATTATCGGTAAGTTGTTTGAAAGCGGCATGGAACACCGGTCTTGCTGGTTTGATGGTTGATGGAGAGCCGTTAATGCTGGTAACGGATATAAGCTCAGCTTGTTCCAGGGCTTGGATCACGCTCTCTCCACCGCTCTTGAACAGCGGGTTAAGAAGAATCTGATTGTATCTCAGATTTTCTGTACCAGTCTCCCCCAGTTTTGTTATGAGATACCAGGCTTGTTCTGCGGTCCAGGGGTGACTACCCTTGGCTGGGAGGTCAAGGATAAACATTTTTAATATCTCAGCAGAAGACTCATCAATGATCCGTTGTACAGCATCTGTGGTCCCAGTTTAGCAAGTGTAATAATGAATCGCGAATGTCGGAAGAGGTCACAAACCTTTTGGCGTTGCTCCAGCCTTAATCATGCGAGCCAGAAATTCAAGGTCCGTGAGGCGTCCGCCCAATACTTGGATAGAAGCGTCAAGCTGTTCCATATGTTTAATTATCTTACCGCTGCCTTCTTTATCTCCTTCGGTGTCTGCTCGAATGTGCTCAAGGACGAAACGCTTCGCAACGTCTTGAGAGCAGTCTCGCAATGATAATTGATGGAAGACAGTATTTGGAAGAGCTTCGCTCAGCGGTTTGGAAGCTGAAACATCTGCAGTTAAAAATATTACACGAGCAACGTTGGATGCCATTACGGTTGCAGCCCAGTGGGCCAATTTATCATAGATCATTGGCTTTTCGGTTTTCTTATGTAAGAAATTATCGATGACAACAATTGGGCGGCACTCAGGATGAGCTTCGAGATACTCTTCGTCGTTCAGATTGACGTCTTTGTCGTCCTGTCTTCTTGTTTCAAGGGCCACTTGCTTCAAAGCATTGGTGGTGTTTTGCAAAATCTTTCCGAGTTGAGCATCAAGTGTTTCCGAAAAACCAGCTTTTGCACCAGTAGTTCCTTGTATGGCCACGTCTATCACACTGCTGACACTGTTCATCCAGGAAAACACAGGTCGATAGCCAACTTCGGCGGCAGCAGCGTTAATAGTAACGCTATCGCCATTAGCATCTTGAATGGGCTTGCAATCTATGACCAGTTTGTATTTGCGATCCTTTAAAACTTCATCCAAAATGAGCTCCTTCTTTCCTGTGCCACGTGGTCCCTGAATAATAATGAAGGTACTAGCAGCTTCGAGCAACCAGCTTTTGATGAGTTCGATATCACTTTTCCGATCTTCCCATACTGCTTTGAGTCCTCCAGACTCTGCATGCTGGCGTCGAAATGAAATGATATCTGTCGCCTTGCTAGCTTGCCGTTGCACCCATTGCCAGATCATATTTTCATCCAGATGGAGAGGTCGTTTTATTCGAATTTTAATGCAAAACGTTCGAATGGGGTCGAATACGATAACTGTAATAGTAGCTAAAAGGGCCGCAAAAATGGGAATTACAATCCTGGGGTGGTTGAATAGCCAATCCCGTATCCACTTCCCTTTTACCTTTCCTTCATAGGTGATCTTAAGCAGAGTTCCTGACTTTCCTCCTCCTTCAGCCTCTGAGACTTTATATCCGTGTAGACAATTCTTAGCTGTTATCGCATATCGAAGATTTTGAAAATCGATGAATGCGTAGCGCGGCAAAACCTGGGAATTCGACGGTTGGACCACGATATCCCTTAATTTTCCGTACCGTCTAGCCAACGAATAAAGTGTTTCCTGGGTCAATTCTGCCGCAGAAGCTTCAGGAAATGTCGGAAGAAATTCAACTTTGAGTCTCCAGCTAGGTATACGATAAAGGTCCTCTATCCACGGTCGACCTCGCACCAACGCAGCCCGAGTAGCTCCAAACGGGTTAAACCATGGTCTGATAGGGTTGTTCTTGAGGTGCTCTTTCAGTCGACGCTCCAGTTCAGTGGCGCTAACGCCAGGCTCATGGGTAAATTTAACAAAAGCTCCACCCTCGTCAAAGCGAGAAATAATCTCTGTAATTTCTGTTCGCAACTCAGGTGGTAATGCTCTCTGGATTACTGACTCGGGATTCGCGACAGCGAATTCAGGTCTGTCTATCCACCTCTTAATGAGACTAGAGGCAGAAGAATCTGAACTGGCAAAAGATATTGGACGTAGCCATTTCAGCTTGAGGGGAAATAAGTCTGAGGCGATGATATATCAGTCTCTGAGATGTAGTTCATATCCCTATGGCGCATAGATATATACATACTGTCAACATAGACTATGGATTCATTTGGACCTGCTTGGATATGTCCGGATTCATCTCCTCGGGAATGCACAGGGACATGATTTAAATCAGTGCTTAACAGCCTGGACAGCCTGACACTCGTAGGAAGTCGGCCAGGCGCCCTCAGACACCTCCTCCCCAAAGCACCTATCATAGTGTAAACAAACAGAGTTTTGCTGGGATACAATAGCTCATTGTTGTTACATTCACCACCATCTTTTACGATTTATGTATCAAGGCTGACTTCTTGCCGCAGCCTTTTCCAAGGCTTGTTGTTGAGTAACTAACTGTTAGTTAGCTGGAAACGTCTGCAAGTAACTCTGACGTAATGGGCTGAGTCATCTAAGGAGTTTATGAATATCACATGACCTCAATTTTATTCCATCGTTTGATCAATCGAAGCGAATAATCTCGAGGTTGAACCGCAATTTGAATAACAGATTTGATATTCACTGAAAGCCCAAGTATTCAATCCGATATCGATAGGGCATTGCCATATTGCTCATCCATAAATCCTCATACTTGGCGCATATAATCAATTGGGTTGGGTTGATATTCCTAACACCGAAAAATTAATCGTCCGAAGCTCAGATTTACCGATTCCGCATACCCCCCATAGCAAAAGCTCGTGCAGCCCTGGATCAGCTCATAATTTGTCAATCGCATTCCTAACAGACAATGGGTTGGTGGTGGAACACCTCTTTGAACCCGGAGAAACTCCCGGCACAAACTCCTTCGCCTGCCCCGACGGAGGACTCTAAGCTCACTCCTTCTGCCCACCTTAAACCCTCCAGTCGCGATGAACCCGCCGAAGCAGAGCTTCAAGCTTTCTTAAGGGGCGTCGAAGATGGGAATAATAATCCACAATCCTCACATTCGCCGCCATCATCATTATCAACAACACTGCCCACCCCCAACCTAACCTCAACAAATACACCTTCTACTCTCTCGCCTTCTTCCACCTCTAATGCAGAAACATCCGAAACATCTTCAAACATATCCCCTGAATTTCTCTATCCAACAACCATGTCCTGCCGATCTGCATTCGATTATGCTTTCTTCTGCCAGTCGTTTGGTGGTCAGTGGGTCAACGTATACCGGTACGGCGAGCTGCGCTCTTGTAGCGAGCACTGGTCTGATTTCTGGTTTTGCATGCGTACCCGCTCGTATCCCGATGAGGAGAAAGCAAAAATGATCGCTGACCGCTACCGAAAGAAAGCTGTCAAGTATAAGACTGGCCCTAGTAGCGAGGATGTATGGGATGTCAGGACGGAGCCCGTGAGGGATGCATTTCAAGGGGATCTGAGAGCGGTGGAACAGGAAATGATGAGAGCTGCTATGGAAAGGGAGAAGGCTGCAAAGGAGCTTTGAGAATGTTTTTATATTGGTGTGGCTCGCATGATAGGGTTTTTAAGTTTTTCTAGACAGAATGATCGAGATTAATGTTGATGGATGATGTGCTGCACAATATTTATTTTCGATCTATCTATCTTATATTTCCCTTTTGCTTTTTCCGAGAACAACGTAATAGAACCCTTTACAATATAAAAAATCGGTGTCAGGGGACTAGTTTAGCAGCTTGTGAATCTTTGCACCCGTTATAATCTTAAAATTTAGGACATAGCTTTGCCTCTCCTCGCTTTCCTGTCTCCCGGGAAGCCTAGCAGTATTCGGGGCTCATGTTCTGTCTATATGAACGCCCGATATCAAGGCTTACGTTCTGGATTGGTGTCAACTACTGAGTTCAAACCCTTAAAACTGAGTGCCAACTCTAGAAACTATAAGGGACTCTTTAACATCGGACTATGCGCTCTCTGGGAAAAAGAGCTGATTACAAACAAATATGAACAAAATGGAATATATATAGGCCTGTAGCGATGCCTAACAATAGTTGCCTGGAACAGAGAATAATAAAATCAGTAACTTTTAAATTTGGAAGCTGAAAATAATGTTGTAAATGGCATAAAGAGATAGGATAACGTGAAAGAGATTGAAATAAAGCCATGCGGAATCCAAAGCCAACCAGCCACAGCTACCTGTAGATCCTTGGTTATTTATTAACAAGACCATGGGGCCATGAAAGAGCCAAACCCTTGTGTGTACAATAAAATAAAACGAAACCCCACAGTCTCTGAAACTAAACGCTATCCAAGGGCATGGGCCGAAAAATGGTTTTGCAAGACAATTCGCCTCCGGCTCTGAATCGATGCATTGCAGAAATTCCCGAACGAAATTTCCAAGGTTGAATAGACTCAAAAAGCGCTACAAAAAGGGACACATCAGAAGAAAATCAGAAAAAAGGAAATGTGGATTTAAAGATGCAAAACAAAATAGGATAGTTGTGACACAAGCAAAATTCCGTCCACGACCTGTAAAAGACGTTGAACAATTGAATTGAGGTCACAAATGCCACCAGATAAGGAAGGAAATTCAAAATGATATAACACAGTAACGGGATACAAATGCTCATGCTAAAAAAACGTGGAAAGGTGGCGGGTATATTCGGCATATCAATAAATGGCAAAAAAAAAAAAAAAAAAAAAAAAAAAAAAAAAAGGAGTGAAAATACATATCACCAAGCGCCTAAAAAGAAAATAAATAAAGTTGCGTCCGCTCATAGAGAAGACAAAATGTACATTTGGTGGGAGACTTGACGGCTTGAGAGCATCTAAAACGCCATTATAGACCCCGACAAGGAGGATAAGGAAGCTAGATAAACCCAGAGAGAGTAGCTCACTGCTGTCTCCAGCTCTACGCGCCGACAGCCTGCGCCCGCACAGCAGGGACAGCGTCAATTGCAGGACGACGAACAATTCCTCCAGTTACAGGAAGTTGAGAACTTGTACCAATAAGGTATGAGTCGACTTCACGGGCAGCTTGACGGCCCTCATTAATACCCCTGAAAATATGTGAGCTAAAAATTCTCCTTTGAAAAAAATAGAAAATGGAATGAAGACGTACCAGACGATCAGAGACTGTCCACGTCTACAGTCACCAGCTGCGAAAACTCCTGGGACATTAGTCGAATATTGACCGGGAGGCGTCTTGACGTTCTTCCGAGCATCCTTCTCGATCTCATCTCCAAGAAGCCTATCCTCAGGTCCCAAAAAGCCCATGGAGAGCAAAACAAGGTCTGCTGGGAAGAACTGCTCGCTCCCCTCCACCGTCTTCATGTCCCAGCCACCAGAGGCACTCTTAGTCCACTCGACCCGGGTGGTGTTGATTCCTTTAACAACACCGTTCCCACCGACAAATTCCTTCGACATCACACAATATTCACGAGGATCCTTTCCCATATGAGTCTTCACCTCAGTGTGACCGTAGTCGACGCGGTAGATACGTGGCCATTGAGGCCATGGGTTGTCCCGAGCCCTCTCTGGAGGAGGCTGAGGTAGCAATTCGAAGTTGGTCACTGACTTGGCACCGTGTCGGACTGAGGTACCAATACAATCATTACCTGTATCACCGCCGCCAATGACAATGACGTGTTTGTCTTTGGCAGAGATATATTGCCCATCAGATAACTCGGAGTCCAGCAGGGATTTGGTGTTGCGGTGAAGAAATTCCGTAGCTAAATGAATCCCGTCAAGCTCACGGCCGGGTATCTTCAAGTCTCTTGCAACTGTAGCTCCAGTGGCTATCACGACAGCATCGTTCCTGTCACGTAGTTCCTGCAGAGAAATATCCTCCCCTGGTCCTACAGATGTGTTGGTAACAAATTTGACGCCTTCAGCCGCCATGAAGTCAACGCGCCTCTGAACGATCTTCTTGTCGAGCTTCATATTTGGAATACCATACATCAGCAAGCCGCCAATGCGATCGGCACGTTCATAAACGGTGACGCTGTGCCCTACGTGGTTGAGCTGATCTGCTGCAGCAAGTCCAGCGGGCCCTGAGCCTATAATTGCGACGGTCTTGCCAGAACGACTTGGTGGAGGAGTGGGAATCATCCAACCCATCTCAAAACCTCTGTCAATGATTGCACACTCGATACTCTTGATACCAACAGGGTCCTCGTTAATTCCAAGAACGCAGGCACCCTCGCAAGGAGCTGGGCACACACGTCCTGTGAACTCAGGGAAGTTATTTGTCATAAGCAATCGGTTAAGAGCATCTCGCCACTGATTCTGGAAGACAAGTTCATTCCATTTGGGGATAATGTTTGAAATGGGGCATCCAGTATCAGATTGGCAGAAAGGAACACCACAATCCATGCAACGAGCAGACTGGTACTTCAATTCATCTTCTGTCAGTCGTGTGCTCAGCTCAGCCCAGTCACGAGTTCGAAGTTTTGCGTTGCGATATTTTTCGCTACGCCGCTGGTACTTCATGAAGCCTTTGGTCTTGTCCAGGATCAGGGCATTTCGCTTTTTCTCTGTCTTCAAGTCGCTGATGGTGTCTTCAATATCCAGAATATCACTTTTCTTGGGCTCGTCACGATGCTCATGGACTTTCTGAGCGGTTTTCTTTGCAGGATTTCCGGACGAGAAGGGAAGACTGAATTCAGCCTTCTTGGAAGCGGCAGTTTTGGCTGCTTCGTCCTCCAATACTCGCTTATAATCGGTGGGCAAGACCTTGACGAAATGGGGGAGCGCTCTAGTGAAATCAAGAAGGATACGGGCAGCCAGTTCTGAGCCCGTATAGTGGTGGTGATCCTCAATGAGGCCTCGTAGGAAGGCAATCTCTGCTGGGTCTTCAACCCCAGAAACTTCAACCATTTCCATGTTGATCTTAGAATGGAAATCCTGATTCACATCGAGGACATAGGCGATACCGCCAGACATCCCGGCTGCGAAGTTTCGACCAGTGGGCCCAAGAATTAGGACACGTCCTCCGGTCATGTACTCACAACCGTGATCACCAACTCCTTCTACGACTGCTGTAGCACCGGAGTTACGCACAGCAAATCGCTCAGCTGCTACACCACGGAAATAGCAGTGACCAAGTGTGGCACCGTATAGGCAAACATTTCCGACAATGATGTTTTCCTCAGCCTTGAAAACAGCGCTGCGTGGTGGATAAACGATCAAACGGCCTCCAGATAATCCTTTACCAACGTAATCATTGGCATCGCCCTCCAGCTCCAGCGTCACACCAGGCGCAAGGAATGCACCAAAGGACTGACCAGCGGATCCTTTGATATTTGCATGGATTGTGTCTTGAGGGAGACCAGCCTCTCCGTACCGACGACTAATCTGGTATGAAAGAGTAGCACCCAACGCGCGGTCAGTATTAACAATATCGCACTCAATGCGACATGGCAAGCCCTTTTCTAGTGCCAGTTCAGACTCAGCAATGAGCTTATTATCCAGACGAACATGGAGGCGATGGTCTTGCTTGCGAACGTTGTAGGTCGCTACGCCAGGTCGAAGAGAATGGGCGGGGGTGAGAATGAGAGAGAGGTCAATATTCTCCATTTTGGATGAGGGGAGATCATCCCGCATTTTCAACAGGTCAGCTCGACCAACCATCTCGTTGATAGTTCGGATGCCTAATTTGGCCATGATCGCTCGTAGTTCGTTCGCGATGTAGTAGAAGAAGTTGATAACATGCTCAGGGGTACCCTGAAACTTTTGCCGGAGGACAGGATCCTGAGTTGCAATTCCAACAGGGCAAGTACTATATTGATAAAAAGGGTTAGCCATGAAAATATTCCAAATGTTGAAACAAAATAAGAACATCTTGAATCTCACACCACTTCGATAACGGACTGGTCTGGAAAAAGTAACCCAAGCCAGGATAAAATAGGGTGAGACCAAGGAAATTCTTACTTAAGATGGCACTTCCTCATCATGATACAGCCCATCGCAATGAGAGGAGTTGTTGCGAAACCCCATTCCTCTGCTCCCAGTAAACAGGCCATAGCCACATCCCTACCAGTTCGAAGTTGACCATCAGTCTGAACGATAACACGGCCACGAAGATCATTAAGAACTAGCGTCTGGTGAGTCTCTGCTAGACCTAGTTCCCACGGAAGCCCAGCGTATTTAATTCCGGTCCATCGAGAAGCTCCAGTGCCTCCATCGTGACCTGAGATCAAAATATGATCCGCCTTGGCCTTAGCTACGCCTGACGCAACAATACCGACGCCAACTTCAGAAACAAGCTTGACGGAAACACGAGATCGTGGATTTGAACATTTCAGATCATAGATGAGCTGTTTCAGATCTTCAATTGAGTAAATATCGTGATGCGGTGGTGGCGAAATAAGGCCGACGCCAGGAGTGGAGTGGCGCGTCTTGCCAATCTCGGCAGATACTTTGTGACCAGGAAGCTCTCCTCCCTCACCAGGCTTGGCTCCCTGAGCCATCTTGATTTGAAGCTCATCAGCATCCGCAAGATAATTCGATGTGACACCGAATCGACCAGAA